CCTTGTCCATTGCCTCTTGGCTTCCTGGACAATGAGATGGGGGTGGTTGCAAGGCACCAGGCTGTCAAGGGAGCCTGACCCAGGGAATGGTAACCCACCCCTCAGCACAGATCTTGAGCAGCGGTGCAGCATGCAGCTCCTGTGGCACTGTGTTTGCCCTCCAGGAGCCCACAGGCATCCCTGCTGCTCGGCACAGCTTGGATTTGTGGCACAACACATGTGATGCTTTTCATCGACAGCCTGAACCTGCGAGACGGGGCTACCATGAAATATTCATGGGAATTTCCTCGAGTAAATAGCATTAAAAATTCATTGATATTTTGAGCAACAAACCATCGGTTGCATCTCTCAGGGATGGGGAAGTGTGTAAATAACAGCAGCCTTTCTTTCATGAAGCAATGATTTACATGCACTTCAACTACCTTTTGGTATTGAGACTGAAATCTGTCTTTCCTCGTCTTCTCCCAGCTTAGGACATTTTGTTCCTCAGCTCCCCAGCTTGAGCAGCGTATTCCTGGGAGCAGAGGGACGGGGGAGGGCAGGAGAGGGGCCTGGAACAGGCTCCCTCCATTGTGGCCGCTGTGCAGGGCGCCTGCGCAGCCCCATGCTGGAGCGTGCAGTGGGAAACCTGAGCTGCTTGGATGAGCCCCGTGGGCTCGGCAGCAGGACTTGCTCCAGGCTGTCATGGTGAGAAAGGCTCCCTCGCCTTGGCAGCGTGGGCAGCAGGGTCGTGGCTTGTGGCTTGTGCCCTTCCATGAGCCCTGGGCTTTGCTGCTGGACCCCTATCCAGGACTCTGCTCCTTTCCCTAGAGCCCAGCCTTAGCTGAGCAGTTTCCTGGCAGCCCGATTCACGCTGAGGATGCTGTGCAAAGCTGGACCCCGGCAGCTGAGGCAAGGAGGGAAGAGAGGAGGACACAGGCCTCTTTGGGGCGCGGTGGGTGAGCATTTATGGGCTTTGGGAGCAGGGGGGCCCTCGGAGTCTTGATCTTCTGCAGGATCCATGGCCTTAGCTCACCTCTTCCTAACATTACAGGCAAAGGATCAGGCAATTCCCAGAAACAGGTGTATAACATCTCAGGGGCTTGATAGTGCTGTGAGACAGGTGAGACCATGCTAATCCTCTCTCCATCTCTTTCTTAAAGGCTCTCCTCATGCATCTCTCCAGACTCTTTGCACCATCAGGAGGCTGTTCCTGCTGCTTGTGGTCACTGGGCTGCTAGGGGGGACAGCGGCTGGAGCATGGCTCCTAGGTCAGTGTCTTCTCCAGGGTAGCCTCATCCTGCAGCCACAGCCCTGCCACAAAAGTGGCGATGCGAGCTTCTTGGTTGGTGAGCTGTGACTTGGGAGAGGGAGACGTGGCTGTGGTCCCAGCAGCAGGCTGGAGATGCTCATCAGCTCTGCCAGAGGGTAGTGCAGGATCATGTGCATCCTCGGATGCTGCACAGGCTGAGCGCATCTTCTCCCTCTTCTTTGTTTCCTGAAGTGAGATGCCTGAAGAAGCCTCAGCCAGACCATGGCTTCACCCTGCTGCAGGAGCCAGATGCGACCCCAGTGTGCAGTGATGGTGAAGAGGAAGACCCTGTGGTCCAGGGGGCTCACAGCAGAGGTTTACATCTTTGCTTGCTGCTACACAGGATGGGGAGAGAGGAGCAGCATGCAGGACAGTGCCTGCCAGGGCTAGCAAGGACAGAAAATACACTCTTTATTATCAAGTATCTCCTGCTGATCCACGAGCTTCTTTCAACTGCATTTTGTGATTGATTTGCTTTGCTTTTAAGCCCTGCTGTGTTCCCCAGCATTACAACTTTGTTGCATGGAGGGATCCCACAGAAAAGGCAACTCTTGCTGGACTCTCTGCATGTGATAACTCAGCAGAGCTGCCACACAGGCACTGAGAATGTGTGAATAGGTTCTGTAGTTTCTAATCGCTTCAAATAGCTTTTTGCTGGGATATTTTGTTTGGTGCTGGGTTTTTTGTTTGCTTGGTTTCCATTAGATGTGCATCCGCTGTGCTGGATTGTCTTTAATGGCATGGCTTTAGTGTCTTTCAGAATAAACATGGCAAACTCCTTACTGGAAGCACGGGTGGAAGGCCATCCCGGCTGGCTCCTGGCATGCCACGAACACTGGAGTCTCTCCCTGGGCACCCTGCTGTGCCAGCAGCTCGGCTATCTCAGGTGGGCATTGCAGAGGCAGCCACTTCCACCCCTATTCACCCTGGTCCAAGGGGGATGAGCTCAGCAAAGGAGGCTGGGGGGTTAGGCAGGGCTGATGCAGGCCGGAAAGCAGGGCTCAGACTGGCACAGGAACCTGTGAGAGGAGCTGCAGATCTTTCCTGCCAGAGCAGCAGGGCTGTGGGCTGTTGTTCCTATGGCTGCGTTATAACCCTGATCCCCTAGCAGGTCCCCAGCCCTTTCCTGGAACAAATTACTGTTGCTTCTGCAGAATGGCCCATCAGAAAGGAGTGAACCTGACGGATGTCAAGGGGAATGACACACGGGAGTTTGTTCAGGTGAGAGCCCACCAGGAAGGCAGCCTGGAAGACCTGTGGCAGGTCAGGTAAGGGCAGCTCTGGCTGGAGCAGAGTTTGCTGGTGGGGCTGAACCAGACTATAGAAAACTGCCCTGGGGGTGTGCAGGAAGCGACCCCGGTGGGGACTGGGACAGCTGCCCTGGGGCTCCCTTGGGGCACCAGGGATTTTGGTCCCTGTGCACTGTGCCCAGAGGCTTATCCTTATACAGGAGCAGCTGTGAATCAGGTCGAGTTGTGGCTCTGCAGTGCTCAGGTGAGTGGCCCATCCCCTCCTACATTGAGGATCTGGTGCCTGAGCTTTGTCTATTACATGCTCTCCCCATCTCCCTTACAGAGTGTGGGCTGCACCCCAGTGCTGCTCGGGTGGTCGGGGGCGTGGATGTGCCCGCGGGGCGCTGGCCCTGGCAGGTCAGTGTGTACCACGGCTCCCAGCACCGCTGCGGAGGTTCCGTGCTGGCCCAGGAATGGATCATCACAGCAGCTCACTGCGTGCACAGGTACCTCCTTTGCCCAGCCTCGGGGTGCTGAGTGTCCGCTCTTACCCAGGCCTTGGTGCTTGCTGCCCTACAGCAAGAGGCACACGGTGTCTCTGCTCAGTTACAGGCGGTTTCAGACCTCTGCCTGGCTGGTTTTTGCTGGCGTTGTCAACCACGGCTCCATCAAGCAGGAGGACGGGGTATCAGTAAGGAAAATAATTTACCACCCGCTTTATAACGACAACAGCCTTGACTATGACATTGCTCTGATGAAGCTCCAAGTCCCCTTGAATTTCTCAGGTAACGGGCTGCCGTGATGCTGGTGTGTCCTTCTGCCACCTGTGGGGTTGTCTGGTTTATCCCACAAGTAAGAGATAGCCAAACCCCAGCCTCCTCTGAATGTGCCATTTCAGAGCAGCCCAGTTGGGGTACCCAGCCTGCCACCTGGGAGGCAGAATGCACAGCAGCATGGTGTTCAACTGTGCCAGAGCTGTGAATCACTGGGAAGGTGGCTCTGGGAGCTGGTCTGGGAGCCTTTCACTTCATGTGCCGGACTGACAGCTCCACAGCCTCTCTCTGTGTCCCTGCTCAGCACAGCATGAAGCTGTCCCCACTGGCCTGGCACTTACCTTGTCACCTTCTCAGCAGATGCCATCCGTGCTGTGTGTCTGCCACCCTCACACCGGGACCTCTTCCAGGGCACGCAGTGCTGGGTCTCTGGCTGGGGTTATACCAGACCAGGCCAAGGTAAGCTCCCATCTTATTCCCACTGCTCAGAGGCTTTCCCCTTGCTCCCCACTGTCCCTGTCCTTCCCCTTCCATGCCGCATGTAATCTTGCAAATGGCACTTCCTGCCTTCATCCCACCCTTGCTCCAGCAGCTCTGCACCCCACAGCCATATCTCAGGGCCAGGGGGGCTGACTGCTTTTAAACCCATGAAGTTTAAATCCCATCTTTCCCATCTGATAGATAGAGCCCCTCCTGCTCCCTGCAGGTGGAGTTTCCCTCTTGTCTTCTCTTTCTCCCTCTCCAGCCCAGGTTGCCAAGACCCTGAAGGAAGCACTTGTTCCATTGATTGGTACCAAGAAGTGCAATAGCTCATGCATGTACGCAGGCGAGCTCACTGCCAGGATGCTGTGTGCTGGCTATCTGCATGGGAGCGTAGATGCGTGCCAGGTAACAGGAGGGAGCAAATGATGCATGCGAGGTTTGCATAGCGGGTGTGGAAAGGATGTATATGTTGTGTGTCTCCAGTAAGTGCTGGGATTTGTGGCAATAGCTTGCAGGAAGCAGTCTTGAGTGCGGTGCAGCGTGGAGCCCGCAGTGCTCTGATCCACTGATGTCAGGCTGAGATTTAACTTATCTTTCTAGAAGGAAAATGGGAACCTTGCAGGGAGGCCAAGCACTACTTGTACCTGCACCTCAGCTTGCTGCATGGCTGATGAACAAAGCCATCTGGGAGAAGCCAGCCTGATCTGCACCCCAGCTGCCAGGAGGCAGAGCTGCTTCCTTAGTCCTTGCTTTGTCTGCAGGGTGACAGCGGGGGCCCCCTCGTTTGCCAGGATGAATTCGCGTGGCGCTTGGTGGGCATTGTGAGCTGGGGCCAGGGCTGTGCGGAACCCAACTACCCTGGGGTCTACACCAATGTGGCTCAGCTTCTGCCGTGGATTCATCACATCACTGAGGTAAGCTGGAGCAAGCAAAGGTATGTTCAGCCATGTGGGCTGCAAAGACAAACCCCAATGCAAGCATCCAATTCTAACTCTTCCCCTGCGCTCACGCTTAATGCATGAACCTCTAGGACAACCTCTTTTATGGTAGTGATTCTTTTCTCCTCCATTTTTTGACTAGGTGTACTAGAAACAAGGCATGGAAGAGACTTCACAGAGCAACCTTACCTTTTCCATGTAGCAAGCGGAGAATGGTCCATGGCTAATTTATCCTGTTACTATACCCGAAGGGAATCCCCAGATATACCACCAGCAAAAGCTCTCAGTATAAACAGTTTATTAAAGAAAATAGCAAATTACATTTCTATGAACAATCCACATGAGACAAGTGTTGTTTTTCAAAAGATGTGGGGGTTTTTGGATTGCTGGGTGTAAAGGGGCAGGGATCCCACGAGACGTAAGTGCTCTGGGAACACTTTCAGCCTTTAGATAAATTACTTGGAGGAGAAGAAAAGAAAAAGCTCAAGTTCTAAGTAGCAGTCAGGTTTTGCTTCAGTATCTCCCTTCCTTGCTGCTTTCAGTCTGTCTGCCACTTGACTGTATTTGTTCCCTCTCTGTGCCAGGTAAAGCCAGGAACAGGAGGGTCTCCTGGCCATGGCTGTGCCTGGCACATCCAGCAGGCAGAAGGGCCATTCATTCTGCAATGGCTTAGTGCAATGTGGAAGGCAGCTGTGAGCCAGGTCCTGCACAAATGCTTGCAAATGTGAACCAAAGTCAGACAAGAGTGCGAATGAAAAGGATGCAACAGTAGGGAACAGATTAAAACATTAAGCTCTGTGACGAGAACTTTCATAAGTGGGTTGTAAGCACTATACAGTAGGAAACACTTTGTTTGTGTGCAGCAACTGTCCCATCTTGGCCTCCAGGCTATGTCTTAATGAATGCTCTTGGTGAGTTTTTGAACTAATAGAAATGTACCTTTCTCGGTCTTAAACACAGCCTTTTGTAACTTGAAAGATGATGCTATGAGTGCACACTTCACTCCCTTTTCATGTTCATTTACAGTTCTCTATTCTTAAACGACTATGTACTACCTGAAACACAACAGCTGCCAGACCTGCCTAGTTCATACACAACAGAAAGGTAAGGGAAGGCGCTGAACTGGCTTCTGCAGTTGGTAAAGTGAGATAGAAAAATTCTCAGTCCGCTTTAAGACATTTTCCATGAGGAATTCTGCCACTTGTGCAAAACCCTGTGGCTTGATAAACTGTTCACTCAGAACAGGATCTCCTCTCCCCCACCTCCCCCTACTTTTCCACTCCTGAGGCCTGCTCTTCAGAGAAACCTGAGGTGGGAAAGAGCAAAGTTTGGCACTTTAGCATTGTGTGGGTTTCATATGTAACTTGCAGGGACAGAAGAGGTAAGACACAAAGGGGCTCCTGCCCCCGATGTAAAACTGCATAGATAAGATTCACTATTGAGAAATAAAAATCCTTCTACAAGGCCCTTAAGCAAGCAAGCTTGAGATGATATTACACAGTGCCTTGCATGCAAGGCCCATCTGCCAGCAGTACCTGATCTCACAAAGAGATGTCGGATACAAGAGTTATTTCCCTACGCTGTGCTTAATAGGAAGATGAAATCCGAGAGAATGGAAACTGGTGAACATCACACAGAGCAGCTCTTCTTCACCACGGACCACAGACCCACCAGTGCATGAAGCAAAACTTGGATCTGGGCAGAACACCTCTGGGGATCACGGCACGAGATTGAACCTTCAAGGCCAAACTTTGTCTGCCTGGCAGATGGAGCATAAGAAGTTAATGCCCCTGTCTTACCCACCTTTGTTCTGGTCCCAGATGCACAGAGCCATCCTCTCTGCCCCACAGACACTGAGCTAGAAAATGCTCAAGTCAAGCCCCCAGGGAAGCACTTAACCTAATCCTAATTTTTTTTTTTTTATACCAGTACAAATAAGAACGGTCCAATCCAGAAAGTACTTGAAGACTCAGTTTCCTCTTGCTTTATCAGAAGCTGCAACGTGTAGGAGTAAAGGCAGAGTTATTTAATTTTGGCCAGTGCTGCTGCTCTCCTTTCTGTGTTCTGGAACAAGGCTCGGATCAGACTCTTCACTTCAGCTGCTGAGAATTCAGCTGCAAGAGGTCCCTTCCCATCCGCCCACCTACGTGGGAGAGAAAGAGCTTTATTTAACCAAACTGCACAGAAATGTCACGTTAAAACAAGCCTCCTGAGCACCCATTACAGTGGTAAGTCTGAAGGTAAAACCCACCCAGTTGGCAGCCTATTAGCTCTATGCAACTTGAGCCCAGAATTGTTTAGTGGGGTATATAAAGCAACAGTCTGTGGGGTGAGTTTTGCACTTGTTACAAACTGTACCTTTTCCTTTTCCAAAATAAGCCCAAAGCCTGTCCACAAACCTCCTTTTCATCTCCTAAACAACAGGAGAAATAAGAGTGGTTTATGCCCAGGTGAAAATAGAGTTGGGGACTTTGCTGCTGTTGGAACCATGTTAGACACCAATGAGGAGGGCAGAGGAAAGCAACTGCTTTCCCTGTGGCTGGTACCTTTTTCAGCTGAGCCTGCTGAGGACAGTATATTTTCTGGCCATTCAGCTGTATGCATAAGGCAGCTATGAATAGGGAATGTCTGGCTTCTGACAACTCATGCCAACTGAAGTAATAGATGTAATTATGCAAATCCTCATGTATAATTCACATAAATCCCCCTTGTAAGTTAAAAGGAGCAAGAAACAGCATCGAAAAACCAGAGGCCAATCAAGTGGAATGACTGCAGCAGCAAGGCACAGCTAACATCAAAAGCAGCAGGCAAAATGCCAGGCTGCTTACTGTGAAACACTTCTCAGTTTGGAGAAGCCCAAGGGGATGCACAATCACTCTCATGCCACTTGTTTTTTACCGTTGCCTTTTCCTTGCAGGAAGTGGCCGAATATATGAGCAAGCTTGAAATGGACAATAACTGCTGCGGGGGCTCTTTCTTGGCTGTGTGTTTATCTGGTCCTTATTAACAGTAATTGCCTTTCACCTGAACAGAGTCCCCTGAGTTTAGTGCCCTGCTGATGTCTGACATCTTCCCAGCTGCCTTGTATTGGGGTGACGAGCTAACTGGAAAGGAACAAAGGAAGACACCTACTGATCTACAATTTCTTGGAGGTTGGCTTGCAAGATGATCATCAGCTCTTTGAATGTCATCCACTTCTGCACGTAGACTGGAACTTCCTCTTGGTACTTCTTATTTTTGTCATCTTCAGGTAATGGGGTGAAAACTTGGGGTCCTTCCTCCACCATGGTCCTACAGAGGGAGTACAACCTATCTGCATCTTCTGCAGAGATATCCTAGAATAGATGTTAACAGGGGAGCAGTTAGGTGTTTTCTGGAGTGCCAAGAAATGAGTGAAATGAAAAAAGGTGCCTGTGAAGGTGAAAGCAGGGGCTTCCATCACGTTTACTATTCTCAGGCTAACTTATCTCACAAGTAGCTATCTCAGCAAGCTCTCAGTGTCTGCCTCAGAACAAAGGCTGTGCTTCTAAGCAGCACATCTTGGTGCACGAGCAAGCAGTTCACTGTGAAGCAGAGGTGTTGTGATGAAGGTCTGAAGAGTTCACAAGGAAACAGCTCAGGCATTGCCAGCCCAGTGGTGAAAGCCAAGCTTTCTGGCAGGCACAGCCTGAGCAAGTTTCTGTAAACTAGTTGTTAAGGGAAAAGAGGACTTACTGGCCTAATGCAGTAGGAAGGCTGTTTACATGTAGACTACAACTAGAACAGATGCACTAATGTATTTCTAACATTTGCTGTGAAAACATACTTTAATTAAGAAATGCAATAGAATAGTTGTGCTCAATCCAAGGTAACCTGACAATCACCTAAACACACTACTGGGAGTCAGGTGGAGATTTAGACAGATAGTAATTGCAATTTGAAATGCCACAGGTATCTCAGCATCTAGTGCCTAGATAGGACGGAGGCATTTATTAGAGATGGACAGAGTGAATGGAAGGGGTTTGAGACAACACTTAGCTCCTGTGCCCTGAAAATAGTAAAAGAGATACAGTCACAGAAATGTTTCTAGAGGAATGACACCTAAATCCAAACCAAGAGAAAAATCACAGCCACTTTCCTGACTCTCCCCTTGACCAGACAGTCATGGGATCTCTGTAAGAGGTCTCATCTGGATGGGAGTTTTTGGTATCTTGAACATATCTGAGAGACAGGGCGGCAATTATAAGTTCTGTGAAAGACGACTGCTCCTGGGAACTCCTGCTTTTGGCAAGAACTTCTAGAGGCTACAAATGCAGTTACCTCTAGGGCAGTGATCCTAGTGACAATCTCTGTGAGAGCTGTGTTCAGCAGAGTCCCCATAGCCTTGCAGTACACGTTCACTGGGAGGACATCTTGCCAGACTTTTCCCAGTCTTTTCAGCTGATGTAATACCTGGAAGATAACAGCTCTGTGTTACCTACGTGTTATCAACAGAACTCTGAGAGGTATCAAATGATAAGGTGATTACATATGGTCAGTCTGAAAGAAGCCAAAGGCAATGAAGTGTGCAGCTATCACATGGAACAGACATTCCTGGGGAAGGGAATGCAACGTTCTCAGTTTGCATTAAGGTTTATCAAAAGTGGAGTAGATCTTTTCATTGAAAATTATAGATGGACTATAAACAGAAGTTCAAGATTAAGCAGCTTTTCTTTTCAACTTGGAGCCAGAGGGACTGAACTTGGCTCCAACTTTACAGCCCCGGGCACAAAATATCACGCCAGAAAACTGTTTAGAGAAGTGCACAGTTCTCAGGACTGAGATTACAAACTCTGCCTTCCCAAGGACAACACCTACAGCCAATGGGATACTTGGCTCTGACTGCCTCACTTACCTGCCTTATTGCTTTATTAGCTGCACAGTAATTTTCCTCATCATCCATATTAGAAAAATTCCTGGCACTTGACAGCCTCTCCAGGATTTCTCCTTTTTGCACTCGCATCTGGGCCAGAAAACACTCCATCCCTTTAGAAGCAAAAACAAGCACAGAGAAGCAATTAAGCACTCAATAAACACCTCGCTGGATAATCAAGTTCTTGGAACTATGTGCTACACAAGAAGAGCTGGGTGTCAAAGAGGCAAGCCTGAAGCAGCCACACTGTTTCGAGTTGCAATGCTCTGACAAGACTTCCCAATCCAGAAAATGTCCTTGCTACTTGTCCAAAACCCTTAAATGACAATCCACTGCTCGAGTCAGTAGCCGCAGTTACATGAAATCATTCAGCAGCAAACACCAGGATCAATCACCACATCATCCATCAACAGATTTCAATAGTGAAAGGTAAAATTACCAAGTCTCCTAAAACCAGGCACCATGTCTACAAAAGTAGCTGCTCCGTCACACAAGATGTTAGTCAGGCGGTATCGGAACTGGTGTCCCAGGGTGAGCAGGTGATGAGCAATATACATGCAGTTGTTGTGGTGAATAGCTGCCAGCTGGGGTAATTTCTGGAGGTTCTCCCTGTCCCAGCAAGGAGGCAGAGAAAAGGAAGAAATGTATTTATTTAGATATAGCTCTGTTAAAAACCTGTCATGCCTATGCTGGAGAAACTCCTGGTCTGTCTCAGATGCTGCAAGTAACTGTGGGCAATGCCTGATAACGAGACCAGCTGGAATAGAAGCATTTAAGAGTTTCATGACTAGTGAAATGGCAGTTTGGCATCTGAACCATGTGTTATATGCTCATTGTTTCTAGCAGCAGATTTTCAAACAGGAACATACTTTGTTATAGCAAAGTTCTGCTGAGAAAAAGAGAGCTAAGTCCCTTTCGGTAATCACCCCAGTGGTTTCTTACAGCAATGTATCACTTGCAATCTTCACTGCTGTCCTTTCTTTTACAGGGAAAACATCATGAAAAATCTGTGCATCACACCTCGTGTCAAATCAAACTGCCTAGAATCAATCACAACTGTTTTAAGAACTGCAGTCTATCTCCTTGGCCACAGGACTGCCAGCTCCAAAACTCTCAAGCACCTATTTCACAGCAGGTAGGATTTACAAATAGATGAAGAGTACTAACTTCTTGCTGCTGGAGGAAGCCCTTACTAATCTGGGGACAAGTGGGGCTGTTTCAATAGCACTATTCTCTCTCCAAAACAGACACACACAGGCACTTACTTGTGGTATGTTGGCACTACATCATAGAACAGCTGGAATATATTCCGTACAGAATAGAAAAGCTGTATGCAGCTACAAGGCAAATAAGGTTCACGTTAGTTTGTCAGTGGAATTAACATGTGGTACACAAGTGACCCTCAACCTTTTCCAAAACAAGGTTTTGTTAGTAGTGAAGTACTGGCACAAAGAATAGATTGTCAGGACCAACTACAGCAATGTCAACAAAGGCAGCACTCTGGATAATTCACAAAGGCTGTGATGACCTTGTAAGTTCAGTGAGGAAAAGACAAGTTTCAGACCACATGTCAGAAGGGAGATATATGAAACCCTAGGAACAAAGGGGACAGTGTCTCTTCCCCACCAAGTGTGGGTTAAGAGTCATGCCATGGTACACTGAAGGGCATTCAGTATCTAGGCAACTCTCCTCCTCCAGGGTTGTGGTCTCCAGTTTTTAAAGCAGACTGTATGTGGTCCATTGTTTTCTCTGAAGAGCCCTGACAGATGCAGAGCTGGAGCAAAAGCAAGCAGGAAGTCCTCTGAGAATGGGTGCCATCTTTATCATTTCATGGTTTTGACTTTTCTAAACAACTGACAGTTAACATACAACAAAACACTGAAGCAAATGCTATGGCAGTATTTTTCCCAACTAAAAGACTAGGGAGTCTGCCACATTTTCACTGATTTAATAGCTAAAATACAGTGAAGCGTAGCTGAGTGTTCCCTGGAAACAGTCCAAAAGGCTGCTTAACCTGAGTATTGCAGGGAACCCTGTCTGCAGCTGTTCAGGGATGCACCCCCCAGCCAAAACAGAGTAGCTTAAATAACTGATTCTAATTTGAAGGTATCTTTTGTTCAAGTTCTTTTAATCCAGTAACAGATGCTTGGTGTTGCCAAAGGCAGTAAGAATGTGACCCGGAAGAGTTATTTGCTGATACAGAATTCTTACCACGGATCTGTGCTGGAAGTAGCCTCCAACAGTGTCTGATAAGCCAACTCCATCAGTTTCTCCACTGAGGAACTGATGCGGCATGTGGGCAGAGAAAATGTGTACTGGCTCAGTTTAGTCTTACTCTCCAAATTCACCATGTCGTTGTGCAGAAGTTCAGAAGCTTTTGGCATTTTTGAGTGATCTCCTGCCCTGGGATCAGGAAGCTTTGGTAGGGTTACACAGGAATCAGGTGTGATCTAAGGGAAGGTGAGAGGTGTAATATCATTTAGAGCCACAGAAAGGAGACTGCAAGACTACAAAACATTGAATGACAGAAATTTAAGACTCGAGATAAACACAAAGGTGCAGAAGTCCCCTAAGACTGCTCAAAGTCTCCTGGCTTATGAATGACACAGCAGGCCACAAAACAGTCCACGTCCTGTTGCATGCCTAGAATCAACTCTGTAAGTAATCTTCTATAATTTCTTATGCTTATTACACTAGCCAGCAAAGCCTATGCAAGCAAACTTCTAATATTTTAAGAAACATCCTGTTTGTCAAGATCCCTGAAGAATCAAAAGTATCTGGTGTGTGCCACAAACCCCCTCCTATTTGACTGTTCTAGACAAGCCTTCTTCAACAGCTTTTTTTTTCCACATAAAGTGTACTGCATCAACAGTCACCTTTACAGTATTGTGTATTTCTGAGGTCATCAGGTTCCTGGCTGCCACAATCACATCCTGGCACTTCTTGTTAGCAAAGTGGGAGTTGACATTACGGGCATACTTCAGTAAATCAGTCGTGTCTCCTTTCAAAAACTGCATGTTCTTCAAGGCTTTTTCAAATTCCTCTGTGGCTTTAATCACCTGAGAAGAGCAGACACGTATTCCAAATTACAGTATCACAGTATGTTAGAGATTGGAAGGGACCTCGAAAGATCATCTAGTCCAATCCCCCTGCCGGAGCAGGAACACCTAGATAATGTTACACAGGAATGCGTCCAGGCGGGTTTTGAATGTCTCCAGGGAAGGAGACTCCACAACCTCCCTGGGCAGCCTCTTCCAGTGTTCCGTCACCCTCACTGAGAAGAAGTTTCTGCTCAAGTTTAAGTGGAACCTCTTGTGTTCCAGTTTGTACCCATTACCCCTTGTCCTATCATTGTTTGCCACTGAGTAGAGCCTGGCTCCATCCTCGTGACACTCCCCCTTTATATATTTATAGACACTTATAAGGTCACCCCTCAGTCTCCTCTTCTGTAAACTATAGAGACCCAGCTCCCTCAGTCTTTCCTCATAAGGGAGATGTTCCACTCCCCTAATCATCTTCGTCGCTCTGCGCTGGACTCTCTCCAGCAGCTCCCTGTCCTTCTTGAACTGAGGGGCCCAGAACTGGACACAATACTCCAGATGCGGTCTCACCAGGGCAGAGTAGCGGGGAAGGAGGACCTCTCTCGACCTAATTAACATAGCTTTCTAAAACCAAAGATCAAAATCAAAGTTGGGTATAAACTCTTTCACTTGGCTGAAAGCAATGGATGAAACTAGGTTTCAGAGGGCACTAATGACCCAACAGCTTTTTAGCAATCCTTTGGAAAAAGCTGGCAACCTGGCATTTCCTGCCAGGAAACTGCGTGGATCTGAAACAATCTTGAGACCTACCTCTATATACTGCTCTAGTTTGCTGCTATTGGTTGGGATTGAATTCACCAGACAGTTCTGAATGAGGCAGTCTGACAGTTCTTCCCATATCAAGTCACCTAGCAGTTCTGCCAGTGTAATTCCACAACCCTTTTTATCTTCCACAGGCTGCTCAAGAGGCACATCTGAATTCAAGAGAACAGAAAGGGATGTTAATACACCGGCTTCCTGGACCAGACCCTTTACCAGTTCATTTGATCCCCCCTGTCAGAACAGCATTCATCAACTGCTCCATAGTCTTACACTGGAGGTAAGCTCTTGTGCTGGGTCTGTGGAACCACCCACCTGCCCAAAAGACACCTGAATTTGTGTGAACTGAGCCTGCTTTCCAGTGTGTTTGTTTCATGAAATGCTAGCAAAGCCCAGGCCAGTTTCTAGCCAATGTGACCAGCTCAAGGTGCCAAGCTGTCCAAGAGCACAGCATAACAAGGTAACATTAAAAGTTGCTTAGATGCTTAGACCTTATCATAATGCAATATACTTAACAACCAGACACTGATCTCAGTCTAATCCCGAAAGGCAGAAACTACCTACTCAGCAGGTATTTGTGGAGAACTTCAAAAATCAGCCTGATCTTGTCAAAAACCTCCATAGGAGAGGAATGATCCAAGCTAGGTTCCTCAGACTTAAAACGTAGGATGAACACGTCGGACTGTTCCTCTGTGCATGGCTGAAGAGACGGGTATAAAATCAGAGGCTTGAGGATGTGTTTCAGCAACAGCTGGCCTGAGAAATAAAAAACCAAGATGTTTTCCAACAGCAGAAGGCAGGCAGTTTGCTCCAGTGAGGCCAAACCCTAATTGCTTTGGATGCAGAGACTCTTTGCATGGTGTGGGAGAAACACTCTCTTGATTAGCTGTACTGGGGAACAGCAAATGAAGTAAAATGCTGGCTTTGGTTTCACTAGGACTTTGATATCCTTCATACAAGTCTGAACTCACACCTACTGGACTGTTTTATAGCTATATTCATCTGGATCCACAGTCTGTCTTACCAAAGATTTTAAGCTTGGTGTGCAGTTCTCCCAGGACAGCAAACGCCTGCAGCACAGAAGCAACGGGGGGGCCAGCAATCTCCTCCTCTTTTGATGACACCGTGTGTAAGTGCAATTCTGAATGCACCACTGACTCCAGGCTGCTGCCTTCTAAAGAAAAACAATCATCATCTTACTGTCAAGAGCGGGGCCAGTGATACCGCACTGAAACAGAGAAGCTACTGCATTCCTCTGGTGGCAGCTAAAGCAATACTGTACTTCTCCCCATTTCCTGCTTGTAAAAGAGCATCAGAAGAGGGTAGAGAGTCCCTTGTGTAACAGTGCAGGACAATAGAATGAGAATCAATCTTACAATGATTCAGGTTTCTCATTTCGGTCACCTTGCAACTGAATGACGTTTAGTGACAATCACTTTCTTTCTTCTTCCCATTTCAAGTCAAAGGCAAAGGTTTTTCTCCTTTACAGAGGAAAAGCTTGTACTTCAATGAAGACAGCAATGTACAAACTTGCGCATTTCTTACAATTAGTTTCTGATCTCTGCTTCAATGTTTCTAAGAAATGTGACAGATGAGGCGGATAATTCTTCAAAACTCTGTTTAAAATCTGTGGGCTATATTGGACTGGCTCTGGTAACACCTAAATGCTCCAGGAGTGATAGCCAAAGAACACTGGCACTCATCACTCACACTCGTTAGTTTATATGAATGGCAGAACCAACCTTAGTCCAACAGCATTAACTGTATTTTCTATGTTGTTGTAGGTGCTTGAAACCAGGCATTTCAAACAGCAAAGCAAAGAAAGTGGAAATGTGCTAGAACTGCGAGTACCTTTTGAAGGAGGAAGCTTCCATACAGCCAATTTCTGCCACTCTTCTCCCAGATGATAGAGCATGTTCTGAGTCTGCACTGTGAGCTCAGTGCTTAGCGCCTTCAGGATCTTCAGCTCAAAGCCCTTGCGGGATTCCAGCAATCTGAGGTTGCTTTGTGCCTGGTGGTAAACGCCAAACACGAAACACAGGTAAGTGTTGCCTCTGCTATTGAACAGCATCTTGTGAAACACACTGAGAGTATGGATGAACAATACTGTCATATGCTTCTGAAGGCATTATTACCGTTTCCAGGTGCTGAGCTGCTGCAACGTACTTCTTTTCCAGCAGGGCAGTATTGTAGTCTTTAATAGCAACATCAAACTGCAACAAGCAAATAGAGCCAATGTCACTGTGTAGCTGCTATTAGACTGCAATTTTTTAAACAGCGTGGCTAGAAGCAGGGGAGCTATAGACAGTGTTTCGGGAGAGAGCCCAGGGTAATGCCACAGACTGAGTGAGGAGCACAGAGGATGCCTCCCCAGCCCTTCCTCACCTCCTGCAGCTTTTTCAGGATGCTCAGAACCAGCGTGTCTTGCTCCAGCTGCTGCTTCAGCTCAGTAAACTCGGCAACGGCAACGTTCAGATCTCGCTGAACCTGAAACAAACTGTAGTTTGTTATTGAACTACAAACTGTAGTCCATTTACAGCAAGCAAAAGTTATCAGACACTTTTCCCCTTTAACATGACAACACCATGAGTTTTAAAGTATTTCTGTTAATAGAATAACCTGGTGAGGAGGAAGAAGGCTCCATCCGTTTTTTCCTTATCTTCTGCAAACACTTTTAAGCTAGTTTTATCTTTTAATACGTTACAGGTTTTATAAGGCACTGGAAGGAAATTTAGTGTCAAAAGGCAGTCAAGAGGACTTCAGTGCTCCTTTAACACAGTTATTTAAAAGGCAAGAATGCTTGAACTGAGCCAAAAGTTAATTCTCAATTAACGCAGCACCTAGGACCAAGGCTGGGCTGACCCATGACAGCATCCCACTGTACTGCAGTACCCAAGGGTGACCCTCCTCTTTCGGAAGGAGACGTGTGCCGCACCTTTCCAGCTGTACAAGGGAACGCGGCCAATCCCTTCATGACAGCTGCCTTACACACCCCAGTGTGACACACACCTCTGCAGGTGGCATCTAAGGGCACCGTCAGCAGTGGCATCATCCAGGCCACCCAAGGTGTGTGTATGGGGGGGGGGGGGGGGAAGTGTGCCCGGGTTTGGGCTGAAAGGGAGCGGCCTCTGCGCAAGGCCCGCGCCGTCACCTCGCTCTCGATGCCCGCCTTCAGCAGGTCGATGCTGCTGCACAGCCCCTCCACCTGCGCCGCCAGCCCCTCGGCGCTCTGCGCGCTGGGCAGGAACTCGTTGTACTTCTTGTTGATCACGTTGCACACCTCACCCTAGGGAACAAGGCGCGTTGGGGCCCCGCCGCTCCCGGCCGGCAGCAGCCACAGCCCGGCGCCCCCCGCTGTCCCCGCAGCCCTCCCCCTTCCGCCCCCGGCCCTGCCTTCAGCTCCTCCACGCGGCGGGACAGCCGCCCGATGCGGGTGCCCAGGTCCTCCTTGTCCAGGCGGCCCGAGTGCGCCAGCACGTCCGCCACCAGCGAGCCCGCCGGCGCCGCCATGCTCCCGCGCCCGCAGCGCCACGGGGCGGTGCCGGCGCTACGGCGGCCGGTGAGCGACAGACTTGAGCGGGGAGTTTCTCGCTCCTGCTGGGGACCGCGGGGATGGGGCGGGATGCAGGGATGATGTGGGCTCCCCGGCTGCTGCGGGGTGCCGTGGCTGCAGGGACGCCCTTGGCTGCTGGGGTCCGTGGCAGCGTGTGCGGGGACCACTGCTCCAGGAGGCTCCCCGGCTGCTCGGGGTCCCTGGATGCTGGAGCAGCCGCCGCTCAATGCCAGCCGCCGTTCTCTGTCACTCCATGGCTGGGGTGAGGAGGCAGGCACAGGGCACCTCAGGCATCCTTCAGCTGCCGTGCGAGGGAGGCTCCAACCCTCGGCATCCGGTACCTGACGAAGGCGGGTGGTGCCTTTCCACGTCCTCTCCTCCGAGCAGGGGAAAGAGCCGCCACCGCTTGGTGCCATGCGGAGGGGAATGGCGCTGGGTGCCTGGGTGCTCCTGGCCAGCCTGGCCGGGGCCAGCTGGGGTGTCGGAGGTAAGTCCCAGGGTGCGGGTCGCTGCCCGCGGGCTGCTGCAGTGAGAGCTTTCCCTGCTCTGGACCATGCTGTGTATGGTATGGACCATGCTGGACCACTCTGGGGTAGCTTCAACCCGCCTTGCAGCAACAGAGCATGAGAAGTTGGGCTTGGCAGTATCACAGTGTTAGACCAAAGCCATGCGCTCTGTGCCCGGTCCAAGTGTGGAAGCTGGAGAGCCTCTATTCCGTACTCAGCAAACAAGACAGGGGACTTACTCTCCATTTAGAGACTGTTGCAATGTGTATGTGCCTCCCTGTTTGGGCTCAGCTCCTGTCTCTGCTGCTGGAAACACTTAACTTTTCTGTTCCTCTCTTGCTGCAGTTGTACTTCAACACCAATGCAGTCTGTGTGCGGGTCACGCACATACAGTCTGAATGGAGACCGGGTGACTACCCCATTCCACTTAGTTCTCGCTCTAAGAAGACTTGGATCTCTATAAACTCCTCAGAGCTGCATTAATGTAACCACTGGGCTGCTTTTCCACTGGGTAGTCTGCTGTTTCCAGAGTTCTTTTTGTTTGTGCTGTCCATTCCACTGCTCAGGACAGCCTAACGTGATGCTTCCTACACTAGCAATCTCCATCGATGACATCCCTGAGTTCTGCACCACTGTGAGGGTTGATAACGTGCCTGTGAAACACTCTATTTGTTTGCTTCTCACAGGACAGAAGATAACCGTGAAAGAAGCCAGCGGGAAGGTGTTCCTAGAGTGTCCAGTGGGCAGCAACAGTCAAATTGTATGGTACAAAGATGGGAATTGGGTAGAAAACACAACACAGCTGGATTTGGGTGCAATTTACGATGATCCCAGAGGTATCTATACATGTGAAGCAGACAAAGGAAAGAGAAGCCCTCCCTTCCAGGTGCACTACCGAAGTAAGTGTTCCAAACCTGGCTTCTACAGCTGGGGCTGCTTGGAGTTTTCACCCGAGCAGATTTATGAGGGAGCTGCTCATTTCCCACAGTTTGCGGGTTGTTCCACCAGTTTGCAGAAGTCCTGGTGGCTCCTGTGCTAGGTTGCCCTTGGGAACAGCCAAGCTGCATGTTCTGCATCTGGTGTCCCCATAAGAGCTATAACCTGGCACTCATACTGGCCCAGGCTATGGCCAAGGGGCAGGCTCCTTGTCATGGCCCGTCTTTCAGTGTCTGTGTCTTTTTGGTTTCCAGTGTGCCAGAACTGCATCGAAGTGGATGCTGCCACCATCTCGGGGATCGTGGTGGCAGATGTCGTCGCCACCGTCTTCCTGGCGGTGGCTGTGTATTGTATCACTGGGCAGGACAAGGGACGCATGTCACGAGGTGAGGGGGCAGCGCACGGGTCGGGACAGGACGTGCCTGGGCATTTCTAGGGGCTGCGTGCTACCAAGGGACTTCCCATCACTGCCCACGGAGCCCAGCCACTGCCAGCAGGGTGTCTAGGGCAGGGACCTATGTGAGCTCTCCAGGTATCCTTACTGCCCCTAGCTCAGCTTCCCAGGAGAAGCCAGTGAATGCACAAGGTTAACCGAAACAGCATCCCAGGAGCAGCCACGGGTGACACAGGAACATCTGAGGCCTTGCAGGGGCTTCCCGTTGAGCCTCCCAGAGGAAGTAAAAGCATAGGGCTGGAAGCTGCTTGGGTTTGTTTGCTGATGTCCGCTGCACTGCCCATGACTCCCCTGATCCTTGACCATCTTCTTTCTTCATTTAGCTTCTGACAGACAGAACCTGATTGCCAATGAGCAGCTCTACCAGGTAAGCTGGACACTCTTGTGTGTCTGTGTGGGCATGCCTACAGGCTTCATTCCCTGTACCACCCATCCCAGGACTGGACAGGCACTGTTGCAGCCTGTCTCTCCTGTTTCTCCTCCTAGCCCCTTGGTGAGCGTGACAACGAGCAGTACAGCCGGCTGGTACCTGCCAAGGGCCGCAAGTGAAGTGGGAAGATGCTGGAACCTGTGAGTCCTTCACACCAGGGGTGCTCCCGCAGCAAAGCCACCACCAGTGCCCAACAGCATTGGTACCCTGCTCTGGCACTGCCTTTGTAAGCTTCCTGCTGGCAGAAGACAGTGTGAGTTTTTCCCTGGAGAGCCCTGCAGCTCCTTGCTGGGATGTGCTGCTCGCAGCACTCTGCCCTTCCCGTGACCTCGTGCATTTCTGTATCGCTCCTATTAAAGATGAGCCTATCCCCTTGTCTCCCTGCTCCATCAGTTCTGTTGAGGCCTGGGGAGCCGTGCAGTCACAGGGGAAGGTGCACACTGGGTGCTTGCAGAGCCATAGGGCTCCTGCCTGTCCCGATAGGACACTGCTCTGCCAGTGCAGGCAGGTGCTCGTGTCTGTGCCAGGAAGGAGGACAGAGGGATGTTTGCTCTGCATATGCAAGGTTTAGCATCTAAGCACAGTCTCCAAACCACAGAGGCTTGCCAGGACCCTATCACACAGCCAGCCTATGACTGCCTCGGTGCTTAGGGGAGTGAAGCATGAGCAAAGAAGCAAACTGTGCTGGCTTCCCAGAAGAGTTTGTGGGGACCCAAAGAGGAAATGGGAACAGAAGAGAGGATGGAAACTGGAGCAGAGACCTTGCAAAACACATGGCAGAGGAGCTGGCCAGGCAGCGAAGGCCAGAGGCAGTCCCTGCACCTCCGGTGTTCTTGGTAGCTCAGCAGCCCATCAGAGAGAGTCTGGCCTTTGTGACCTGGCACTGGCATCCCATATTACAGGCTGAGTGCAGGGTGCAGTGGAGCAAACTTCCAGAGCCTTTCCCAGCTCAACCACTGAGCAGCACTGGGTCTCTCCACCTCAACCCAGCTCCTTCTGGCAAAGTCTCCACTCCCCAGCTCTAGCAGAGACAGTTACTGTGGTCTGGGTATGGCTGATATGGGAGGCAGCTAACAGACAGGATCTTGCCAGCCTCAGAAACTAGGTCACCCCCCTTTTGCCCATCACACACACATGTAGGTGTGGTTCCCTGCTCTTCTGAGAAGCTCTAAAGAGAGCATCAGGCTGTGAATTGCTTCTGACTCAGTGGCATCAGGTAAGGCAGGACTATGAATATAGTGACCAGCAGACTGCCTTGTGCAAAGCATTTTCATCGACATCAGCTCTCAAAGTAACGAGCAAAGGTGGCTAACTACACCCACAGAGCAGGAGGAACCTGGGGCAGAGCTGCTGGCTATGGTCTGTACAAATCAAAGAGCCAGCAGAGGTAATGTTTACAACTTGTCTAGTCAAAGAAGGCAGGACGAAGAAGCATTTCTGTAGTGCAGCTAAGCACAGAGGCAGAGAGGTATCACTGGATGGGAGCTGATCCCACTGAGATAAGGGGAGTGTGGGATGGCACTGGTTGGGGCAAACATGCAGCCCCATACATGGCAGAAGCACTGGGGTGTAGCTTGAAGCAAAAGGTAGACCTTGTACACCCAGACAGCGCTCAGAGTGCTCTGGATTTATCCCATCCCACTCATGGACAATGGGCTGCATGGCTGGGCTGAGCAAGCAGCCCTGCTGCAGTGATGTTTGGCAGAACCTGAGAATGTGGCCCAGGGTGGTTTTAGAGCTGCTGGGGGGTGGTGCTCTTTCTATCTTGCAATCTCCCTCCTAGGTACTTAGGGCCTTGTATGGTAAACCCAGCTGTGCTGCTTTAAAACCACATCCTGCAGGGTAAGCACAGCAATCTGGAGCATGAAACTTGCTGGTGTTTACCTCTTCATGCTGAAACTCGAGGGTTAAACCACCCCCAGGCCCCATCACTGCTGCTGTTTCCTTTCTCCAGAGCTGTTGCTCTGAAGGGTTGGGGGATGGACAGGTAGGTTTGCATGTACTGGTAGAAATGCTACTCTTTAATGAAAGCTGTTCTTTTTGACTGAAACATTTTCATTCAAAGCAGTGGCTTTCTATAAAAATGCATCATTTTGGTTTTAATATGCTGCCTGCCTCTGTCCCTTGTGTTACAATCCTGGGCAGCAAAACGAAGATAGGCTATGAAGAACATGAGAGCAGGAGGCCAGTCACTCTGAGAAGGACCCACTCTATGCCCACTGGCTGCCCATGCTGGAGCCAGTGGAGGCACTGGGAGCAGAAATGAAATGGGCGAGAAAACCAGAGCATGCAACTAGAGCAGAGAGAGAAGTGTGAGGGGAAAGGAGGCCAGGAACCAGAAGTGAGGCTGTAGTCCTTTAATGAGGAGCAAAACTTCTCTTGCCAACGTGCTCATCAGTTTCTTTTCCCCTATGTCAAACTGAAGGGGGAAAGAACACAGGGTGGGACAGCGATGGCAGCAGACACCTGCCCTGTGTAGTAGCTGCCCTACTCCAAAATGCCAAGCTGGGCAGAAGCACTTAGCTCCTTTGCTGCTGTTTTCCAGCCTGGCGTCAGTGGGAATTTCAGAAGCCCCTGGATTCCAGGCCTGCATACACTTCCCGCTGGCCTTTCCGGATGGGCTGTGGGAAGACAGAAGTGTTAGTTTGGGGATCCTCATTAACACACCCTCAAACAGCACCACAGTTGGACTGGGTGGCTCTTCAAAGGAGCAAAATGCATAAATGCCACGGATTCCCAGCTATGGCTATCCCCTTATCCCTCCCCAGCCAGCAAAGAGAGACCAAACACAGGTACTCCGTACCTCATAGTCTGGGTTTGGAACGGGGGGAGGACGCTGCATCTTCTGGCCTGCAACAAAGGCAAAGGGAAGTTATCCTTGGTGATAATTCATATAACACAACACAAGGGACTTTCACAGAGATGATCCAAAGGTAAGGCATATCACGGGTCAACTCCATGGCTTTATGATGAGCTTAGAGCTTCTTTAAAAGCAAGTGCTCCATTCAGTGCTTAGCAGACATCATGGAGAGCGGAGATGCCTGAAATGGCTCTTACCTCGTGGCCGACTGCCAGCACCAGCGCTCACTCTGCCCATCCTGTCCTTGCTGAAGTAATAGACCAGAGTGAGTACCCCGAAGGTGATGAGAAGATCCGCACTGATGATCCCTGTCACTGCCAAGGCATCCAGCTCCGCACAGTTTGCGCACACTGCCGGGAGGAGACATGAGGGTGCTCAGAGATGGGCACTCTTCCTTTCCAGCAAGCAAAGTCCAGGCCTCAGTCACCTGCTTGGTGCTAGCTCCTAATATCCATCACTGAAATGTGCAGACTTTAACCCATACACCGAGTGTTATTTCACTCACCTTTGGCATTCAGGTACATTTCATACTTCTTAGGACCTGATGAACAACTCACACTGACAGGAGAGCTGTCGTGATTCTCTATAACGTACTTCTGTGCATCGCTGACTCCCTTTTTCCCACTTGAGTGCCAGGCTATGGTGCCTTCAGTCAAGGGACATGTGATTGTCACTGTGGTTCCAGAAATCTCCACCAGGAATCCTTTATTGGAAGATGGGTGAAGGAGAAAGGAAACCAGCATTACACAGCATTACAAATGGCTTTTGAACAGGCTTCCCTGCCCACCCTCGCTCCCACCATGGCAGTTTGCTCTGCAAAGTCTTTGATTTCAGTGTAGATTCTCTGTGTGTGTGTCTTCTGCACACACATTTCCCTTTAGGTTTGTACACTTACTCTTTGCAATACTGAGTAGTCGGAGAGCCTGGCTTCCTGCTAGGCACTCTTCTGTTTATCCATATGCTTGCTGGTCTCTGCTAGGAGACCATGAACAGTAATTGGGGCAACTCATTATAGCTTATTTTTGTGATTGGTGATAGCTGCCTTTCAGTCCTCACCTGTGAGGCACCTGTAGTCTTCATAAAGTGCTAACTAGTTAAGATTATTGGTTAAAATACACTTACCCTCTTGTGCTTCGGTATCATCTGCAAAGGAGAGAATAATGCGTTACTGTTTGTTGCTGTTGGAAAATGCCTAACTCTGCTTGGGGATCACTAGCAATAATGAAGGGCATTCACAGCAGGCAGCTGTTCCAAGTCAGTGAGATCAGTATCAATTAATGAACAGTGATGTTTTTCCTATCCTACAGTATTTGCAAAAATTCAGGTATTTCTATCGAACTTTTATTCCTCATTTGTGAGGCATAGTTGGTCTTTTGATCATCAGTAGGCAAGAATGCTCGTAAAATACACTTACCCTGCTGAGCTGTGGTGCCAGCTACAAAAAGAAAGAATAATAGGTGTTAAGTAGTTCAGCTACTGATACCATGCACCTTTCCTACTTCAAGGAGAGCCCTTGTGAACCCAGCTGCTTGAAAGAGCTGCTTATACTCCTATAATTGTGCTAAAGGCATTAGAAGCATTCTGTTAAGAGAGGCAGGATGTTGTTTTGAAATGAAGTCTTTTCCTTTGGAAGCCATTTTTAACACAGCCTAATGCAGAATGGAAATCTGAGTTATTTGCTGACCCACTTTAGAAAAGGGTTGTTGCACGATGGGAACCCACAATTTTGCTTCATCATCATGGACCAAAGATTGCTGGAAAATCATGCCTGGTCTCTGCAGTAAGAACCCCTGTCCCCTGCAGGACTGTACTCTTTGGAGGATTGGACCCCAGTGCTTGATTTAACACTGAAATAGTTTACCGGTGTGATTTTTCTCTCTTGGTTGGAAACAAGTAGCTCCGTTGAAGTCTCTGGAGTTGGAATATTATAGAAACAGTTTTTAGGAGGTGTTAATAAGACTTGTGTTTGCTTTAAAAGCATTTGTTGATATAAATTAAGTACAGGAATGACCTGATTCAGGCGTTCACCACTGTTTCATGCCAGGTAATGTTTGCTTTATAATAGGAGTTACTTCTAACAGAGCTGTAGATTTGAAACTCCACAGGCATAGAACTTGCCTGGAGAGAAGGTGGTGTGGTGCTTTTTAGTTTAGATAACTTGAATTTAAAGTGGAAAAAAGAACGGACCATGGGTAAACTGAGCGTTTTCAGGCTTCTCAAAGACCAACAGCTGGTCTTTGCAGCACATTAGCAGAATAGCTGTTGTTTGATTGTAGTATCTTTTAAGTGCCTTTCAAACTTCTCTCTCATAGTTACCAGCTCTTTTATAGTCTTTAGAGGTACTTTGCATTTAGCCCTAGTCTGGCTTTCCAGATGCTAGTCAATTTAAACTGGTAAAGAGGATATTGCTACCACTGCCACGATCTCACAGTGAGTCTCAAGTTATTTACCCATGATCACAAAATGGTTTAGGAAGAGAGCTCGAATAAAATGTAAAAGTAAAATGTAAACCTCAGAACCTTCTGGTTTTCAGGGCAGCCACCCTTCTGGTCCCCATGGGCACTGGGCAGCCGTACTCACCCGCACACAGCAGGAGTCCTCCCAGGAGAGGCAAGGACTGCTCCAACCTCATCCTTGTGTTCCTCCTTCTCTTGCTCATCAATAGCACATCAGACGGGCATCACCGAGGCAGGCTGCGAGGGAAGAAAGCACACATTGGCTTTCCAAGGGCTCGCTTACAAGAAAGAGGCCCAAGCTGTTTTCCCAGAACTGTGAACCGAGTCGTGCAGAGGAGACTCACTGTTTCCACTGCAACCTGCAGGCAGCCAAGGCGCAGAACGCGTGTGATGAAATGAGCCCATGTCAGGAAGTGCGGAGGTTCAAACCATCTTCATGGAACGTCACTGACAGCAAGGGGTGGCCGCTCTGCACCAGCCTACTTCAAGTCTCAGGAGTCCTGTTGTAAAAGCCCTTGGAGCAGCAGGAGAGAGAAACAAGCCTGGATGCGACCTGCGGTCAGGACCTTCCTAACAACCCTTCACAGTGAGTGTTTCTGAAGTTCAAACTACTGCAAGCAACTTAACACAGCAGGGAAACCAAGGAAGCAGAAATACTTCAAAGAAGCTCAGCACCTAGAGGCACTGTATGGCTCACAGAAATGAGCCTGTAAGTGCAAGGCTGTAAAACCTGGGGGGTTTTACACTATCTGGACACAACTTTGGTTATTTTACTCTAATAAAACCCATTTATTCATGGTGCCTTTTCAAGAGTGGTGTTTGCCAGCTCTTCATCCGCACTCTCTTCAGTACACATACTGACAGGGAGGAGAGCAGCGAAGGCTGTGCCTAAGCACACCGACTTCTGCGCTGCCAGCCTCTGACCTGCCTGCTCTCCATGCCGTGCGCTGATGTTAGGAGGAAGCTTGCTCACCTGCGTTGCCTTCTCTCTCCAGCTCTCTTCATGGGCCTGACTCCACTAGATGGGGCTCCAGCCCCGCTCCGGCACCTTCCCTACCCGGACTTGCGCTTGGGGTGGGCAGCAGCCTCCGCACAGCGTGGGACTGCGGCAGGGAGCTTTCCGGCTTTGCTTCCAGCCGGGGTGCTGGCACAGACGGAGGGGGAACACGCCGTCCTTCCATGGCTCTCTGCTGGAAGCCTGCAGAGGTGGCAGCGCTGTGCATACGGCTGTTGGGATTTCAGGGTATGCGTCTAAAGCACAGTGCAAAGCCAGCTACGGGTCCCTCCTTCCTCAAGGACACTCCGTGTTTTTGCGCCTGCCACATACATCTCAAGGGACTCCTTTCCAGATGCCTGGAGCCGGCTTCTTGCTCCTTCCATGAGCTCAACACTTAGTGACATGGCTAATCATGGTATTTCATTGCTCTCTTTAGCTGTCAGATCTTTCTTTTATTTATTTCTGTTCCAAAATGAAACATCAGAGAGTTCGAGTTACTTGTAAGGGTGCCGAGGACACGGTGCTCTCTTAACAGCTGGAGTCAGCAGGGTTTGAAACAAGATGTTGAAGGTTAATAAAAGAAGGGAGCCCTTCAGAACAGCCAGAGGTTAGGACATCCTTCCCATCCCTGCCTTGGCACCACTGCTGGGAAAATTAGCATCAGGCTATGTTTCAGTAGGATATTTCCATCCTCTGGACGTGTGCCCACACTGCTGCCACTGACTGGGTTGTTTGCAGGTTTTGGCCAAACAAATGGCCCTCATTACTTCAAGCTCTCTATAAACACCTTCAGGCAAATCTTCTTTTGGGAGCAAATTTACCTCCCACAAGAAGGGAGTGGTTTCAGGTGGAAGCTGGGAGAAGGGATGATTGCAACACAAAAGAGCAAGGGAATATGGGAGGCAGAAGAAAATAATCTTACCTTGGAAGTCTCCCTGTTTTACCCGCAGAGGTGAGCTGTGCTGGCCGCACCTTGCCTTTCAGAGCAAGGCCAGGGAGTGCTCTCTGACTCAAGCAGGAGAGCACTCACATCGCTTTGCAAGCCAAGCTGAGGGAAAGGAATTTGCTCGGCTGTGCTGGGAAGGCTTTGAGAACCTCGTCTTTCCTCCGGTTAGTGAGCAACTGGAACAAGTTACCCATGGAGTACAAAGTTGTCTTCCCGATGCACGGCCCCAGCTGGCTGGGTGCTGTGCTCTTCCTTGGGGTCCAGCTCCCAGGTAAGGAAACCTGGTAATGGGTGGCCTCAGCTGCCATCTTGACTTTCCTCTTCTCGTCCCTTAATTATCATCCTCATTAAGGCAGTGACTTTGTAGCACGCTCGGATACCTGCTGTTGACGATTGCTGCGATTCTTTCGGGTCCGGGTTCACTGCAAGTGACACGAAGTGATTGAGTTTCTTTGACAAACAGGTTTAAGTGTGTTCAAGCGGAAGAACAACACTGATCTCATTCTGAGCTCTGGTTACACGTCTTTTTCTCTCCTCCCAGGAACCTGGACTTTACTCCGTGGTGTTTTTTTTTACCCTGTCTTTGTTACCAGACAGTCAGGGATTGTTAAGCAGCACTTGGCTTTAGATCCTTTACACAGCGATGACTCCAGACTGGCAATAACCTGGCTTGAATGTTTAGTGGTTTATAGCTGGATTCTAAGAACACCGTGTCCTCCTTTCCCAAACGCACCAGCACATGGAAACGTTTGGGAATCTGTCTTGGAAAAAGAATTTTAAACTCATTTCCCACAGTTGTTCTTTTGAAGGAGTTTAACATGAAAAGATTTGACACTGAATCTTTGGATGAGAGAGGGTCTCCGCCAGAGAAGTTTATCAATGTGGGCTCCTTCAATGTTTTGGTGTTTCAAGTATTTTCTTCTTTGAGAAAAGAAATTATTTGGCAAGGAAGTCTTGGGTTATAAATTATTTTCAAGTACAGGAAATGTATTGATTCTCTTTGTTATGAAGCTGGATTTTACAACCCCAGATAAATGTTTTGTTTTTTTTTTTTGCTTGAATCGCCCTGGGGAGGGTAATTCATCTTCTTAAAGTGACAGGAGATTATGAATATCTTTCTTTTTTTTTTGGCTGGGTTAGTTTGACCAATAAGGAAAAGCAAAGTCATGGGAGCACATGGTCAGGAACAGGGGGGGACTGTCCCTTTCAGCAGCAGCAAGCTATGTAGCACAGCACTGCCATTTGGGGAAACTAACCCACTGAATTCAGGGCAGGCGAGAAAGAAAGCAGTTGAGGGGGGAAAAAGCAAGAGCCATGTGGGTAGCACGAATCTGCCAGTGATGAACCTGTCTGGAATGGCAGGGCAAGCCAGAAGACAAGGAGGACTCAGGCCTGAGAGGTATCTTCAAAAGCATCTTTCTAAGCATCTTTCTTCTGTCTGTGTCTTGATGCTGTCTCGCTGCTTGTCTCTCTCTCAGGGTATTATCGAGTTAGCCGTGCTGTCTTATTTTCAGCGTGGTAGCTGTGGTGGTTTGGTTAGCAGAGGATGTTTCCTTGCCAAAAATATGCTTACAGATTTACCTTGAGGATTCCCTGCAGAGTGCCTCAGTCTGGCTGTATTTGACTGTAGCTGTCCAGCTGGGTGAACCTTTGAACAGGCACTGCAAACTTCAATAGGAGAAGTTTCCACCATGGCACTCAGGCTGATAATACAAAGTGTATAAAGGAAAGCTCTAGCAACTGTTTACTGTGGTTCATCAGTCCTAATTAAAAGGGTGGGACTGCTTCTCTGAAGAAACCTGCTTGGGGAATTGAGTGCAGCAGAGTGCTGTCACTTGTGATAATGTGGCCAGGCCAAGTTCATGAAGAGTTATGTATGGTATCTTCAGTGCCAGTCAGGAGCAAGTACATGCTTAAGGAGGAGTGGCATTTACAACAACATTGCACCTCCTAGATGTCAAGTTTACTCATGCCTGAAGAGAGACATTTCCAGCCAGAACAAAGTATTGTCCCTGTAGGTAGGTCCTTCTCAATGGTCCTCTCTCAACCAGTTGCCAGGTCTGTAAGTGCTTAACCGCAAAGCCACAAAGCTACAAGGAAAGCACTGTACCAGCAGTTCAGATGAAGACAAACTCCCTTGAAAGCAGCACGGCCCAGCTTGCATATCGTATCAGCTGACAAAATCCATGAAGCCCAGGGATCTCTTGGATTCTGCATATGCAGGATCATCTCCTTCAGTAATTATATCTGTCTGCTTGAGACTAGCAGGTTAAACATTGACAGGGATAGATAAGGCAGGTTTTGCACAGGATAAATGCAGATAAGGAAAAGTGATGAGCTTACTGGTAGACAGTAGTTTGTCTTATCTCTAACGCCTGCTGTTCTCCCTGCAGCACTGTGGCCTGTGGCAGCCATGGAAGTTCACACTTCCAAGGAGGTGAATGCTGTGAACGGCACTAACCTGCGGTTGAAATGCACCTTTTCCAGCAGCAGCCCTATCAGCCAGCATCTGTCGGTGACCTGGAACTTCCAGCCTGAGGACCTGGGCTCTCATGAGCTAGTGAGTGGGACTATTATTGTCCATTTCATGGATGCACAGTTGCCCATACCATGCCCAGTCCCAGCAGTGGGTAATCCCAGTGGTTGCAACAGTTCCAGGTGTGGGTATGGGCAAGCATCCATCACAAAGCCCATGCAGTGTGTTGGAATGACAGCTGCCTCTCTTTCCTGTAGGTATTGTATTACCTGCAGGAGCCCTACAATCTGCCTACTGGACGGTTTAAAGAGCGAGTCACCTGGGATGGGAATATTGAGCGTAATGATGTTTCCATCATGATCTGGAATTTGCAGCCCACTGACAACGGGACATTCACCTGCCAGGTGAAGAACCCCCCCGATGCTAATGGGGTGATTGGTGAAGTGCGACTCAGAGTTGTGCAGAAAGGTGAGAGGCCAAGAACCCACCGGAGGTCATGTGAATTTAGCAAGAATTCCCCCATGTCTGGGAGAAAATGTGGAAGAAAAGGGATTATAAAGAGAAAGCATGAGGGTAGTTAATGGGTACAGGGGGAAAAGGAGCCTGAGGGAAGGTTATATTCACAGATACAGGTTCCCAGCCCCTGGAAGAGCTTCTTGTGTGTCCCTCTTGTTCACGGATGTGTTTCTCTCCATGCAGTGCACTTCTCAGAAATCCACTTCCTGGCTGTGGCCATTGCGTCTGCTTGTGTTCTGATGATCATTGTGGTGATGGTTGTGATTATCTGTCGACACCATCGGAAGAAAGCACAAGAGAAGAGGGTCGAGGGGACAGGCACTGAACTGTAAGGACAGGGGGAGAGAGGGAAAGGCTTCTGGAACAGCTTTCCAAATGTATTTTCGTAGCTCTTCTGAACTATTGGGCTTGGACCCTGTGCTGAGCATCTACAATGCAGAACTGCCAACTCCATTATGGATAGTTGTCTGCGTGCATGCAGTCAGAGCAGAGCCCAGGGACAAACAAGCTTTGGAGTCCTCTTTCTGCTCTTGTTCTTCACAGCAGCTCCTCACCCAGACAAGGGTCCATCTTGTTGTAGTGCTGGTTGACAGATGACACTGTGGTCACCATGCATGTAGCAGGTTTACTGTCTCATCATGTAACCCTGTTATGTGTTACGTGTGCTATACCTAACTCAGAACGTGACTGCTACTCGGGATATGACACTGATTTGGGTTTTCTTTTCTTCCTCCCCTCTTCCTTTGTAACAGTAAAGAAAAGGAGAGTCTGAAGGCGAGAGAAGAAAAGGAAGACAGCCCATTAGAAGATTAGGGGTCTTTGATGGTATCCACTGCAGGTATCCGTTCAAACATTCTCTCATTAATGTCCTGGTGTTTCCGCAGGCCTTTGAAGGCAGTTTTACTTTGGTGTTTCACTTCTAGTCACAATAGCCGGTGCTAACCATAAGCAGAAACAACTGAGACCACAATCACACTGTGCTCCTGAGGAGCCTTCAGACTGACAACCGAACAGGGAGTGGAGACACAACTGCCTCTGTGCTGCAGCTGAGATTTCTCCTCCCTAGCGTTGATGCTTTCCATGCTGTGCCTGCTTTGTGGATAAGGAGTGAATTCATTTCCTTTCCCCAGTTTTGAGCCTGCTTTTGGATTCATTGGCTTTTTATTGGTTTAAAATTGCTACACGGAGCCTGAGACTGTTTCCACATTTGCTGGCTTTGCGGCAACATTACAGCATGAGTTTTACCCACTCAGTTTCTGAGGTCAGCAGCTGCCTTTCCTGTTTTTGTTGTCTACAATAACCCTGAGCAAGGAATCTCCTTTGTTCTTATATTCTTTCTTCTTAGGTACTTCTAAGGCAGATGCAGAAACCTTGTAATTTGGGATGTTAGGACAAAGCTGAATTCCAGATGCCTCATGCTGGGAGCGTGGTGTCCCCGCTCAGCCTGAAATTCTGGCAAGGAAAGAGAATGACATTAACACCAGTTGTAAAACTCCTCCATTGAAGCAAAGCAGGAGGAACTTGCTCCATGAACAAGGAACTTTTCTTCACCTTCACACCTGCAGAACGTGACAAAGTCTGCTCTGACAGAGTGCCACCAGATTGGAGCAGAATGCCGAGCTACCTGACTGAGCAGAGAAGCTCAAAGTGCAGGTTCGCACCTTGGAAATCACAAGGTGCCTTTGTGTGCCCTGGTTTTCCTCCCTCAAAATCCTGTTTGACACGGTCTGCGTGAGGAGAAGCCGGTTGTACAGTGTAGTTTAAATCCCTTTGCCACTTCAGATGGGAAGCGTTACACTTTGGGAATGTATGGTGTTCTATTTAGGATAACATTTACCGGTTGGTGTGTGTTTTGCATCAATCTCTTGCAGCTTCTGAGGTCACTGCTTTCTGCCAAAGCTCCAGCTGCAGAGCTCTTACAGGATTCCAACAGCACCAAGTCAAAACATCAGCCTGTTTGTTTTGAGAGTATCTTTATGACTTCATAACGCTGTCTGTAATGTGCTGGCCGCATTATCTGTCTGTACGTTGTCATTTTCGGTCTCCTGGGTTACCAATAAACTCGCTTTGTGGAGAGCAGTGATTGTGAGTAGAAGGGGATGTGACAGACGTGCAGGGACGCGGGGGATGCCCGATAAGCGGGGCTTTGCTCTAAAAAGTACCCAAAACGCAGCCACGGGGCTCACCCAGACCCGGTCCCCTTGAGCGGGCAGAGCCCGGCGCCCCGTCCCTTGGCCCGTGTGGGCGCGGGGAGCCGCGGTACCCGGGCCGGTCCCCTCCGCTCCCGGTCCGAGGCGACCCGTCGCCATGGCGACCCGGGGCCGCCATCTTGGGCTGTCTCCGCCCTCACCTGCGCAGCGCAGGTGAGCAGCCATATTGCGGCCCAGAGCGGAGCCGGGATGCGGTGCGGCGAGGCGGGCGGTGGCTTCTTCCTTCCGCGGGGAGCCCTGCTGCTGCTGCTCGGTAACGGCGCGCTGCGGGAAGGGACGGGACGGGACGGGACGGGATCGGGTCTGATCGGGGGGAGCCGGCTCCGGGAGCGGCGGGCCCCGCAGGGAGGATGGTCAGCGGGGACGGGATGCGCTCGGAGGCTCCGGGAAGGGCCGTGCCGGAGCTGGGTGCGGCCGCGAAGCGCTGCGGGCCCCGGGGCCGCTGCAGAGCGGGGAGCGCTGGAAAGGGCAGGAGAACCGTGGGGGGGAGCGAAGCTCCTGAGCAGGGCAGCGCACGCAGCGTTCAATGGCTCATGCTGCTGTGCCCCAAACGCGGTACCTTTGGCCTTCTCTGCTGTGCTGAGGTCTGGTCACTTTCACTCGGGATTCCAGGGCTTTCGGCTGGTACCGAAAGAGGCGTGAGTTGCCTTGGATTAGTCTAAAGCTGGCACTTGGCGACTCATCAGGGAGCCAGCTGATTCCATTTCTCGGCTCTTCACCACCCGAGATAAGTATCTGCAGGCTTTTAGTGGTGTTTTCCAGATAAATACTGTAATTTGGGCTAGTTCTGATCCCACAGGGAAATAGGTGAGTGGAGCTGTCTGCTTTTCTTTAAATGTCATTATGGGGAGGTAGTCATCACTGTGCTTCCGTCTTTAGGCTGCTTGACCTGCACACGCACCAGTGCCTTTGGGACACCATCGCTTCTGACAAGAAACAAATCCTTGTCTTTTGTGCTTGTTCCACAGGGGCCTGCAGTGCTCTTTCCCTGGAAATAAAAGCCAGTGCTAGCGTGCGAGCTTATGTTGGTGAACAGGTAGCACTGAGATGCTCCTTCAAATCCAGTTTTCCCATCGCTGAGAGCCTGACGATAGACTGGACGTACCGGCCCATCGCGGGTGGTCAGATGGAGACAGTAAGTGGGACGGCCTCTTTTTGTAGTGGAGACTGACCAGGCCTCTGTGCATAATGAGATTCTGAACATACTTGTTCTGTTTGCTGTGCTGCTTCATCCCTTTGGGTTTGGGACTGTCACTGTCACCTTCTTTCCCTTGTGAAATTGCTTTAGTGTTCTTTTGCTGAAAAATACTCTGCATATATGCATAATAGCATAATGATGATAAAGTAGATGAGTTTTGGGTGTTGACACCAGGGCTGTGTTGTGCACTGTAGCTATGTATAGAATGGACTGTAAAGCATTTGATCGGAAGCTTTCTTGAAGGCAGCTGGACCCTTGTAGCTCTGTCATGCAGGCTATGGCTGATATTTCTTGGAGTGGCAAGCACATGTGAGTGGTGACAGTCTGAAGACGGTGATGATGACAGCCTCTAAAGTTTGAGGGCTTCTGCTTGCTGTTTTGTGAGCAGCAGTTTGAAACTTGAGTCTGAAAGCTCGCTGAAAATCTCTTCTTCAAGGTGGAAACAGAAAATGCACATCTTTACAGATGATCGGTGCCTTCTGTTGCCTGAAGAGTTTGAACTCTTAGGAGTATCCTTCTATCTGGAGCAAAAGGGTGCTTCTTCTATCAAGTGATGTCTGCTAAGCCTCTACTCATAAGACAGCAAGAGCAAAAGTGCAAGAAGCAAGCCTTCAAGAACTGTGTGTTCTGTGTTGTATGAGGCAAGAAGCCCACTCTGCTTCTCAACTGAAGATCTGCAGAAGGGAAAAAGTTGGTTAGAATGGTGATGGTGACAGTAGAGCTGAGGCTGGTAGATAAAAGCATTGGAGATGTAATGAAATGAGGCTGACTCAGAGTTATCATATGAGAACTTGACAAGGTCTCCTATACAAGAAGTGTTATTTCTCACTTTTAATATGTGTTCATTTATGTTTGCAATCCGAAAAGTAGTTTGCTTTGCTTTCTTAGACAAGTGTTTTATTGTCTTTGCCTCCTTTTAGATTTTTCATTATCAGTCTGTTCCATACCCAACAACAGTGGGAAAGTTCAAAGACAGGATATCCTGGGTTGGGAATGTTGCCAAGGGCGATGCTTCCATTGCTATTGAAAGCCCATCAAAGAGTGACAATGGGACGTTCATCTGCAGCGTGAAGAATCCTCCGGATGTGTACCATAACATTCCCCAAACGACCCTGGTAGTTACTGAGAGAGGTAAGGCTCCATGTCAGTGGCATGTCCTCATCCAGGTGCTACAGCTGCATTGCGGCTTTGTCAGGCTCATGGAAGTCTGAGCATCACTCATGAAACAAGTTCCCTGGAGTTCCACATTAGAATTTCACCAAAAGTTACCTCACCCCATCTTTCTGAGCCACAGACATTGAAAACTAGCGCATTTATTGGGGCAGGAAGGGACTGAGGGAGCTGTGATGGTAAAAGAAATCAAAAGCGTGCAATTGTTCAGGAGTTCTGCTCTCTGCATACTGCAGCAGTAGAACAAGTTTAATACTGGTCTAAAAATAAGAGTCGCATCACAAGTGCTGATTCTTAATATTACTTAATTTCCTCATCTGCCTTGCGTGTGAGACCTGCCCCAATTTTGCAGTTTAGGCACACTGATAGAACTGTGTCGTGACCTGCCTTCCTTTGTAGCTTTCTGCAAATAAAGCACCTTACTGTGCTGGATGCTTGACAGGAATCCTAGAGATTCAGTGACAAGCTGCTGCAGATCTGTCAGCTCTGTGCTTTGTACTGAAAGCCTCGCAACCTGTGTCATGGATGAACATTTGCCAGAGACTTAAAGGCAGCTGGGCTGCTGTTTGTCTTTTCTGCAGGCTTCTCCTTCCAGCTAACTTCAGCGGTGCTGCTGTCCATTTTAGTGTTTCTCCCTTCCATCATTGTGGTTGTTCTGCTGCTGGTAAGGATGGGAAGAAAATTTGCAGTGCAAAAGGAGAAAAAAAAGCCTGGCTATAAGAAATCCTCCATCGAAGTGTCTGATGAGTAAGTTCTTCTGCATCCTGAAACCTGTATTTCCACTCTGGCTTGTTGACACTGGCCAAAGGACAGTTTCTCCACTGTCCTTTGTTCTATAAGCTCTCAGCATCTGCAGGTCAGTCACTGAAACCTACTTCTCCACTAGCATGACTTGGCCAGCCTTCAGAAAGCTCTGGAAAATCCCCATGTTTGAGCATAAACTAAGTGCTGTACATCCCCTTTTTGTGTCATTTCGTGCATGGCCATGGAACTGAAGCAGTTTAATGTTAGACGGTCTTTCACTTCTGTAACTGGATTTATTTCAGTCTGAATCAGCAAGATACTTTGCTTATGTCGGCTTTTTTTGGTGTGAAATACCAAACTGAATGATGCTAACTGGTTCTCCTCTGATGGCTTGAGCAGAGATGCTAGGTACTGAATGAGCCTTGAAGGCTGAATTCCCTTCTGAAGTGCAGAGGGTTCTGTTCTGGAAAGGTTCAGGAGTGAGAACTATCAGGTGATGTGCCTACTGCTGGAGCCATACCTGTTTTGCAATGAATTCAGTACTACAAGTTCTTGCAGAATGGGGTTTTTAATCTAATGTTCTGATTAGTGTTGTGAGATTTGCCAGATGGCAGCTCTTGTGTCCTTCATAGCACTTCAGTGGCATATCTGCCTTCAGAGTAGGGGACCTGATCTTTGTTCTTTTTAGTTTTGCTGGGCAGAGTTAAAGTGTGGTAGAACTAGAACTGACAGTCCACAGGACTTAGTATGTGTGTTGGGGGAAAGTCCAGCCTAATCCTGTGGTTTTTCTGCAGGTCTGAACATACAGGGACAGGCACCTGCTTGGGGAAACTCAGGGACCGGTGTCTGAACTGTGTGGTAAGTGAAAGCTGGTTTTCTCATAACTGGCTTTTGTCAACTTCGGGGCTCATAAGAGGTGCTGAGAGCAGCAGACAGAGCTTGTCGTAACACCTCTGGATGTCAAAGAAGTGTCCCCAAATGACTAGGCGCAGAAGCTGCTCACACTGTGTTACTGGCAGGGGAAGTTGTCTGGAGATCCACCAAGTTGGTTTTTCATTTGTCTCTGTTGAAATCAAAGCTGATACTTGAAGATGAAAAATCAGAACTTGAAGTGCTAGCTACTGTGTTGTGTAGTTTCTTTCAAGGCTCTGCAAAACGAGTTTGGATTTGCCAGTGCTGAGGTGAGGAGTGGAGGCATAGATCCCTCAATCCACTCTGTTTCTTGTAAAGATGGTAGTGTGTAACCTTGCTCTTTAGACTGATTTTGTCACAAGGGAATCATGCTAAGCTCTTGATTTGTTTGTTTCATGAAGTGGTGGTTGTTTTCTTGCTACCCTGTCAGCAAGCTTCTGATGATCAGATGTCTTGTGCTGAAACTACTGAATGTGTTTGTCACCTGCTGTACTTGCTTTGTAAAATGGGCCTCAGGTTCTGTGTGCTGGCATTAGCAGCCACAGGCATAACTGTGGCACATTCCAGAGTAAGCTCATTAATATGCCTAACTTGAGAGTGGTTTTGTTTTTCCCCTGATGTCCTATGGAGCTAGCTTACCTCAGACACACGTTTACCTGTTTTATACATGGTCTGGAAGTATGTTAAGGAGGATTTAAATGTGTTGCTTGATGCACTATTATAATGCCAGTGATTTCAAGTGTACTAAATTCATGAGCCTTCAGACAAGTGTGTGCTGATGGTTTCTCTGCTTCATTAGGTACAGAATAAGAAATGAGCAGCTATGCAAGTTACATGTGAAATGTTTGCAGTTCTGCATAAGACACAACGGTTACAACTCAGCAGTATTGGGAGCAAGAGTTTTAGGAGGTGCAGAAAGCAGAAAAAGCTTTATGCAAAATGAGAGTTGCCATGGGACATGGAAAGGCTGCTGCAAGTGCGATGCTGGGCAGCAGGGAGGCACCACTGCTCCCCTTCGGGGGAGATGGGGAAGGATGGGAGGCCCACTTTGAAGAAACACATGGCTCACACAGTTGGAGGTTTTAGAAATTGAAAAATGTCTTCTTATCCTTTGAGAGAAGGCAAATTTGAATGTTACAGTCCTGCTGCTTTCATGCTGGGTGTTTTGTTATCTGTTTGACACTTTGCTCTCTGATACCAAAATATTTGGCTTACCAAGAACATCCTGTCTCGCTCCCTTTAATGATTCAATACTTTTGAGTTCTCTGCCCTGTACCTTTTCATGCTTTATGTGTTGCCAAATAATTAAAATTGCAAAGCCAGTGCAAATCTGTTTGGACTGGAAATGGCTGGCAAGTTAGTGAGTTTTCCCTTACAAAGAAGCTGTTAGCTTTGAGTTTCTTTCAAGCTGAGAGCTGCAGAGCTGGATGGTGGGGACGCCATCAAATGATTACTGTGGTTAAAAGATGAGACAATGGGGATCTGAAAGTGTGTCATTGATTGTAGCTGAAAAACAACAACTGGACTTTCTTCGTAGGGGTTGGAGGTGCTTTTTCAGGAGATGGCTGTCTGCACTTTGTGGTTTGTCTTTTGCTTGAGCTTTAGTTGCTACTTCTCTTAAAACACACTGTGCGTGTTGGTTATGCTGTGGCAATTTGGCTGTGTGTCTGTGGTAAGTCAAACAGACTTAGCTGCAAGTGCTTAGAGACTACAAGTTCTAAGGTTTATTGAAGCACAGCAGCATCTTGGAAAGCATTTAAGCTCTTGTCAGAAGCCCAGCAGACTCAAAATCTTGTCAAACTCATAAAGCGGTTCATGTCTTCCTATACAGACTCAATTTCTCTCTCCCATTCTTCCTGTGTAGGACACGGATGAGGAGGATCCATACTGATGAAAGTCTAAAGCTATGGATAAAGAACAAAATGACAGCACTGAAAATCATGGCTAGATGAGTACGAAGGCTGCTGGATAACCAGTGCAGATTGAAGGACCTGCTCTAATCTTTGTAGATTGGAAGAATAATGCCGATGGGATAGTTCACTTTAAGCACAAAACAATGATTTTTGACATCTTTCTGATTTAGTGGAAAACCAAAACTCTTTTAACCTCATTTCTCCAGTGCCTGCAGAAACCTTGGTGCCTACAGCTGTACAGCCTGTTCCCTACCAGCAGCCTGCCAATGCAGTTTCTCAGTTTACTTGCAGATTTGCTGCTTTTATTATTGTAACTTCCCTCCTTTCCTGTGCCCTTGAATCTGAATTGCCTGAAGCACAGGCTGCTCCAGACTGCTGTCAGCTCTCTAAGGTGATAATCATTGGACATTGACAACAATTTCTTCTCCATTTTTTGGGAAGTATTTGCTAAGGATTGAAAACAGTCTAAGTTGGTACCTGGCATCCTTTGTCTTGGAGCAAGAGAACCTGCTGCTTTTAACTGTTTCTTGGTTTAATCTGCCACTGTTTTGTTCCTGTTGTTTTCTGATTCTGTTTTTAAGTCACCAGCTGCAAAGTAATGTTACCTTTATATTGTTGAGTTTTCCCTTTCCTTTTTATTTGTGAGTATTTGTCCAGGGCTGCATTAGTAGGTTCATCTCCTACTTGTAGAAGTGAAGCACAATTCATATAATTCAATTTTTAAAAATCAGAAATGCAAATGGGGACTCTGTATCTGGGGAAACATAACCCCATCTACCTCAACCATTGACTGAAGCAATGTCCAAAGGAATCTTCTGTGTTCAGAAGAAGAGACGTGTTCCTCCTCTCTTCTTCTAGGTGCCTTTTGAGGGTAACGGCCAAACATGCATCATTACTGCCCTCTGACAGACAGCACATCCTCTTTCACCAACCTTCTCCGGTAATGGATGGCAGAGCAGTGGAATTCATGTCTGCTTAGCACCTAAACAGTTGCTGGTTTCAGCTTCCTTTCTGTATGCGGCATTGGTCAAATAGCCTCCTTTTACATGTGTGTTTAAGTTTACTGTTTGTGCCATTACCAATAAATTGCTTTGTTTCATTCTGGGCTGTGGTTTCCTTCATTTGGCTAAATATAGAGAAATATAGTTGAACTCCTAAAACTGCCAGCCTCAGCTGTTGCTTAGCTATAGCGATTGCCAGATGATGATGGGTAAGAGGTGTTTAGGCGACAGATTTACCCCACTAAAGAATATGGACCAAGTGCCCCCTTAGCAGCTCTCTGATGGCTGCCCACTGCAGGTAGGCTGAAGTTCCCGACTGTGGGGCAGGTAACTGTAGAGCCGTGTCTCCAGATCAAGAAATAGATTTTTCTCCTATTATAAACTAACATATGAAAAGCTGTGCTGGGTGATGAGACAGTGACTCTCCCAGCTGAGACTTTCCTGAGAAAGGATGTTGGTGGGATATGCAGCCTAGGGGAAGTGGCTTTGTTGTTCCACTTTCAGCAGTACTCGAGTTCCCTGTGAACATAAATGACTCTTGTTTTCTGCAGACTGTTTGCCTTCAATTGCACTCCTTTGCAACCATCGGCTAGATGGAGGGCAAATCGTTCTGGTGCAAACCTAAACTGCCACCTTGAAGCTAAAGAGACTTTCTCTGTTAGCTGTATGGAAGTTGCTCTGTGTACCATTAAACACGCTGATGGAGAACAGTAATTGCTGTGGTACTCCAGAGGAAGAGGAAGGATGAAAAAGCACTTTCAAAGTGATTGGGGTGTGGGTGTGCAGTGGACTGAAAGCAGTCCATGCTCTGTATTGGGGTTTAATCCCAGCTGGCAGCTAAGTGCCGTGTGGCCATTCTGTCCTTCCCCTCAAAGGGATGGGGAGGACAATTGGGGGTTAAAAAAGGTACAGCTAAGCCACCCAGTGTTGCCTGCTGCCTATGCCTCACCAGGGCAAGAGCCAGTCTGCAAGCGTAGAGGTTCTTTAACCAGCTCTGGGCCTCAAAAATGAGCTAAGGGAGAGCACAGGCTGCAAAAGGGTTGCTTGCCAGGATTCTCTCTGCTCTTGACTTCTCATTTAATGACTGATCAGATCTCTTTGCTGCAATGCAAAGCGTGGGACTGAGCCATGTCTTGCACCCGCGCGGTGTCTTCTCCTTAAGAAGCTGTGTTCCCATCACTGGTTCTAAGGCGTGTGCATCTATAATCCTCCTTGCCTCTCCTAACAGTTCCTTTTGCGTGCTGGTTTGTCAGTACCTCAGTATAGCTCTTAACTTCCTCTTGCAAGTTGAAAGTGACCACCAAAGTGAACCTGAAATAAGAGACTCGGAAATAAAGACTGGCATACAAGATAAATGTCTTGCATGCACAACTTCAAAGACGATTCAGCAACTGATCCTTTCAGGTACCCCAAATTAGTTACTGAGGGTTGATTTGTCCAAGAGAAACTGACTGCCCCAAACCACTCCAGGTGAGTACTTTTTGCCATTGTGTTTGTTAGCTGGTTGTTCTTCCTGAGAAGAGAGCTAGGGGAGCGCAGAAGTGCTGAGGATCCAGGTACCCTGTACAAAAGTAGGAAACTCTGAAGGCAGTATGGTTTCCGTGTATTTCCCCCCCCTCCAGTCTGTTTAATAGCAACTCTCCTGTGGAAGGATTTGGAGATGTCAGCACTGTGATTTATATAACAGCCTGGGGGAGTGGGTGCTGCCTTCAGCTGGTGCACGCACAGCACCCACTTGCTCTGCGTGTCACAGAGGGGGAACCTGTACAAATGTGTTCCCATATAGGACTGGAATTTATTCTTAGACATAGGGTAATAAATGCAAGAAGGATTGGATGGAAGTAAGGACCAGAGCCTCAGTCACTCAGCTGCAGAGAACTTGTGAAGTTCTGCATGTAGATATCCCAGTGTGCAGCCTGCTGTGTGCTGAGGACTCCTTTTTAAGCTAGCTCCTATTTTGGTCCCTGTGTGGGGGTGATCCCGGGCAAGCGTAGCTCTGCTTGAGTTCTATGGCTTTTGGCAGCATAGCTGGGAAGTAGGAGGCTTTGGCCTGCTGTGCTGGGAGATGCTGCACCCGCTGAGAGCTTTGGAGCTGAGCGTGAGTTTGCTGTGTTTGCAGGTTATGTGTGCACAAGCAAACGGTGCTGGGGCAGAGTTGCAGACAGCACACTCAAACTGCACAGCTCTCCCCTCCAGCCACAAAAAAACCAACCCCCAACCAGGTCGTGTTCTTTGCAGAGCAGATTGGAGAGAATTCCAGGCGGCTTTCTGCCACTTTCTGGGATCATGTTTGTGGAAAGGGGAGAGTGATGAAGGGCAGAGGTGGTTTTACATCCCTGACTGCAGGCAGAACACCATGCACTGACTGGAAAGCTGCAGTGACTGTTTTTCAGCCTAGAACACACTGTTGGTCACCCAGCAGCTAATTCTGGCTCTGTAATCCCTATTTGAACCCGTCTCAGGGTGTTTCTGAGCTCCCTTTGCTGAGAAAATGCGTTTGGAAAGAAAAACGAATCATCAAATGTCTGTGGCCATGTAAAGAGATGGAAGCTTTCTTAGGGGCTCATTCTTTCCCGCTGCAGCAGCTGTTCCTGCTGCTCCGTGTGTGTGCATGGAGCTGCACGTCCCCTCTCATCCCCCCTCACTTTTGAACGGGCGTAGCTTTGAATCATGGAGCAGAGGCACAGCAAGCAGGGTACTGACTTTTGCCTCCCTGTGAACCACGTGTGAACACTGGCTGGCATGTTCCTGACAATGACAGCCAGTCCTTCCTAGGGTGCAGAAGACGTCTGCTATGAGTGGAAGGATGATGTTGGCTTTGTTTGGAGAGATGTGCTGCAGGTCATAGTGAATACAGAGACCAAAGATGGCACTGGCTGAACACTTCTCACCATGTGCAGCATGCAGTAAGGGGTCTGTGTTGTTAGGACCAAACATCTCTGAGTACGTAGCAGAAGAATCTCCCCGTTGCTCTCTGAGCAGGGTTAAGGTTTACGAACATCTCAGTTCAGATGCGAGACTTGACCCCCAAACCACCGGAAAGATTCATTACTTGGGGGAAACACAAAAGGGTTTCAGGCTGGGCCCTCCCCCCCAGCTTGCTCTCTTCCTTCCCAGGGCTCAGTCTCAAAACAGTGACATCTGTGCTTCACTCACTCAGCTGGGGCTGACCTGAGCATCCAGGCAGCAAACATCATATCCCTGTCTGAGGACCTGAAGGAAGTCTCTTTGTGACTTGGGTCCAGTTGCATGCTGTTGCTCTCCTGCCCCAGGGGAGGCTGATGCATGTGTCACCTCTGCTGCTCTTTCCAGAAGAAGATGAAGGTGTTGCTGAGGCTGACTCTGGTGCTGACATGGCTGGGTAAGCTGTAAGTCATTCTGGTGGGTTTACTGACCTTCTGCCTTTGCTAACAGACCCACAGGTTCCTCTCTTCCTGCAGCGAGAACCTCTTGGGCTCCTGGGTACCAGTGACTCTGGTCTCTGGGTGCTGCGTATTCCCTTCTGCAGAGCTCACATATGTATAGGCTTCAAATTGCAATGGCATCCCTGGACAGAGTCCCGTGCTTATTCTGCCAGGCTCCAAGGCTTTGAAAGAAGTAGAACTGCTTTGTCGAGTCTAAATACAGGGAAAGCTTTCCAAGGTATTGATTTTGGCTCTGCCAGAGGCAACTGGCTCCCTTGGTCTTCTCTGCTGGCAAATATTTGTCATTTTCAGCCCCACAGCTGGTCAAGACCAGAAGAAACCTGTTTGGGAAGCTGTAGCACTTTGCATTTATTATTCACAGGGCATCAGGCAAGCACTTGGTGCTTGGCCACAGCCCAGCCCTCGGTGGCTTTGCACACACTGAGGACAAAGCCTACCTGCCTGAGCAGCTCCCCATGGAATCAGCTCACCTAGATCCTGGCAAACAAGTGCCGGAGCCTCAGCCGCTCTGCTTGCAGGGTGCTGCCAGGGCAGGCAGGGTTTGTCTTGACAAGCTCCAGTGGCATTTGCTGCCCCGCTTGTTTCCCCTTCCTGCCGCACGCTTTGCAGCCCGATGTGTCGGCATCTGCTTCGTGAGGCTTATATCAGCCCTGTGCTCTTTGATGTTCCTCTGGTTTGTTTTTGTTTCCCTGTTGTCCGGCTGCTCCAGGAGCCCTAACCAGTAGTTACATGGCCAGACAAGTCCAGGCCCAGGTCTGGAGCCTGTGAGCAAGGGGGAAAGAAGCCAAATGGGCAGGTTGTGAAAGAGGAACTGAGCTGCGTGCGGAGCAGTTGAATTGCCCCTGGCCTGGTACGGATGAGAGCGGCACTGGTTCTCCCAGCCCGTGACTCAGTGGAACAGCCCTGCAGCCGCTGCAGGCTCTGGCTCGGAGACGCAGAGGGCTGGGGTTGTGCTTCCCCACTTCCCTTCGCGTGGGGTGTTCAGTGAGCGCAGCAGCCCCTGCTCCGGTGGCTGGGAGGATGTGCTGCCCCGCATTCCGGGCACGCCGAGAGCAGGGGTCAGGGAGAGCCTTTGCCTGCACGGGCAGCAAAGCCTCCCTGTTGCGCTCTGGGCTGGTTGGTGCCGTTAGCCCCAGGCTCACCTGCAGAGGAGATATCTATGAGGACAGGCAGGCTGCGTCTGGCCGTCCTCCCTGGACTCATCCTGCTGTCCTTGTCCCTGGCAGAGCGATGCTGCGGGTCGGCTGGATGGGTGTTCATGGAGCCGCAGCTTCAAGCCAGTGCTGGGGACTCTGTGCTGCTGCAGTGCCTCTTCCTAGACCCGCTGGCCAAGGGCTGGACCATGGCCAAAGTGGACTGGCTGCGCCTGGCAGGAGCTGGCACGCAGAAGGTGGGTTGGGATCAGGGGATGGGTGCTGGAGCAGGGAATGGGGCAGGGAGAAGGGGAAGGTGAGCAAGGCAGCTTGCAGGAGCTGTGGGGAATGGCCCAGTCCGCAAGAGGAATGTTCCCCTGCATGGCAATGGGGACCTCCACCTTTCCCCGTGGCCCTGCACTGCAGGGAACCATGATACCTGGTGCTGTGTCCTGCGGCTTTCCAAGAGAGCTGGGAGCAAACTGGGCTCTTGTGCATGGCAAACACTCCATGGGGAGAGGGAGAGAGCATGGACCTGAGGGCTGTCAAGCAGGGAAGGCACACAGTGCAGTGCCCTTCCACTGCGCTCCTTTCATCCAGCGCTGTCTGTGCCCCAGCAGGAGGAGATGGTGTTTTATTACTACAGCAACCATAGCATCCCTGTGGGCCGTTTTCGGGAGCGGGTGCAGTGGCAGGGGGACGTGTCCCGCTGGGATGGTTCCATCCAGCTGCAGGATGTGCAGGTGAACGACAGCGGCACGTACGTGTGTGAGGTCCGGCTGCTCCAGCGCAGCAGCATCTTCAAGAACCACACGGTGCTGCACGTCAGCCCCACAGAACAGAGAGGTGCGTGCCCTGTGCCTGCTCCCCTCTCCCATCACCCTGCTCAACCCCATGCAGAGGGGCTCTGGAGGCTCTCAGCCCCTGTCACCATGGCTCTGCAGCAGGGTCCCTGTGTGTACCATCCCCTGCACTGATGTCTCCCTAGCAGGACGCGGAGCAGCAGGCGCCCAGGATGCTGCAGCCCTAGGAGACACTGGGTTTTGGCCTCTGGCTGTGGGCTGTGGCTGTGTGGCCGTTGTGCTGGCTTTCCTGGCCGGGCTCAGCCTGAGGAAGAGGTACCAACACTGGCTTTGGGTTTATGGGGCTGAGCAGAGCACCTCCTTGCAGACCTCCTGCACCGTTCTCCCTGGCCAAGCACTATCCTCACTGCCACAAGCAGAGCTGGAGGGAGGGAACTGGAGGGCTCATCTCTGGGGTGTTGCGCTGCCTGCAGTGGGGTGCAGGCTCCTGCTGCCCTCTAGTGCCACACTGCCCTGCCCGGTCCCCCCCTTTGCTCCCAGATCTAATGGGTTCCTGACACTCCAACAGCAGGGACAGCCTGGCCAAGGCATGCACATCCCAGTGTACTGGGAGAGGGCAGGAGGAGCAGGCGATGCTCCTTGCTTGAGGTGACACCACCACTGCCTTCCCTCAAGGTCTGCAGCCAACATGGCCCTGGAGAGGACTGGGAATGGTGGCAGCAAGAACAGAGCAGAGGTGAGAGCTGAGGCTGAGCTATGTGCAGGGGAGCGTGAGCCTGCCCTCCCTGGGGTGCAGCCACATCCTGCTGTGGTGGGAGGTGGGAGAGGGGGAGTGATGGGGTGCAGAGGGCTGCAGGCCAGCCACCCCCAGTGAGGGATAAGGCAGCCCTCGTGTACTTGGGGGACCACTCAGCCCCAAGCATCCTGATCTCCCTCTCACAGGAAGCACTGTATTCCTCGATCCCTGGAGCTGAGGTACCCAAGGCTGAACAGGGTGCAGGGAAGAAGAAGAGACCTGAGGAGACCTACATAACCATGGTGAGGAGGAGCTGTGGCAGGCATGGGCAGGGAGTGCAGCAGTAGGGCTGATGACCCCCTCATCACTGCCCCCTCTTGCAGGGTGATAGCATCCAGGCCCTGGCCCCTCACTCCCCGTACTACACAGCAGCATCCTCTGCCTCCTGCCCACTCCAAATGGGCCCCATAACTGCAGCAAGTCTCATGCCCTGTCCTTCGCTTCTTGCAGCACCCATCTCGCTTCCAGGAGAACGGTGTCTACGTGGAGCTGGCCAGGAGGGTGATCCCAGCTGAATGGATGGGAGAAGGGAGACAAGGTGATGGACAAGGCGAGGAACCCTACAGCAGACCAGAGGTGGCACTTCCCAGGGCTCCAGAGCAGGAGAAATAGCTGTGCTGGGGGATGTAAGCCCTTAGCCAGCAGGTGTGTGCAAGGGATCTCTGTTCCTCTGGGCAGGCAGTGTTCTGCTGCTGTCAGCCCTTCCTCTAACAAGTGGCGCCACTTCACCGTGTGCCCCATGCCAGAGTCATTGCTGGAGCACATCCCACGCAGGATGCCTGTGGGGACCAGGGAAGCTGCGTCTTTCTGGCTCTCATCTCCTGGTCTCTGGAGGGGGGAACAGTGGGCACAGCCCCCCCACTGTAGCTTTTGATGCTGGTCCATGCAGCTCCGGGTCCCGAGATAACCGTCTCCGAGGAGAGCCTGGCAGAGAGGGGATAGGGGCGGTGCAGCAGGAGCAGTGTGGGCATGCCAAAGGTATCTTCCAAAGATAATAAAACTCAGGGAGTCTTCCCTGTTCCTGGCTTACTTTTACCTCCTGCTTAATCGTGTGATGTCCAAGTGTGCCAAAAACTGCCTGGCCCAGAGCCTGCTAGCCCCTGCACCCATGTGCAGCCCCACACATGGCACCCATGGCTCCAGCACAGCCAAATGGGCAGCAAAGGGGGTCCCTTTGCCTGGGCTCTGCAGGGGATAGAGGGGGCAGTGGGTCCCCACGTGTGCGTGCCCACACGCAGCTCCACGCAGCATCCACTGCTATGGGTGAGCAGCCCTAGGTGCACCCTATACCTGCGGCTCGCTGCCCTGGCCGGGGAGCCCGGGAACCCCCCCATGGCCTCCGGGGCAGCGTCTCGGAGGCGCTGGCTCCTCTCCTGCTCTATATATAGATGTTTGACACCTCCAGGTGCCGAGCATGGGACCACCTCCCACCGGCGCTGCGGATGGGAGACTGCAGCGCAGCCTGCTCCCGCTGCAGCCCTTGGTTTCACGTTGACACCCTCCTCTCTTTTCCTGCACGATGGGATTACAGGGGGATCCAGCAAACGGGTCTGGGTTTGGGGCATCAGGGGGTTACATGTGACCTCTGCTGTCTTTGCAGGGTTATGGGAGCAGAGCAGAGCCATGTCTGCCTGCCCAGCACAGTAAGAAAACTGTGCTGTGTGTGCAGTGAGTGTCTGCTGAACAGGTTTCCTGTGTTCACCCTGGCACTCCTCTAATGCCTTCTCTCCTGGCTGCCCCGTTTCCCCTCCTGAAGCTGGCCAGGTGGTAGAGCACCTCTGCATCCCTCCCCATTGCCCTCCCCATCGCCCCATCCCTGCCTTCCCAAAGCTCTGGTGCACAGGGGATGAGATGTGCTCTGGCTCCAGGACATCTCTCAACTTTCTGCTCACGAATGCTGCAGCAGCAAACCCCACCATTGTGTGTCCCAGGGCACAAGAACAGGGTGGCTGAGCAGCTGCTGTCCCTGGCTTCATGAAGCAATGTGTTGTCTCCTTCCTGCACCTCTCTCTGCAGCCTAAATCCAGGCTTGGAGTCCTTGAGCAATGGTGCAAAGGGGACAGCAGACTTTTCCCAGCCCTTTTACTGCTGGGCAGGGCCTCCGCATCCCAAGGTCTAGATGAGGAGAGGGCATTTCCCTGGGATAGCATCGTGCAGGGGGAGGTGCCAGCAGAGTCTGGCACCCCTGGGAAGTGAGGGGGCTGCCCTCGCATCAGCATTGGGAGCGCTTCTACCCACTGCCTCCTCCCGGGCACGCTGTGCAGGCAGGGACCCTCTGCTCTCTGCCTGGCATCAAGGGCAATTTCTGATGGTTGGGCTGTCCAGAATGGGAACTGCTGCTGCGAATGGTGCAAGCAGGGCTGGTTGCAGCCTCCAGCCGGACAGAGGTGACACATCTGCACCGCCCCACTGAAATCAGGAGGCTGCAGGGACCATGGGAGCCCTCTGGGCTGCAAGGCACTGGACAAGTCCTGGGATGCCGGTCTCCTGTGGGGAAGAGGAGCCCTGAGTGCTGCTTGCTCCAGTGTCAAGTTTGCACTGAATCCCACCAGGAATCTGCTCCTTGGCTCCCCTGTGCTCAGCACACTGCAGGAGATGCTCAGTGACACAGCCCATGGGCAGACCCCTGCACACCAGTGCCAGCAGTGCTCTCCTTCTGTTCAGGGGAAAATTTTTCTGCCCTCCCACTTGTGCTGCTGAAATCCACCAACCACAGGATTTACTGGTTTTCGGCTCTAGCACGGCTCCAGCCATATTGGGCTGTAGAAATAAAGCAGCTCTAATGTTATATGTCACCTGCACATAACCCGGGCGTTCGAAAAAAGCCAAACCACCACAACCCACACCACCACCACGTCCTCTCCATACACAAAACTCCATCAAAATGAGCCTGGAAGCCTGGCTCCCGCAGCCCACCTTGTTCCTCACTGGCCTCAGCTTGCTCCTCTCGCTGGGTAAGTGTCATCTCGACCCTTGCATGCACACGGCTGCCAGGGGACAGCACCCAGGCTGGGGAGAAACAACCCTCTGTGGCCAGGAGCCCCCTCCCCGCATCCCAGCCCCTTCCGACAGCGGGGATGCAGCGAGAAGCGCTGTGCCGCAGGGATGGGGATGGAGGTGGTCCGAAGGGCAGCCTGCTCAAACCCACCAGCCAGGGCGACCTGAGGCAGGATGGGGGCATGCTGCGGCTGTATCTTATCCTAAAAGCATGGTGCATCCTGCTTGCTGAGGTTTGTCCAAGCGCAGGGCTCTCTGCATGCCAGCAGGGGTGAGGGCTGCAGTGGGGGTATGGGGCACCTCTGGCTTTGCCTCGCTGGGAAGGACGTGGCTGGGGGGCTATGGGTGGCTTGTGACTGTCCTTTGGTTTGTGCTCTGTGGGCTCTGGGCTGATGGTGCTGCATGGGGTGGTGGGGGGGAACCGTGGTCTCTGCATTTCTGTCCTGCCCCGGAGCCAGCAGCGTGTGTCAGCAGGTTTGGGTCCACAGGGACTGGGAAGAGGAACACATCACTTTGAGGTGCTGTTTGCACTGTCCTGGAGCTCCCGGTGGGCTGCCTTGGGAAATGGAGGATAAAAAGCCCAGTGAGCGCCGCTTTAGAACCTGCGTGTCATTTTACCTCCTGAGCCCTGGGTGCAGGGTATAGTGTGACAGAGCATTTGGGAGCCTGCACAGCACCAAAGGACACAGCCTGGATGGTGGCCTCTAGGGGGTTTAGCGGTGTCTTTCCCCACCTCTGCTGTCCCCTGGTGCTGGATACCCTGTCCATGGCAGGGTTTGGACCTGCACATGTAGGTGCTCCCCAGGCACGTGCCCGTGGCGTGCTGGCTGCCTGCGAGGACCGTCTGGCATAGGGCAAAGCCCTGACACTGCAGAGCCTGGGGTGCCCCCGGGACGCAGCACAAGGCCACCCAATGCAGACACACAGGGCACAATGTGAGGGCTGACGGGCGCTCGAGCCCATGACCCTGTGCAGGGAGCCCTGCAACCAGGCCTGGGCTGGGAAGGAACCTCCAGGGACAAGCAGGCTCTTCTGTCCCACCCTGGGCTGCGATGGGGCAGCGAGGCTGGGACACCAGCCTGGACACTTCCTCCTTCCTTGGCTGCTGTGGCTTGTCCCCACGCACCAGCTCTCCCCATCCCCGTGCCCTGTGCAGAGGCTGGATGGAGGGCGCTCAGCTCAGCATGAGCAGGGAGGGAGCCATCCCCAGGGGCTTGGCCATACCTGAGGGCATCCCTCAGGTGGTTTCCGGTTGCTGCTGATTTGCACCCCCCAGGTGCAGCTCAAAACAGCCTTATCTGCACCTTGGGAAAGCCGCTTTTCCCTGGCTGCAGAGCCTGGCCCCTTTCCTGCCCTGCTTGCAGATGGAGCGGATTAGCCAGCAGAGCAGCCTTGACGTGCATCCAGCTTGGCCGCAGGGCTGGACTCAGGAGCACCTCAGGAAGAAGGTTTGAGCAAAGAGCAGCAGCCAAAGGGGAGAGGTGAGGTGATGGGAAAAGCTCCTGCTGCCCGTGTCACTGCCCCTGCCTATGGGGTGCCATAGCCCCCATTCGCAGTCCCATCCATCTGGGGCTCTCTGTCCCTGTGCTTTTAATGGCTCAGCCTTACAGTTTGCAATAGTTGGTTGCACAGGAGCCTGCCTCAGGCCTTCACAGGCTGGAAAGAACATGCTGGATGCAGGCACTGGGGTTCTGGTGCTGCTGCAGCACCCAGAAGGAAAGGAGCACAAACACCCCATCCCTGCCCAGGCCCTGTCCTGCCCTGTGAGCTGCATCAGGTACTGCCCCTGTTTCCCTGCTACAGCAGGGCCAGGGTGCAGGGACTGGCCTTGCCCCCCCAGCAGTGACTGAGGTCTTGACACGGGCATTCCCAGCTGGAGAATCCTCGTGCGAGCTCCCCTGGGAGGTAGGGGAGCATCTGCATTCCCCCTGCAGCTCCAGGGGCCGGTCCTGGCAGATCCCAGACCTTGCTGCTGTAGAGCATCCTGCTGGGAATGAAATCTGATGAGCACAGTCATAAAGTGCTCCGTGTAAGTGGCGCTGAGCCCCGTGTGCTGATGCTGCATCCAGCCCTTTGGGTTATCGATCCTGCAGCAGGAGAGCCTCTGCTAAGTGCAAGGAGCAGGGCTTGCCTGGAGTCAGCAGAAGTCAGCCAAGCCAGGCAAGGCAGAGGGGGTCACCAGAGGACTGATGCTCCTTCAGCTCAGCCAAGGGATGGTGCCAGGACTGGGGATGCTCCCTCCTTGTCCCCAGTCACTGCTGTGGAGGGAAACCCCGGTCCTGGCTGGGTGTCCCTGGGAGGCAATCCCAGGCCCCAGGGTGAGCTCTGCCCGCAGGATGGATGCTTGTGCCCCTTTTCTAACTCCACATTTCTGCTCTTGCTCTGCTCGCTGCAGCACCCACAGGATTGGGGATGGAGGTCATGGCTCCTGCCACCATCAATGCCTTGAATGGCTCCTCTGTGAAGCTCTCCTGCACCTTCAACTCCTGCTACAAGGTGGAGAACAAGCAGTTCTCCCTCAACTGGACATACCAGGAGTGCAGGAACTGCTCTGAGGAGCTGGTGAGTCCTGCTGGGGCTGGGGCTGTGCTGAGAGAGCGGTCCAGGGATCAGCTTGAAGCAGTCGTGTGCATTCCTTGGGGTCCTCACGTGTGCTCCTGCTACCCAGCCCTTTGCCACAGGGAAAAATAGCAAGTGATGGCGTAAGAACAGTGGCAGCAGAGGTGCCATGAGGAGGGGCTGTTGCGGTGGGAGCATGCAGCAATACACGCAGGGCAGGGGGACGCCTGGCACACTCACGTAGCCTGTACCAAACAGCATCCTACCTCCTCCTCCCGCCCAGTTCCTGCAGTTCCGGACGAAGATCATGAACAAGCAGCTGGACCGCTTTGGGAACCGCGTGGAGTTCACGGGGAACCCCGCCAAGTACGACGTGTCCTTCACCCTCAAAAACGTGCAGCTGGAGGACGAGGGCACCTACAACTGCTACGTCCTGAACCCCCCGGACCGGCACCGGGGCCACGCCAGCATCAGCCTCAAGGTGCTCACCAAAGGTCAGTGATCCCCTCTGCTGCTCTGTGCTCTGCCCTGTGCCCTGCCTTCACCCCGGCAGTGGGAGCGAGGGCCCTGCCTGTTCCCAGTCGCTCCCGCTGGCTGCTCCAGCTCATTCCCTGAGCCCTGTCTCCGCAGAGCCTCCAAAGCATGACTCGACGGTGGCTGTCATCGTGGGCGCTTCTGTAGGCGGCTTCTTGGCCGTCGTGATCCTGGTACTGATGGTGGTGAAATGTGTGCGCCGGAAAAAGCAGCAGAGGCTGAACACAGACGACCAGAAGACGGAGGAGGAAGGGAAGACAGACGGAGAAGGCAACCCAGACGAGGGCACCAAGTAACACCCCCCGTCCCTCCCTCCCTCTTCACCCCTGTACAGCGTGACCCCCTTGATGTGCTTCCCCAAGCAAGGATTTCTGTCTCCCCAGAGCATCCCTCCTTCCATCTAAACACCCAACCCAGCCTGGAGCAGGGCGCGGAGAGCAGGTCCCTGGAGCCTGGCCACAGCGGGCAGGGCTGGGGATGGTGGCTGAAGCACACTGGGGCTGCCCCTGCGGCTCTGAGTGCCAGAGCATTGCGTGTGCCCGTGAGGAAGTGCTGGGGACAGGGTGGCATGGGACAGGGGGGATGAGCACGGCCCTCCTGCATGGAGGGGATGGAGCAGCAGGTGCCAGCAGGGGCAGAGAGGGGCTGGGCAGCCCCGTGCCTTGATGTCTGCACCCTGTCCCACTAGAAGAAGAGAGAAGGAGCCAGCGTCCAGCACCGTCTGCCCTCGGGGTCACGTCTCACCCCCAAGATGCTCCTGCTGTTCGCAGGGCACAGACACCAATGCGCCTGTCCCTAAGGGATGCCCATAGCTGTCCATCTCCTCCTTGCAAGTCCTGTGTGCCAGTGCTGAGGGTGCTGTGACAAGAAGCCTGTGCTCCTCAGGGACTGTCCCAGCCTGCTCAGAAGCTGGGTAATGACCATTAGCTCACAAGGTGTCTCTGAGCTTTGCTGCTTTTCGGAGCCACTAATGGCTCCTGGTTTGTAACGGATGTACCCTTCTGCTTCTCGGGCTATTTTTGGGTCTGAGCATCTCAGCCAGAGGTGCTGGGCTGACTTTTTTGTGCTAGTTTCCTTCTTAGGGAGGGTAATTCTAATGGAAAATGCTCTACTGATGTGCCAAACTGAGGTGGTGGGGAGTGGCGGGGTGTGACTGCTAGGGACAAATCGCTGCTGGGAAGCGGAGGAGGTTTGGGATGCTTGATGGGAAGGATTGGGTGCAGATGCAGGACCCTCGAGGGACCCTGTGATGCTGAGATTGCCTCCTGCGGCCTCCCTGCACAGCACTGCACAACCTGTAACTGCCATGGCAAAGCACTGCCAGCCCAGCCAGCCCCGGGCCCCGCAGTGCCGGCTGCTCCTGCCTCAGCCCCATCCATGGTCCAGCTCTTGCCCTGCTTTGGCAGCTCCCTCATGCGCACCGGGAGCTGCCCCGTGTGCTCTGCAGTTTGTTATTAGCGGTGGCCTGGGCAGCTTATGGGGGACAGGGCATGAGTGAGCAGTGATCCTGACTGGTCCCATCCTGCAGTGGTGCAGGGGGATGCAGTGAGCCCAGGCTTGGGACTGGAGATGCTGCCTGCCTTGAGCAAGCCCCTGGGCTCCTGTGCAGGACCTGGTGGGTGAGCTGTGCTGGATGGAGCACATGGGGAGCTCGTCCTGGGGCTTCTTGTGTCAGACAGGCAAGCGTCCCCTGCCACACCGTGCCTGGGCTTTCCTTCTCCTACGGCAGACAAGACATGGGGCAGGAGAGGGGCAGTGCATGGACACCACAGGCCAAGTGACAGAGGTCCTGTCACCTATTAGCAACACTGCCAGGGGAGAAGTGAGACTTTCCCCACAGCACCCAGTGCTGCTGCACCCCACTGTGGTGCCGTCCCAGCAGTGCTGTGGGCAGTGCCTCCCTGGGGAGGAAGGGATGTCCATGGGCTCCCTGCTCTACCCCCATCGCTTCCTGCCCCGGCCCCGTCTGCCCTCCCCACCCCGCTCAACCTCGCTGGGCTCTGCACCGCTCCCCTTCCCATCTGCAGCAGGAATGTGCCGTGTCTCCATGTGGCTTCCTTGTCTCCCGTGGGATTTCCTGCCCCGGGGAGAGTCGGGATGAGGCTGCCCGCCCCTCGCACCCCCACGCCGGGTGGCTTTCCCTGCACAGTGCCAGTGGGACTGTATCCTGCTCGGAGCCAGGGTGTGAGCGGCTCCAGACAGGATTGAGCTGGCAACTCTGCGGCCAAAGGCCTCTGACTGTTGCACATGAGCAGTCTTGCATCTGCCTTTCCATTTCTTTCATGCACTATCCTTGAATTGCAACTTGCCAATGCATTTGTATGTACATAGCTGTACACACCAGAGAGAATCTCTACAAATATATATATACATACACAGAGGAGGCGCTGGTATCGGTTGTGACTGTAGTTTTGGGCTTGCGCCTTCTGATGGGTTCGTTTTGCACTCTGCTGAGTGTAGGATGTTTTTCTTGCTCTTTGTACACTTAAACAAAAGAACAACAAAACACAAAGTTTGCACTCGATGCTTTTGTGCTGGAGGGGCAGGACAGGGTCCCTCATCTCTGCTTCTGTCCAGAGGGACGGGAAGGCTCCTGCGTTGGTGCCAGGGCATGGCTCCACAGGGAGCACTGCTCAGGGCACGGCAGGTAAGGCTCAGCAGGCTCCAATGGAGCCCAGGGCACACATGGGGTGACGGGCGCCCATAGCCAGGCTGCTTTCCAATTTAGCAACCCAGCAATGCCACTGAGAGGTGCAGCAGGGCGCAGTAAGAGGCACATCCATCAACCTACCTCTGTGCAGACACAAGGGTGAGCGTGCGGGAGCTCCGACAGCTCTCCTCAGTCCTGCCTCTCCCACCTGCCCGTCAGCTGGGGCTGCCGAATGCCTGCACATCCCAAGTCACACACCGGGACAGCCCCTACACACCTATGCCTACCTCAGTGGTGACAGTGAGTGGCATCAGCAGTCTGCTCTTCCCACTGCTGCCTGCTCACCTTGCTGTGTGCCCGCGGGGTTAACTCCGCAGAGAGCTCCCAGCTCCATCCCAGCAGGAAGGGCACCAAAATCACCTCTAATGCACCTCAGCTGACTTGGTCCTATAGCACTGGGCTGGTGCTGGAGGTACAGCCCTGCCAGCAGCAATGAGTCCCTGGCCTGCACCTTCAGAGGGGCAACTACAGCAAAGGGGGCAGGGGCACCTCTGCCAGAGCCTCATGAGGAAGGCAGGCGCTGTGGGATCAGGGAGGAGAGCCCCGTGGGACATGCCAAGGGTGAGTTCTCATCGCTGTGAGGAACCAAGGGCACTGACTGCACCCTCCTGCGGTGCTGTGGCTTCGCAGGTTCTCCAGAGCTGGGGACATTCCGTTTTACAGACTGCATCCGTTTCCTTGGACCAGGTGGGATTAGAGGGGTTGAAGAGCAAGTTGGGAGATAGCAGGGACCTCGGTTCAGTGCTCTGCAAAGCCTTGGGGCTCTGCTGGGTGCTTGGTAGGAGTGCAGAGCCGCTGTCCCTGCGATGCTGCCTGCAGCCTGTCAGCGGGGCTGGGAACTACTGAGGAAGAGCCTGGAAAAGGGGACATCCTGGGGCAGGGAATCCCAGGAGCTGAGGGGTGTGGGGGGCAGCGCTGGAGCTGGGGAGGGTCCAGGGGAAGTGCTGGGTCAGGAAGGAACTTTTTCCTGGGACACAGGGCAGTGTCTCTTGCAGATTCCTCTGCAGAGGCTGCCTGGAGACACTGCTCCTCTTCCCCTGCTTGTATTAAAGGGCCCATAAAAGGGGGCGAGGAACCTGCCGACCCCGAGGGCAGGCTGCTCTGCTGGTGAACGCGGAGGAAGCAGCAGGCGGGACGGCTCTGCACTGGAAGAAGGAGGCAGGGAGAGGGGAAAGCATCGCTCCGAGGGAGAGCCGCAAGCGAAGGAGCTCCGAGAATGACAAAGGCAGCCGAGCACTCACCCGCACTCCGCGCTCCTGGGACCTCCCGCTCAGCTCCAGCCCAGGCTGGTCCTGCGGTGTCTGATCACTGCGGGCGCCTCCTGCCCAGCACGTCCCGGGCTGCCAGGCCAGCTTGTCTTTTAAAGGTCACAGCCAGAGGACCTTGCAGCAAACATAAGGTGCTGATGGGAAGCTCTGTTCCAGCGTTGCCACCTCCTCCTCCTCCCTGCTCCTGGCCCGGGAGCCCAGCATCCCCTGGCTGTGGGAGGGATGGGGCTGTCCTCCGGCTGCTGCTGGGAGTGCGGATGGGACAGGATGCTCCAGGGCAGCCGGGGCCGGTGCTGCGCCTGCTGCATAGAGCTGGAAGGCTGCAGCCCAACTGCTCTGCTCAGCCCTACCCAGGTACCCACGTGGAGGGAAACAGGAGCCGTCCTCGGAGAGCAGCCTGGCACTTTAACCCTCCCCGCTCCATTAGTGCGAGGTGAGAGGGAGAGAGGGGTACCCAGGGGCCTCACAGTCACTCTGATCCCTCTGCAGGCTGTGAGCCAGCTGGCAGGACCCCTGCACCTTTCTTCCTGTCCCCCCCGAGAGGTGACAGTGTCCGAGCATGGTGCTCGCCCTCCTTGAAACCGGACACAGCAGCTTTGTGCTGGACTCAGCAAAACAAGTTCCGCTGAGCCACAGTATCCCTGCTCCCATGCCGGACATCTCAGTATCATGCTAAAACCCCAGGGCCAGCTGCTCTGTGCTTCCATCCTGGCCACAGCAGGCACCATTCACTGAGGTCAGGCTGCGGGATAGCAGAGCCTTTCCCAGGCCTGTGGCAGCAGCAGATGTCTCAGGAGAGCAGTCAGCCGAGGAGACTGGCCAGAGCTGCCAAGTGTGACAGCTCCATCAGGCTCCTGTGACAGGCAGCATCCCTCTCCAAGCCCCAGGCTGCATGGCCAGGAGAGCACGGCACCAGGCTCAGAGCCCTCCTTCTCCAGAGATGTCAGCGGGGACATAATGGGCAGCAAACAGGAAGAAGTTCATGCGTAATGGCCTTTCCCTTACCCAAGGGTATGGGTGTTACTCTTTCATGTCCCCAGTGCTGCAGGTCTCTCTGGTCCTGCTTGCTGGATGCTGGAGGGTCCAGCCTCAGCCTCATCTGCCCCCTGCTTCAGCATCGGTGCCCGTGGTCCTAGCAGCATCATGCACCCTTGCAGGACAACAGCTAGCTGTATCCATCACCTAGCCGTATCCATCACCTAGCTGTACACATCACCTTAGCTGTATCCATCACCTAGCCATATCCATCACCTAGCTGTACACACCACATAGCCGTATCCATCACAGCCACCCGCCAACACACCTTCTGCTGCATCAGCAGTTGTCTCCACACTGCTCCTGCAGCACTGACTGCCAGCGCTCCCCAGCCTGCTCTGCCTGTACTTTTCCTGTCTCTGTTGCCAGCACTGCAGCTCTAACTCCTCAACCCACAGGCACTGCTGGCATCCTCTGATGGTCCCCTGGGATGCCCCTGTGCCCTGCAAAGCCTCCTGCTTCCCCTCTTCCCTCCTGCTTCAGGTGGGAAAGAGAATGAGCTGCAAAGAGGGCTGGAGTGGGGCTGAGGAGTCTCTCAAAACACCCTGGAGCTGATGGGCCACAGCATCACAGACATGAAGGCAGGGCCCTGTGGAAGGGCTGCTCTCACACCTGAAAAGAAGTAATGTTCTGGGAAGCCGTGCTGTAGAGCTGTGCCCAGCAAACAATGTACGGCCTTACCCGGTCCCTGGACACATGCCTCATGGCAGCAAGGACTCCAGCCTGAAGAAACAGTCAGTCCTGTTCCTGCACCGTGAGCACAGCATCACCTCCTCCTGCTTCTTGCCATGCCTGTTATCAGGATGCATCACCTCCTAATCACTGCTCTGCACAGGGCTCTGGCCGTCTAATGGATGTGGGCTCAAAGGTAAAGCTCTATCTTTGCACACTGTGTTGATGGAGGCCTCCATTAGGAGGGCCTTTTTGGATGTGGTCTGCTGGAGGTTAGCTCTAATGGATGTGGCAGTGCGGGGAAGGTGCTTGAGACGTAAACTTGTGCAGCCAATTATCCCGGAACAAACCCACGGTGAGAAAACTAAGTTTGCCAAGCGCTCCCTTTGGCGCTGGGCGGATTCCCTTGCACCCGACTTTGCGTCCCCCTCTGCCATCGGGGATGCTGGTAGCTCCATGGGGACAGCGGGCAGGGAGACCGGTGGTGCCACGCTCCTGAGGTGCACCGAGCGAGCGCTGACCCCAGCAGGGGCAGGGGAAGCCGCAGCCTCAGCGGCACCTCGTCCCCTTCCAGGGTGGCCCCAGGGCATCCCCACGGGAGCCTTCCCCTGACCCCCGGTGCGGGCGGTGCGGCGGGAGGATGCGCGGCGCGGAGGAGGGCGCAGCGCAGCGCGGCCCCGCCCGGCACGGCCCCGCCTGCCCGCAGCGGGGGTGCCAGAGCCGGGCCAGCACGGACCGCGCCGCAGCCATGGCCCGGGGCTCTCCCGCCGCCCGCCGCCGCCCCGCGCCGCGCCTGCTGGCAGCGCTCCTGGGTAAGGGGCTGCGGGGGGCTGCGGGACCCGCTCCGCCCCGCGCAGCGCCCGCATCCCCCGGGAGCGCCGCGGCTGCATCCCGCTTCCAGCCGCTCCCCTGCGCCTTCCCGAGGCGGGGGGACCCTCGCTTCGCGCTCAGCTGCTTTGCATCCGGATTGCCCGCACCGCCAGGGATCGGACGCTGCTGCTCGGATGGATTTCCCCTGCACGGGCGCTAATGCAATGATCTCTGCTCTGCAGACGGCGAATCCGAAGCACTGAGGATAAGTGACTTGTCCAAGGTGACTTCGCAGCCGAGTCCGAGAGCGGACTCTGAAGTCCTGCCTCCAGCCCCCTGCCCTGCCTGCACCATCGCCAGAGCTTCCTCCTGCGAGCACTGCGGCTGCATCCCGCTTTGCCCTGCTCCGCTCTGCTGCTCTGTGAGCAGGGACCGCGGCTACCTGCCTGCTAACGTGAACCGGGGGAATAGCCGTAGGGAAGCGGTGCACTGCTTCAGCGTAGCCGCCAGCACGCCCGCCGACAGGTCATTGTCTTTACAGTTCGTTTTAAGACCCCATTTGCATGCGCTTCTCCGCGGCGCGGGGACGAGCCCACACTGCAGGGCTCGGAGCATGATGCCCAGGCCTGTGTCCAGGGATGCCCGAGCTCCCCGGGTGCAGGATGCAGGAGGGAGTTTGCAGCTGTCCCCTCCCCGCTGCAGCTCCTGGGGCTGGTTCCAAGCCACCTGCATCAGCCCTCCCGCTCGTGTAGGTCACCCTTGTGTCCACGGCCACAGAGAGCCTGAAACCAAGGGCTGCCTTTGCAGCACTTGCTGTTGGGAAGCTCCTTTGAGAGGCATTTTAGAGGGCATAGTTCTTAAGTTTGCTTTAAGTGAGCTGGAGACACGAAAGGACATGTAAGTACCTGGCTCCCTGCAAGATTTGGGTGCTGGTTGAAAGTGCCTACGCGGATAGAAGCAGTGCAAGCTGCTTTTGGCACAGGGGTGGCAGGGGGGTGGTAGGAGAGACCCGGAGATGCTGCTGACAGGGCACTCGGGGTTTGAGGTCCAGGGTGTTATGGGAACCTGGCCCTACAGGTCACCCAGGTGGGCTGGGAACCTGGAGAGGTGGGAAGAGGAGAGTGTCTGGGCAGGAATCCGTGTCTGTGTGTTTTGGGATGCTGTGCTTTCCAGGGAGCAGTCGTGGGCTCCTGGCTGCACCAGGGAGCTGGAGCACATCTTCTGTCCTCAGCGCTCATGGGAAGGGGCAGCCCGTGTGTCCTGTCCCAGAGCACACAGGGCTCAGGCTGGCCTGAGAGTTCCTTGCTTCTAACCTGGGTGGAGAGGAGCCTGGCCATCCCACCAGGCATGGTTTGCTGTGTGTGCTGGGAGCTCACATGGATTTTCATGGGCAAGGAAAGTTTTTATAGAGGTGTTTTCTTGCAGATAGTGGAGGTGTCCCATGGCTTTTCCGGTGAATCATAGAATAGTTAGGGTTCGAAAGGAACTAAAGATCACATCTGGTTCCAACCCCATGTGCCTTTTCCATTCGGGCAGTGATTCCCAGACCAGGTTCATGGTGGGCTGCAGGAAAAGCAGGCAGCTATGGGGGAAAGTCTTGCTCCGGGTCCCTGCCCAGGCTGGAGCGCTATCGCTGCTGCTGCTGGGGCTGGGTCCCACGATGCAGCCCTAAGCACGTAGCTCAGTGCCTCTGGGACCCTCTGTGGGGCTTGCCCCAGAGGCTTACCCTTAGCAAGAGGCTCTGGCAGCAGCAAGTGGCTGCTCCCCGGTGCCCCTTCGCTATCGCTTGGTGAAAGCTGGTCCCTACAGGCATGGGAAGTGGCCTGGAGCCCATGGAGGGGCTTGCCCTGTGTGCTGAAGGCTGGGGCTCGCGTGGTGGGAAGTGCAGCAGCTTTGGGCACATGGACATTGGGCAGCTGGTGTGACAGGTCCAGTCAGCAACCTCCTGGCCTCCCGACGTCTTTTCCTCTGCGCTTTATTTAGAGGTAACATATCAATTCTGTCTTCCTGAGACCACAGCATGACAGGAAGAAGATCAGCCTCCGCTTACCCCACGCATTCAATTCAGATTGCATTCGTGACGTTGTAACGGTGGCAGACAGGATTAAAAGTGTCACAAGCTGCAAGGAATCGTCTTTCCTGTAAGTAACTGTCAGCTTGCAGCACCCTGCCTGCTCAGGCGTACCTGCAGAGCCAGGCATCCCTCTGCTAAGTCTCACTCCAGGTAGCAGCATGGTTCCCCAGGGATGCTCCTGGCTGTGAAGTCCCTCTGTAGCATCTACAGGGCTGGTCTCTGAGCCTGACAACTGCAGGCGACCTCCTTCTGGTGGGAACCACCCCCTGATGGTAGCCAAAGCCTCTGGAGGGGAATGAGAAGTGCTTCTTTGTAAAGTTAAGTAACTCCTTGCCTGCAGTGCTTGCAATGCAGCACTGCAGCAGGACCAGAAGCCCAGGATGCAGGGCTCGGGCTCGGCTTGGGCTGTGATGTGCCTGGGGAGTTGTTAGCACAGGCGTGTGTGGGAGAGTAAATCAGCAGCTGAAGCAGCTTCAGAGAGATGGGAATCTGAAGCTGAGGGCAGCGTATCCGAGTTAGGGTGTTAGTGGAGCTGCGGACCAGCTTGCAGCTGCAGGGAGAGCTGTCCCCAGTGTGTTTTGGTTATCCAAGTGCCCAGGGAAAGCTTTGTAAAGGTGGCTGAGGTCTGGGAAAGGGCAGGACAATGCTTGCTGGGTTGTACCACAGCTTGGCCGTACCACATCATACAAGCTGAACGGGGCTCTGGTGTGATGGGGAATGAGGCTGCCCTCCTGGCCTGGAGCAGAGCATCCCGTGCCCCCTGGAAAGGGTTTGTGTGGACACTGCTGCCCAGCCTGGTGTGCATGGGAGCAGTGCATGGTGCCTTGCATGGGACCTGGAGCTTTGAGGCACAGTTGGGCTGGTACCTGCTCCTGGATGCCTTTCTCCTGCTGATGGGAGGAGAGGAGAGGCAGAGCTGCATTCTGTAGCTTGAAGGTCATCCCTCTTTACCACGGGAGATAGGCTCTGCACGGCGGGCTGAGGGGTCCGAGGGCCGCACAGGCTGCGAGGAGCTGTGCTGCACAGCAATGCTAATCAGTGCTCCAGCTCCCAGCTTGAAGAACACAGAGCTCTGCTTGCTTTGGGCACTTCTCTCCCCCTTGGAGGTTTAGCTGGAGGCCTATGGATAACATGCAAATCAGGGCTTTCATTTGCATACTTCATTCGTGGTGATATTATGGTTCCCTTTGAATCCGTACTGCCTCTGTGGGGTCTTCAGGAACATGTCCCCTGTCTCTGCCTAAAGCTGGGACAGGCACGTTTGGTCCTGCCATGCCAAAGCAAATGAGGGGTGACGAACCCATCCCTGGGCTCTGGGAGGGGAGCTGAGCTCATGCCCCTCATGCTGAGGCTGTGGGGAGCAGGAGGAGGATGCCGTAGGTCCCTGGTGGAGCTGGGAGCAGGACCTAAGGGGTGATGGCTGCATCCCACTGCCCGCCATGTGCTCCCTGGGAAGGGATCCCCACTGTGACTGGTGCTCCAGCAGAGGCCAGGCTGCAGGGGGGGGAGCAGTTGTCCCTCCCATGTGCCTTTCTCCTCCCTGCCCCATCTTTCCCCAGGTACACGTCCACAGCAAAGCCCAGCAGAGGCTGGGCTGCACCTCGGTTCCCGATGCAGCAGGCTGGACTCCACGCTGGTGCCGTGCCCTCACTGTCTCCTCCCCTCTCCCTGCCAGGTTTGCATGTCCTCGCCCTCGCCTTCGCCTTGGAGGTGTCAGTGGGGAAGACCAACACTGTGATGGCTCTGAATAACTCCAATGTCCTGCTGCCCTGCACCTTCACCACCTGCATAGGCTTCCAGGACCTGGTCTTCACGTGGTATTTCAACTCAACAGAGATGGTGGGTGGCTCGCTGGGCTTTGCCTCTGCTTTATAGGCAGGTTCTTTTGTAATTCCCGGTTCTTGCAGAGTTCCCTTTCTCCTCTCCCAGGATGCCCATTCCTCCAGCTCTGGGGGGACAGGGCTGTGCCAACAGGGTGACTCAAACACCTCAGCACATCTGTGCTTTCGGCACAAAGCTGTTCTGCTGCCCGCAGGCTCATCTCTTAATGTACATTGACTGGTCACGTGCAAGTCTGCCCTTTGGGCAAAATAGGGCTGGTTTTCTCTTCCTGCACTTGCTCTGCGGTACCAAAGGGTCTGGATTTGCTCTTCAACTCCTTATCAGGAGGGCTCGCTTAGAGCAGGTCCTGCAGCCCTGTCTATCCCTACAGCAAGGGGGTTCTCTGCCTTGGGGTTCTCCCGTTCTTTGCATGGTCTGTAACACCACTGCTTCCACGGCACTGTGGGCTGCGTGTCAGGCTCCTCTCCACAGCCATTCCTGCTTTACTGGGGCGTGCAGGAACACTGCCATGTGTGTCTGTGTGCGCAGAGCGCTGGCAGGAGACCTTGGGCCTTTCCCTCACTTGGGATTGTTGGCATCCCATCTGATCCCACATCCTGCATCCCTGCCCCTGCAGATTTACCACGGCAAGATAAAGAGCAAAGCCTCGGAGCCCTTGCTGGTGGCACGCAACCCACGAGTCGAGTTTGTCGGCTCGACGACCAAGAAGGACAACAACATCTCCATTCTCCTGAAGAACGTGGACTTCAGCGATGCTGGGAAATACACGTGCCACGTCAAGAACCCCAAGGAGAAGAACGCGCAGCACAACGCCACCATCTTCCTCACGGTGGTCCAGAAGAGTAAGTGCTGGCCAGGGCTCCGGACTGTGGGGATGCAGACCCGCACTGACCCCATCCTGGTTGTGGAGGTGCATGGGGTGTCCTGGCTTCTTGGAGGTAGCTGGCATCCCTGCAGGGTAAAGGTTGGCCTCGTGCCCCTCTGTGTGGGTCCGTAGTTGCTTTGTGCAGGTGGGGGGGATTGTGCAGTTGGGAGCTCCCTGCTCCCATCCTGAGGCCCCTCAGCACGTTCTCTCCTGCAGTGGTGGAGGCAGACAACACTGTGACGCTCATCATCGTGGGCGTTGTGGGGGGGCTCATCGGCCTCCTCATCCTCTTCATGCTCATCAAGAGGGTTGTCCTGTTCATCATCAAGAAGACTCAGGATGGGAAGTGAGTGCGGGTCCTGGCACCCTTTGTTGGGTGCTGCCGTGGGGCAGGGCTGCCGTGGGTCGTGGTGAGAGGGGCTGGGGGGGGCAGGAGTTGTGAGCTGCCTGTGTGCCCTTCCCCAGGAAGGAATGCCTCGTGAGCTCCTCGGGCAACGACAACACGGAGAACGGCTTGGCTGGCTCCAAGGCGGAACAAAAAGCACCACCAAAGGCATGAAGCAGCGGCACCCTAACCCCAGCCCGCCCCGCAGCGGGGACAGGGGCAGGGGGCCAAGCCTTTCCCTTTTGTTTTCTTTCCAAACTGCCAATGCTTGAGACATGTTTCTATTACACACGTGCCTGCAACCTGCACTGCTTCTCGGAAAAGACTTGGGCTGCCGTGGGGACTGGGAGCTTCTTGTGGACTCGGACTGGGATGCTGCCAGGACGGAGGGAGCTGCCTGCTCTGCAATGAGTGAAGGCAAGAGGGTGCTGGGCAGGCAGGGAAGGGGCTGGGGAGTACTGTGGGTGCTGTGCTGCTTGTGGGGTGGTGGATGGTGAGCAGGGGTCCCGGCGTGCCTGGGGGTAGAGGCTGCGAGGAGCTCGGGGTGTCTTTGTGTGAGTGGCAACGCTGAGCTGGGGCGGGCAGGAGCTGCCTGCCTTGCGCAGAGGGTGTCTGGAGCAGAGCAAAGGTGCACAACGCTCACCATAGAGGCAGAGGCTCCTGCCTTTGCTGCATTTCCTATGGGTCCGGCACAGGAGGAAGGGGGGAAGCAGGGCTGATGCGGCAGGGCTTGGCTTCAGCTCTTGTAAGCACACTTGAGAACCAAATCAGTGACTGTCAGGGCTGTCATCTCATCCCTGCAGGGGCTGGGTGCCGTGCTCCTGCCATGGGCCGGGCTGGTTCCTCCTATGCAGGGTTGTGGGGACCAGCGGCTGGGGCTGGCCACGTCGTGGGGTCACTGCTGGCTGCAGTGGGGTGAAGGTCCATGTTTCACACCCTGTGTAGGGCCATACCCCAGGGGCAGCGGGGGCATTCCTGGGGGTGCTCCCTGGGTTTGTGCTGCTGCTCCTGCTCCTCCTCCCCTCTTTAAAGCCCATCACTCGGCACGCTCAGAGCAGTGATGCCGCTGACGCTGCCTCGCCAAGGCTCAACTTGTTGCGCAGAGGTTTTTTATATCAGACTCCAGTGGGAACGCAGCTGATGGCGTTCCCCCATCACCCAATGAAACCTGTGGCGCTCCATCTGCGACGCAGGGAGGAGGGAGCACAGTGGAGCCCTGGCGAGGGGAGCAATGCTAGGGCTGTGCCAGTCCACTCCTGGGCCTGCCACTGGCCCACGGGGTGACCTTGGGCAAGTCACTCTGCCTCTCCATGCCTCAGTTTCCCCATCTGTAAAATGGGGATAATAACACTGCTCTACCTCACAGGGGTGGTTGTGAGGCTTCCTTGGCTATCATTTGTAAAGTGCTTTGAGAGCCTCGGGTGAGGGGGGCCACAGAAAGCCAAAAGGGTACCTGCAGTGGGGACTCAGGCAACGCAGCCCCCTTCCTAAGGGCTGTACTGGGACATGACACATGAAGAATGAGCTGCTCCTACAGTCGAGGGTGGCAATGTCCTTTGCAATGCGATTTGTTCCCTCTTCCTCTTTTATTTGTGGGTGGCTGTTGGTGAAGCTGCAGGGCAGGCAGCTCCCCCATCCCCACTTGATATTGGGAATCACAGCCAAGCCATGCCCCCGGCTGCAGGTGCCCTGACAGAGGTGCCGGAGAGGAAGGTGGGTGAGGATTCGGTGGGCAAGGCAAACAAGGTGCTACCTTCTCTGGTGACTGTTGTGGGGAGGTGAGGCCTGCTCATGGGGTGGGGGCACAGGGAGCACCCTGCAGCCTTCACCATGGGGCACCCCACCTGTAAAGCGGGGACGGTAAATCTGACCTACCTCACAGGAGGTGTGAGGCTCCCTGCATGGCTTTGCAAAGTGCTCCAGGATCCTAGGGCGAAAGGCACTCTGTAAATGCAAAGTATTGTTACTGCACCATGGTCATGCATGAGAGTCTGGGCAGCAAGGCTGAGACCTCCCGGCTGCTCCAAGAGAGCCCCAGCCCATCCTTGGAGGAGACCTTCTGTGGGGGAGGACACTGAGGGGAGGAAAGGACTTTTTTAAAGACCTATTTTTAGCTGTCCCAACCTGTTGGCCTTTTTTAGCTGGTATCTGGACACAGTTCCACTTACCACAGGATATGCAATGCTGTTCTATGCATGGATTACTCCTCTGGCTTGATGGAAACAGTCAACATAAGCACTTCTTGACACGTAACTCTATCTGCATATGTGTGCGGGTGCTGTCCACAGCGTGGGGGGCTCCGGGCTGCTTTGGGTGCCAGCTCCTGTGGGGCTCCTGCTGTCACAAGGGCTTTTGGGGGGGGGGGTCTGCAGGGGCTTTCTGGGGTGGATGGGGGAGAGGGCCCTGCTGGAGGTGTGTGCTGCAACAGACACGAACGTGTATCAGCATATCTAAATCCATGTAGGAGATGCCTGTGAGTAAACACAGGGTGTGTATGACATGCTGGGTGGTGACAGCACATTTTTGCACTGTAGAGGTTTAGCTAGCTTTGCCTTGAATGAAATAAACTTTATGTTTAATAGAGAAACTAGAGGCTGGGTTGCTGGATGTGTTTAGGCTCCCTCGGGGCACGCTGCATTGCCGGCCCTGCACCGAGGCAGAGCAGCAGCGATTCCCTTGCCTGCTGAGCACTGGCCGTGTTTAGAGGGTGCTTGGGGGTATTTCCCAGTGGAAAAGGCTCTGAGCGCAGCTGCCTGGAAAGCAGGATCCCTCCCTACCATGTTGCATGGGAATGGTCCCTATTTCTGTGCTAGAAAGTGTTGATTTAAAGGAATGCCCGATGTCCATGTTTGTTTCCAGTAATTTCAACTGGCCCCATTCTGACCAGCCTGAGCGGCCGGGGTCTGTGTGCAGGAACAGGTTCTTCACCAGAGTCAGCAAATAAAACCCTGCCCTGCGCTGGGAAAGCAGCTCCTGCGGAGCGCTGGGTGCTGTCAGAAACACCCTCGCAAGCAAGAGGGCCAGAGCCTTCAGAGGCTGCGTGAAAAAAAACAAACACTCTCCTTTAATGGGGTTATTCCATAGCACAAACATCATTTCTCTCCGTAGAACAGTAGTAAGCAAAGAGCAGCCTCGCCCCGCAGGAGCCTTCCTGCCACAGCAGGGTCAGCACCGGGTAATAAATTAATCTTTCTGCAGAAGGAGCTTGAGCTGCTCAGATTCCTCCATGGTATCAGTGGACGTGGCTCCGAGCCGCCCTTTGCCTCCTTGGCTGGCCTCTGGTGTGCTAAATCACAGCCCGGCAGTGAGGGCTCGGGAGGCACCGCTCACCTTTTGATGCCGGAGCTGCTGCAGCCAAGTGCGTAGGGATGGGGAGGGAGGCGTGAGGGGAGGGGAAGGACCTGTCCCAGCAGGTCTCAGAGCTCCGACTGGAATGAGAGAGAGAAGAAATGGTGAGATTTGAAAGGACATCTGAAACCAGGAGCACAGAATCACATCCTTAAGGAGCCGGCTCCGCTCCATGCTGAGCCCAAGGGTGCCCTTTCCCAGCACCCCCAAACCCCCTGTGCTAGAGCAGCCGCAGGCAGCGGTGCAGCACTGACCCTCCGCACGGCGTAGATCCAGTTGAGGTAGGCACGGACGCTGGTGTAGACGCCGGGCATGCTGGGGGTGCCACAGCCCTCGCCCCAGCTCACAATGCCCACCACTTGCCAGTGCTTGCCTGAGTAGAGCAGGGGCCCTCCGCTGTCTCCCTGCAAAGGATAAACCATCAAAGGGAAGAGCCCCCATTCCCAGCACACTGGGTACCAGTGCTCGTGGCTGCAGCTTTCCCACCCCTGGAAGGAGCTATTTCCTCAATCGGAACCAACCTGGCACGTGTCCACCCCGCCTTGGGGCAGGCCAGCACACAGCATCTTCTCGGTGACCTCGCCATGGTAGGCACCGACGTTGCAGCTCTCCTCATCAATGAGTTTCACCTCCGCCTGCTGCAGGACCTCAGACAGTTTGCCTGCACACAATGTGGTGCCTCAGAGGGGACCCTGTAGGGAGCCCACCGGCCCCCTTCCTGCGAGTGGTGCTGGGGGGGGACTGTCCCACTCACCGCGCTTCTGTGTGTAGCCCCAGCCTATCACCCACAGGGGTGTGCCTGGCACCAGCTCCTCGTCGAAGTAGGGCAGGCAGATGGCCTTGCTGCTGTCTGGAATGGAGACAGGAAAGGCAGGAGGTGACTGAGGGTGGTTGTGGGGAAGTGGGTTGTGGCCATGCACCACTGGGCACCCAGCTGCCCCCTCATGTGTGCCCCTCTGCACTGCTGCTTGATGCCCACTGAGCTCCTCGCCTGCTCGTGGGGCTCTTGCTCCGAGGAGGTACGTGCCATAACTCACCTGAGACGTGCAGGGGAGACTGCAGCTTCACCAGAGCAATGTCGTTGTCCTTGGGAGACGTGGGCATCTCCCCAGCCAGGAAGACCTTCTCCACAGCAAGGGTGCTGGTGCCTGAGAGGAGGTTGGAGCCGGCCTTCACACGCCAGCTCTGAACAATGGGGTTGTTCCTGTGCACAGACATGTCTGTTATTGCTCCCCTCTTCCCTCCCGCTGCAGGGACAGGCAGCAGAGCCTTGCCTACACTGCGCCCTGCTCAGCATCATTGTACCAAGGGGCACAAAGCCATGTTAACTACAGGACCACCCGGCTTAAACCCAGGCCTTGAGGAGCCGACTCACTTGAAGCAGTGTGCTGCCGTCAGGATCCAGCTGCGGTCGATGATGCTGCCCCCACAGATGTGCTCCTTCTTGTACTGCAGGCTGACCTGCCACGGCCAAGCCTCGATGGTGGCTGCGCTCCCCCCCAGCACACGCGGAGTCCTTATGCTCTCCCCACAGCCTTCTGCAGGGTGGCAGAGCCACAAAGCAACAGGTCAGCTGCAGCGGTGGGGAGGGAGAGCATTGCTCTGCCCTCCTCTGTCCTCAGGTAAGTGGGGACAGAGGCTCCTTAGAGCCTCCTGACACTGTCTGCCACCCCTTTGTGGGCCACTCAGCACACCCCCTTTTGTTCTCTGCATGCACATCATCCCTGGGCTTGGTTCACCTGTTCCTTGCCTTCTCCAGCCCACCGAGCAGATTAGTTTGATCAGGATAATTCAGCAGCAAAAGCAGACCCATCCCAGCAGCTGGTTAAGCCTCTCTTAGGTGTTCCATGTCTGGGAGGTTTACATTGGCTTAGCAAGGAGGTTAGCAGTAATGAAATCCAACTTTTCTCATGCAAATCCTCACTGTGGGAATCAGGGAGGGCCAGGGCTTGGGCCATAGCTGAGCTCTTGCAGCCGCAGCGCAGCACACGGGGACGTGCCAGGAGTGGGGAGGTGGAGTGGCACGAGGTGCAAACAGTGCCATGATACTTACTGGAACAGAAGAGCGAAACAACCACTCCAGAGAGGCATTTCCTGGGAGAGGGAGGGAAAGGGCTGGCGTCAGTGGCGGAGAGGCTCCGGCTCAGCAGCAGGATGAGGGGCACGGTGACCACCTCCTGCACAGCCCCGTCACTCACCGGCCTGGCTCGGGCATCTGGAGGCTGCCGTTCCTCAGCACGACCTCGCGGGGAGGCAGGGGCTGCCCGGTGCCTGCTTCCACCGCTGTGAACGTGGGGTTGCTGAAAGACACGGGGGTGGGCCAGGTGAGCCAGCACAGCGGGTGCACGGTCCCAGCACAGCACCAGTGTGCACTGCACAGGCACCTCCGGGAGCGTGGACACCCAGCGGGTTGGGCTCGCACTGAGCCACAGGTGGCCTAACCCAACCTTCACAAATAGGTCCTAAATGTTTGCCTATGGCTCCAACAAAGAGCTGCTGAGCAAGAGAGGAAGCAGGAGTGTAGGAAGGGAATGCAGACCCTGTGCCAGTGAGCAAAAGAAAGACTCATAGAAAATGGAGGTTCTGGGGACAGGGACACGGGGATGCCAAAAGAGGCATCCCTGAAGGGCCAGGGCAGGGTGTGGAGACCTGGCACTGATATCAGGACCAGGGACAAGAGAGCAGTGGAGGAGTCACAGAATGGTTTGGGTGGGAAGGGATCATCCAGTTCCAGCCCCCTGCCATGGATAGGGACACCTTCCACCAGACCAGGAGTACCCAGATCTCAGCTGTAACCTGCTTTAGGTGAATGCAGCACTCCAAGCTTGCTGCTAGCTCAGGGCAGCGCAGAGGCAGATACAGGTGTGTTTATGGAGCTTAATTGCAATACAAGGACCCAGCCCTGCCCTCCCACACCCCAGCCAAGTGCTGCTCTCATGGGGCTTTTAAAAGGGAGAGTAGGGCAGTGTGTTTTCCCCCGGGATGGGTTCTGTATGTACTGCAGGAGGGGCTGCTTTGGTGAGGTGAGTGCTTGCCATGGGTACCCGCAAGGAGGTGGGGTGAGGAGTAGGAAGAGGGCAGGGGATGGAGCAGCGGTACTGGGAATGGTGCTATGTTTGTGTGGGAAGCTGCCAGGGCTTCTATCACAGAGACCAGCCAGCTCTGAGCACCCTGTGTCCTGGGGATGGGCTGAAACCATTAGTGCAGGGCTCTGAGTGCTCTATGTGTAAATAGAGCCCCACTCAAAAAGAGCTTTTATGGGAGAGGGATGGATAGAGCAGTGAGAGAGGTGTTGAGAAAGCAGTCATGTACCTCCTGTAGCCCATTTGCTCGCAGGCTGCTTTTGCCAGCATCAGGTTGAAGTGGTCATGGCAGATGCAGAACCAGTCTCCAGTGTCCCTGTTAAGCACCTGCAGGATGGATCTGTCTTTGGAAACACGGGCTGGAGACAGACACAAAGGCAGCTTTGTCACGGGTGACTCTGGCAGGCAGCAGCCATGCCCCTTTGGAGCCCAAGCAGGGTGCCCTGGACTCACCCCCAGCTAGTGGCTCCTCAGGGACCCACTGGGGACAGTTGGCCTCATCCTCGCCCTGCAGACAGTCCACCTGCCCATCACAGACTTGCTGCAGTGGAACCAGCTTTAAGGGCTGTTTGCAGAAGAAGTAGTGTTGGTCCAGGTAAACCTTGACTGCGAGAAAGGGGGGTGTCAGCAGGAAGGTCCCAGCCAAGCCCTGGGTCCAGAGCTGTGTTTGCTGTGCAAAAGGAGCAGGGAGAGGAGAGCTGGAGCCATACCCAGGAACCCGACTGCAACCAGGCAGGCGAGGGTGAGCACCACTGCCAGGACCAGGATGCCGATCCGTTTGAAGGACTGCAGGGATGTGGAGCCTTTGCGTCTCGGGCTGGGACCTGCAACACAAAGGAACGTGGCCCTGCGTCGCCCGCCCCAGCCCGTCAGCACTCGTGCCCCCAGCTCCCACAGGTATTACCTCTGCCATTGAGCCGCTCGGAGGCTACATCCTGCAAACCAGAGGGGGAAAGCAGTTATCGAGCTGGAACTTCAGCAAGAAGCGGTTGGTGGATGGGCAGGGTCTGTAGGAGCGTGGCTAGCTGGTCCCATGGCAGTTCCCATGCCGAGTGCAGAGATAACAGGATCAGCCACCCCAGAGAAAGCAGAGGATCAGCTAAGCAGGCACAGAGGCTGCTGTGTCTCTGGCTTGCTCAAGGTCCCTGGGGAGGATTAGCAGGGGAAATGCTTCAGCCTACATCGGAGGTTGTTTTAGAGCTGCTGAAGATGGAGGTGGCAGCAGGGGGGTGGCATGTCCTGGTGCAACACTTAGCTCTGTTGCCGCCCAGCATCACCAGCTGTGTTGCTCCTTTGAACACTATCTGTGCAATTCCAGTAACTGGTTATTAAAGTTATAGAATTACTGTCATTAATGCACCAGGGGCTTAAAAAGTCATAGTTGTTATGAAAGCACTTTCTGATGTGCCAAGAGGCTCTGAGTCAAAACAGAAGTGGTGGCACCCAGACATGTCACCATGGGGGGTTATATTCTCTGACCAGCGCAATGTGGGGTCAGAAACCGAGTGGCACAGCCAGCGTCCTCCCTGGCACGCTGCTGGAGAAACCAGCCTGGCCCATGGGAGGGAAGCTGTGCTGCTGCTAGGACACGCAGCAAACACAGCCTGGGAGCAGTCGGCGCAGGAGGAAGTGGTGGAAGAGGCATTGATCCCACTTGATCTCTTCAAAATCGTTTTCTTGTAAGAGCTTCTCATGTGGGAGATGCCCAGCTGCGGTAGGAGAGGTCCTGTGAGCTGCACCAGCCAGCCGCTGCCTCTCATCCTTGGGGGGTTGGTGCTAGGCAAAGATGAGAGCCCCTTTGGGCTGTTGTTTCTGTATGTTTCTATTGCCTTGTTTTGCAGCTATGCTTGTGACATGCTGTTGAGCTGCTCCCTGACGGCCTGTGCTTTCCCCCTGAATGCCCTTCCGGCCCTGAGAGAGCTCTTCTTCTCTGCTCTGGACTCTACCACACAGGTAAGAGGAGCTGCTGCGCTTCGGGAGCACACACTTGTCTCTGGGCTGGAGCCAAGTGTGTTTGTTGTCTCAGATGAGAGCAGTGGCCCCTGTGCCACTGCAGGGTTTCAAGGTTGGGGCTTTGAAGAACAGTGGTGCCATCAGACCAGGGATGCAGGCAGGCTCCAGCCCAAGGCAGGTGGGAGGGAGTGATGGAGCCCTCCCTCTGGTCACTGTGTTTGGGCATGTTTAGTCATGCACAAAGACTTTGTTAGCAGGATTTTACAGGCGAGCGACAAGCGATTATTTGTGGGTTAACGTACAGAGATAGCTTGGATTTGATGTGCTGCTAGCCCAGCCATCGCTGCCTCTCCATCGCAGCCCTGCTGCATGGCTTGGGCTCCCACTTTTGGCTGCTCCCCAGCCTGGGAACAAGAAGTGCAGGGGAGGACTGGATCCAGCCTGTGCTGACAGGGCTGTGGGCATGTGGCTGTGCCTCAGCATGGAGCCATCTGGCTCTTCAGGAGGTGCCAGGGGCCTTGCTCCAAAGAGCCTGGCTCATCTGGCACTGATGCTGAGCGTGGGCAAGTCATGCCAAGCACCCAGCTCTGGATGCACAGAGCCCCTTGGCTCCTCTTGGTCCCTGTGAGGATGCTTCTGTGCTATCAGCGGTCGTAGCTGCTGGGATGTGGAGCCCAGCTCTGTGTAGGGAGCAAGAGAGCAGGGTGGGAAGGTGAGGGTGTCTCCTGGGCCTCCCATCTCATCTGCCCTTCCCAAACTGCTCACCTGCAGCACCTGGTGCCTGCGGGAGTTTTGTGATGTGGCTCAGCTTGCTCCCAAACACCACCTACGTCCTCCCGTGCATCCAGCCAGGGCACGTGGGGCTGCTCCTTCCTCGTGCTGACCTCTCGTGTCACCGTGAGCCTGGACCATGGGATCCTAACGGTTCCTGTGGGACCGGTCCCAGGACCATGGCCACCATGGCTCCTCCAGGCTCCACAGCATGCCTGGGGCTGAGAGTCACTGCAGCAGCTCTGCTGCCCCTGCCTGCCCACAAGCTGCCTGTGCTTGTGCCCATCACATCACCTGGTATCAAGCTCCTTTCCCTGTGCAGGTCTGGACACAGGTGGGAGGGATGATGCTGTGGTGCTGGCCACTTCCCACCTGCAGAAGTCATTGCCTGGTGTTGATTTCATTTTCTAATGCGTTTTCTTCCATCCATGAACTTCCTCAGTTTCAAACAGATTTGCAGCTCGGGAGCTGCCCCAGGGGCTGCCTCTCCATCACTGCCCACTTGCTCCCAAAACCACGCTACGGCAAGAGCTGCACGGGTTAGATTCCAAGGAAGGCAAGAGCTGTGCCAGCTCCTTGTGGAGTGGAAGCACATGATTTCCTGGAGAAGTCAAGGTTGCCGTAACTAATTGAGCTCCCTTGCTGTATTCACGTTAATGCTTCTATGGCCAGTCTACACTCCAGCTCTGCAAGCACCATCCCATGAGCCATGGTGAACTTCTGCACTCTCTTCTGAGGAGGCTTGGATATCCAGGGGTGCAGCCAGGCTCTTGCTGCTTTTCCTCCACACTGTGTGGCTGCAAGGTGCTGCGATGCACTGAATAGCTGCTCCCGAATGTGGTGGAATGTTCAGTGCAAACCCCAACTCCAAAGGCTGCAGGGTGCTTGGATCCAGGGCTAGCTCCTTGGCTGCAGGACATTTAATCCATGGGGTCATGTAGCCACTGATGCCATGCAGGTGAGCGAGTTGCCTACCCTGGAGGGATTGATGTCCTGATATGCTGCTGGTGGAGGGGTTTATGCTGCCCTGCGAGCTGGGCTGTACGTGCCTGCCCTCTGTTAAGGAAGGCTTTTCCTCCTAGGGAGGGACTGCATGCCAGGCTGGGGTTTGGTGGTACTGGCTTTGCCAGCTAAAGGTACTGCAAGAAGCCAAGCCGAGCACGTCCCTTGTGCTGAGCAGAGGGACTGGCCGTCCTGCGGTGGAAGCACTGGGGGACAGGGGACTGGGCTCCTTCCCTGGCATTGCCTAAGTACCAGCCCCTTCTCAGGGCAAGGAGGGGGATAACAAGATGCTTCCGAGTGCAGGAGAGGGCCAAGCAAGGCACAGAGAAATGTGGGAGTGAGAGCGAAGCACTGTGTCCAGCAGCCATGGTGCAGTGTTGAGACACAGGTAGAATCATTCTCTGTTGGGATGCTGCGGGGGCTGGGACCAGGGAGCAGCAGGTCTTTGGAGCCTGGGCTGCCCCATCACCAGTGAACTGCTGCGGGCAGACCCGGTCTGCGAGTGCAGGAGCCATGGGGAGTGTGGGGCCTGGGGGCTGCCATGCAGAGAGGGGCAGAGCGGTGGGCGAAGCTGTTGGTAACTCACCATGTTCATCCAGCTCCGACGCTGTCTTCAGCCTGCAGAAACCCAGCCAATATCCTCCAGCTGGGACACGGGGAGGCTGCCGGTGCCCCGATGCCCAGGGAGCTGGACCAGCGATGCTCCCACCACCCCTGTGCCTGTGCTGCTCTGCCCACACTTTAACACTGGGGCAGGACCGCCCCAGCACTCCTTAAAACCCACGGCAGGAGTTGTGAAACAGGAATTGTGATCTGTATGGTAATACAACACCAGTCTATCAGCGGCTCCGGCGCCTGCAGTAATCTCCTGAGCATCTGCCTCTGGAGGTGACTCACCTGCAGATCTGTCACAAAATAGCTTATCAGGAGTGAACTGACTGGATTTTTCCTGCTCTCCAGCTGATGATAAGAGGAACCACGGCTGTCCCGCTCTCCATCCGCATCACACTGGGTTGTTTTCAAACAGAGGTGTTAGTAGGTGGAGGAGGAAAGGAGTTTACGCGTGAGGTTACGGGGCCATTGTACCCTCTCGGGTCACTCAGTCTGTCTGTCCCTGTGCAGCCCCAGCTTGTGGCTGACACAGGCAGGCAGCTCGGAAGGAAAGCGAGTGGGTGCCCGTGCGTTGGATGAGCTCACTGGTGTTGCACAAGGTGTGGCTGGCAGGGCTGGGTGCGGAGAGGGGCTCTTACAGCCCCCAAGTTTCGGTGCCGTGCCCGTAGGCTGGTGCTGAGGCTGCTCATGGAGCTGCGCAGCACTGGTGCAAAGCTGGGTTATGTGTCCAGGAATGATGGCTTGGGATGGGGAGCAGTTTGCTTACCCTGCTGCTGAGCAGGATGGGCTGTCGGGATTAGGTATCAGGAGCTGCGGTCAGCTGGCTGGAAAGGCTCGTGCGGGTCATGCGGGAGGTGGTGCAGGATGAACCAAGCAGCTCATTATCCTCTCCTTTTGTAATGAAGCTCTACCAGTGGTCAAGCAGAGCTGCTGCTGCCGTGTGTGTGCACTGAGCCGGTGGAGAGACCGTGGAGCATCCTGACCTGCCGCTCCTCAGCCAGGGAGCTGTGCCATCGCTGTGCCAGCTCAGCCTGCCGCAGCAGGGGCCCTGGGGAGAGCAGGCAGCGCATCCCAGGAGCCTGACCAGGGATCCTGGCATCTACGTGTGGCTCTGCAGGTAAGGATGCCCTCCCCACTCACTGCAAGAGCAGCTCGACACATGGGTGCTGCAGGGATCAGGCAGAGGCTCTGGAGTGAGCTCAGTCCCGTGCATCCAGCGCGTCCTGTGTGGCCTCTGCCGGGTCACAGGGCATGGGCAGCGCTCCTGGAGCATCGCAGTGCCAGCCCCACACACCCCATAGCTTGGCCTCAATGCTGTGGAAGGAAGAGCAGCCCGGGAACATCCCTGGGGTGGGAGCTGACGCAGTGGGGAGCAGCTCTTCCTCCTTGGAGGTTAAGTGAGGGTTTTGAGGAAGCAGCTCTGTTTCAGGTGTTATGTCACGGCTCCGTGCGCCTTCGGGGCTTTGCTTCCTGGAGTGCGGCTGCATTTCCAGCCCGTTGCCCTCCCCTGGCCTCTTGCACCCAGAACCCCAGCATGACGCAGGCTTCCGAGCACCTTGGCTTTGACTGGGGTCAGGCAGAGGCCAGGCAGGGCTGGCCCAGGGGTAAGCAGAGTGCATCACCCCTCTGCATCCCGGCCAGCATCCCCACAGGTCCCAGGCATCACTCCTGGATCTCAATGCTGAGATGGTTGCCCTGTGGGGGGGCTGTACAGGGGCTTGGCTTTGCTATGGTGTAGTTGGAGCCTGTGCACTAAGGTGGGAGGGAATTTGCCCTGGCTGCCCCGTTTCCAAGCTGTTAATGCTTGTCCCCGTTTGTTACCTTCTACCTGCAGCTGCCAGAGATGGTTTCCCTCTCTACCTGCAAGCAGGCAGTGATTGCCACCTAACCCTGTGGCTTGGAAAGAACATGATCGAACAGACCCATAAGTGCATCACACTGTGACTGAGGGCAGCTGGTGGGGTATGCCCTGTCACCCTGAGTCCTGCCCTCACCCTGTACAGGGCCATAACCTTTGCAGGCGTTCCTGAACGCCCAAGGCCAGGGCTTTGTGTGGAACCTGCTCCCCTCCTGGCTGCTGTTCTTCACCAGGAGGTGGCAGTTGGAGGATGCAGCCACTTAGACACCCCTGTGTCCATCCCTTGGGCCCCAGCACTGCCCTCTGTCAGGGTGCCTCTCCCTGCCAGCAGCAGGAGGGCATCGTGCCTACCCCAAGCATGTGGGGAGCTGTGCTGGGAGCAGCCATGCGGGGCTGGGGCACAGGCAGCGTGCATCCATCGCGTGAGGAGCGATGTCTGTCTGCTCAAGCTCCTCCGCTTTCTCTCCTAGGAACCAGTTGAACCAGCGGGCGAGGAGCGGTGCCCAACCTCGCTGCAGTGCAGGGGTTGAGGTGGCTGTGTCACTGGGAGAAGAGGGGACAAGCAGGACGTGCCAGGCTCCAGCAGCTCCCAGCCTGGACAAGCCGTGAGCAGCTCCTGTGGCACAGCACCGGGTGACAGGACATGGACCAGCAGGTGGGTGAGTACGTGGCCTTCTCTCCCCTTAAGGAGCAGAGGTGGGGATGGTTTGTGGCACAGCAGCGGCTCGGTAACCTGCTCCTCTCTGCTGTGAGCCGGGGCTTGACCGCTGGTGTGGCTCTGAATCCAGCAGTGCTGCTTGGAGGCATCTTGGGACGTGAGGAGGTCTGCTCCCGAGGGTTTCGGGGCAGGGGCTGCTTCCCACACATGGCATGGGGCAGGGGCTGGGCATGAAGCCGTCATGCTCCCACCAGTGGTAGGTGTGGGGACAGGGCAGTTTCGGCAGCGGGGTGATTCAGGGAGGCTCTTGCATCATGCTCCTCCTGCCCCAGCTCCTCTGTGTGAGTCACTCCTGCAGCAGACTCCTGACCTCACCCCTGCCATCCCATGCTGGGATGTGAGGTCCCTGGGGTCCCAGCTCACCCCCGGCTCAGCAGCAGCAGGGTGCATTGGTTGCCCACCTCTCCTGGCCCCCTGAGCCCAGCCCCTAGAGCCCAGCAGAAGGGAAGGGCAGGCCGGTCCTGCTTGTCTGCGGTGCCTGGGAGCTGGTGTTGCGGCGCTCAGCGGCTCCTGGGTGCTTGCCAGATCCCGTCAGGTAGAGCAAGTGCTGTGGGTTACGGGATGCCCTGGCTCACTGTGTAAACACTGTGACCACAGGGGAAGTGTTCTCACTGCACCGGCATCTGGCTAAATTTAGCTGCTGTGAGGTCATCCTCATCCCTGGTGCTGGGGGCACAGCACCCGGTGCGCTTGCCCCTGTGCAGGCTCTGGGGCAGTGGCCAAACCCTGCAGCCCCCCGAGCAGTGCCCATCACCACCCCTGCCTGTGTTCTGCTGATGGGCCCCACTGGGACTGACTGGGCAGCTTCTTGGTCAGGGATGCTGGGGTGACAGGGGCTGTACTCCTGTGAGACGTGCTCATGCTGGAGCCTGCTGTGACAGTGGGGAAGGGTCTAGGGTGGTGTTTGGGATGCACAGGGGTTTGAGTCAGCAGGAGCTGACAGCAGCTAGAGAGAGGTGTGATTAGCACCCTGGTGCTGTAGGTTAGACAAGATTTGCTCCGTGCAGCATGCAACCTATTGTCAGCAGAGAAATGGACGTCCACCAGCGGTGCTGTGCCTGGGTACCTCGCTGTCCCTTTGACAGTGGTGGAGAGTTGGTTGTGGATGCAGCGCGGATGGGAGGGGTGGGGGAGGTCCTGCACAGCCCCATCATCCTCCTGTCCCAGCCCCGTGCTGGCAGCAGAGGCTGCTCACCCTGATAAACACATCCTCTAGAGGGAACTGCCTGTCCAGAAATGGGTCTGTGCAGCTGCACAGGGACACTGCCGGCACCGGCCAGGGTATGGCACTGCATGGCTGCGGGAGCACTGGGACAGCACCAGTGCCACCGCTGTGCCAGCAGCTCCAAGGAGGTGCTTCCCCCCCAGGAGAGCGTGTGTGGGACCAGGAGTGGGGATGCAGGCATCGTCGGGGTGGGCAGCTCCTGCTCCCAGCACAATGGCATGGGTTTGGGCACGGCTCCTGGCAGTGGAGCGCAGTCCCTCCAGTTTGGATGTTCAGAACCCCCGGTCTCCCAGAGGCATTTGTCTGCAGAGCCCCTTCTCCCTTACAGGGCAAGAGCCCATGAAGGTGCTCGGAGTGATCTTGGGTGTCGGGCTGGCCTTGCTGATCCTGGTGGGCTTTGGCTACAACTTCATCCGGTGGTACCAGAGGGGCCAGTGCTGGTGCCGTGAGTATGGGCAGTGTGGGGCTGGGATGTGGGAAGCATCCCTGACATTGGCTGGTCCCTGGGGAAGCCCACATGCAGGATGGCTCTGGGGCAAGCTGGGGGCACACAGAGGCTGAGGAGGGGGTGCACAGTGGTGTGCTGGTGCTGCCAGCTACCCCAGGGGCTGTCCTGCCCTTTCCCATCCCGCTACACAGATCCGTGGCAAAGCAAAGGCTCTGACACTTCTCTTCCTCACCTCCCCAGGGCCTGACTTCATTTTCAACCTCTACCACACCTGGTGAGTGAAGCCATGCGGGGCCTTGGGGCAGGCTGGGTGCTCCCTTTGCATGGTGCTGAGATGTCTCAAGCCCTCGCTAGTCCCAACCCCACTGAGCTTTGCCCTGGGGCAGATGCCCTGGGCAGCCCTGGCTGCAGGGCAGGCTGGCATCTCTGCCTTCCCTGCAGTGGGTCGGTGGCGGTGGAGCTGGTGCCACCATTCAGCATCAGCGGCTCGCTGAGCGAGGCAGGGAGCAGCTACACGCCCTTCCACAACCAGGGACCATGAGCAGGGGCCGGGATGTGCAGGTAGGATGTTCCCTGCTCCTCCCCGACTGGTGGTGGTGAGGGGGTCCCTGGAGTTATGTGCCCGGGAGAAGCTGGTATTTGGGGTGGCTGGAGCAGTGGGTCTGTGCCCCAGAGCATCCGTGCCTCCTCGGAGCTCTTGGTCATCGCAGCTTTCCCTGGGATAATCCCAAGGCTTTTCCTGTGAAAGTCCTCTTCACGCCTGTGGGGCATCAGGGGCTTTCCCTGAGCTCTGGTTCTGTGTGGGTGTCCCAGTGCAGGCTTTGGTTTGCATTTCCTTCCCCATGCCCTCTGTCCTCAGCCTGGGATGGGACACGAGGCTGGGAGCGATGGCTGCGTAGAGGCTGTGTGCTCACTGTGCAGCTTCCCCATGCTGCCTCACAGCCACCTCCCAGCACCCACAGAAAGAGCAACCAAAATCAGCTTAGGGGAATTCCTGTGTTCTTTCTTCTTTAAAACACAGCCCCTCAATGTGCTGGGTTTCCACTGAAACCACCGGTGCAGTTTCTGTGTTTTACAAGAGCTTCTCCATCTGCTTCCCACAGCTGCATTCCCCTTTTGGCCCTCCTTGAGCATGGGAAGGTGCCCGGGGCCGGCTGCCATCCCCATGCACTGCCACAGCCTCCCCTTGCTTGGGCTGGAGGAAGAGGGAGCTGCCTTATCCCAGGCTTCCTCACTGTGCATCCCATGACCCAGAGACACCCCATCCCTCAGGACCAGCCAGCCCCATGTCCAGGAGACCTTGGGCCAAGGCTGTTGGTGAACAGGGCTGTGTGAGATTTGGGGAACCAGCTAAAAAGGGTGGTAATGAGCCACAGAACTGGATGGCTGCTTTTGTGCAATAGAGGAAAATCTCATAAGGAAATGAGACTGCTTCAGGCTTCCCTCCTCGGTGAAACATTGGTACCAATGTGGAAATTTGTCTCCTGCGCTGACAGTGCAAACACCTCAGAAAGCCCCTGTGGGCCCACAAGTGCTGGCAAGGAACAGGGGCTTTAGGGCTGTTTCTTCATAAACTGCTTTCTCAGAAGGAAAATGACGAGAAACCTGGGAGACAGCGTTGCTGCGTGTAGAGAAACGGGTGAGGATGGAGCAGAGCGCCCCATCCTGCGTCCTGCATCCCATTCCCTTCTCCTTACCATGCCCACTGTGCTGCTCCCCGCGGGGTCTGTGCAGTGCTGGGGGGGAAAGGTGCTGGTACAGTGCTGGGACAGCCACAGTGGGGTGCTCCGCATTGCGCAGAGAGCTGCTTGCAGGAGGAGTCAGAGCCGAGCATCCTCCTGCGTCAGGCTGGAAAATGTGAGCCTGTGGAACTTCCAAGGAACTGGAGGCACCTTCTGTGCTCCCGCCTGTCGGAGCCAAAGCGCCGCTCTGCGGTTTTCTGGCAAACTCATCCGGGTTCCACTGAAGCATTGCCTCTCGCTGCCCCTTGCACGGAGTCTTGCATGGTGAGCAGGGACCGGCAGCACCCAGCACTGCACAGGATGCGGATGCAGGCTGATGTCGGGAGCGTTTGCAATGAAAACAGAAGCTGTGCTGCCTTTTGGTGACCCCCATTTCCAGAGGAAGTCGAAAACAGAGAAAGTGAAAAGGAAATATGCAGAGGCAGAAGAGATGGGGGCAACAGGAGGGCAGAGGATGCCCTGCCTGGCACTGGTGGTGCTGCTGCTGTGGGCGCCCACTGCCTTTTGCCTGACGCAGGCAGTGTGTCTCAACTGCGAGCAGTGCTACGTCAGATGTAAGAGCAGGAAGCAGCAACGCATCAACCACCCTCCCGACAGCAGTGATCCAAAAGTACTCCCCAGCTGGGTTTCCAGCAGCCCTTTAATGGGACTATCCCACCATGGAGGTTCTTGGAAACCAAGTGACTTTAGGAAAAGCTCTCCAGTGACTACAGTCAAACATAGCCCATGGTAAGTCCTTCCCATCTCACGCTTGTTTCCATTCTGACAGAAACTATTCTCCCCATCCCCTTGTTTTGACTGGTTCTGCTCTGCTCCTCTTCTTCCCTGGTGCGCAGTCCCCAGGCTGCTGCCCCATGGGACGTGTTGCATCACCACAAGGTGCCCCGGTCCCTTCCCTGCTGCTCCTTTGGTGTGTGTTCCCACCACACGACTCTCACCTCTGACATCTACCCTGGTCCTTAGATGAGAGTGAAGTTGTGATGTGCATACGCTCTTCCCCATGTGAGACCCTGACCTTTGCTGTGGGGGAAAGCCCATATCTGGAAACAGCAAACACAGCTTGACCTTGGGGGAGGATGTGCAGATGAATAGACAAAATAGCTTTGGATGGACCACATCCTTTCTGTATTTACAAATTAAATAGAATAAATAATGTCCGTACGCAACAGTGGCAGAACATGGACCATAGTGTGGGCAGGGCTGCCCTGGCTCATGCTGGGCTCATAGGGTGGCTGCTGCACACATCCTGCATCCTGTTGGAGGGAGCCAGCGCTCAGGTCTCTGTCATAGGGGCTGGATGCTGAAAGATCTCTGTAGGGTCAGGAAAATCCCAGTCTCCCTCCAAGTGAAGCCAGCCAGGGTGGGAGCTCTGTGCTGCCTGCAGCAGGATGCCTGACGTCAGGCTGCTGCTGGGGTCTGTTGTGAAAGGTTAGGACAGCATCAGCACTGCGGATGTCAGATGGAGGAGCCCAGCACTTGCCTATGAAAGGGGGAAGGGGAGAGGGAAATCACAGGCTCTCGAGGATGCCCTGCGCTGGGCAGAGGAGGCAGGATTGCGCCTTGGGAACATCCTGGTGTGTATCCTTGGGCTTGGGGGCTGGAGGAGACAGGGATGAGCCCTTCCAGCATAGCCTGTCCCTGCGTTTTCTTAGCTTTGTACCAGAGGGAAGGTGCACGATGGCTGGGGGCTGGCCACAGCAGTGCCAGGGCCAAAGCAGCCCCAGAAATCGTTAGACTGATGCTTCTCCAGTGACTCTTCACCAGGTCACTGCTCAGTTTGATGTGCTGGCATCCAGGGGTTGGCGGTAGCTTATCAGAGTATCTTCTCCTGTGGGCAGTGGCTAGAAGAGGTAGTTGGGTCAGCATGTGGGGATGCTCACAGGCAGCTGTCCTTGCTGTCCCCATTGAGCAGGCTCAAGGGGTTGATTTGCAGCATGAGCCACTTGTTGGTGCTGAGGCTGGAGACAAGGGGCAGCGTCCCCATGAGGTCAGTGTTGAAAACGCTCAGGTCAACGGGAGCTTTCAGCCGCTCAGGGTGGGCTCTGGAGGCCAGGGGAGCACCTGGAGCCCCATGGCTCAGCAGACCTTGGGGTCCTGCCTGGCTGGAAATATCCCAGATAGCGGGCTCCTGAGTCCCTCTCCATGGGGCAAGGTCCTGTGTGTGGCTGTGGGGACGCTCAGGAGCGGGCTGCTTCAAATAACCTTTGACCACAGCCAGCTCGGAGCACTCTGTATCCAGCGCAATGTCAGTGCTGCCCGGGCCCTGCAGGGATGCTGCACAGACTGAGAAGGGCATCCCCTTGGCTGGGTCCTGCCTTGGCTCCACTGTGCCCTTGGACTGCTGCAGGTACCCACGGAACTCCACACCTTGCTGGCTGGTGTCAGGGGGGATGCTGAGCTCTCCGCTGCAGGGCTGCCTGTCCTCCATCGGGATGGTGTTCCCAGAGGAGCATGTGGGGCGAGGGCAGGAGCTCTCCAAGCCCATGCCGCTGTCATCACCACTGGGAAGCTGCCTCTTGTATCCCTGGGGCTCGGTGCCCGAGGAGCAGCTCAGTTCCAAGGAGGAGGTGCGCAGGCAAATGCCGCTGTCGGTGCTGGTGCCGCTGCTGTCTCTGCTCCTCATGGTCCCCGGCCCCAGCAGGCTCACCTTGTCCTCAGGCCATGCTGGGAGCCTCCAGCCCTTCTCCATGGGCAGCTGGGCTGTGCTGGTGCTGCTGATGGGGACACTGTCCTCATGGGGTTCCTTCTGGCACAGGAATAGCTGCTGGATGGGGTCTGCATCGGGGCTGCTCGAGGACGAGGACTCCTGCTCTGCCCAGAGTGAGCTCTGCTTTATGAAAGACTTCTGGGAGGGAAAGGAAAGAGGGGTGTGAGCCGTGCTTCACCCCTGCCTCTCATCTGCCTCTCCCAAGAGCTCCCTAAGCCTGCACACTTGCACCAGTGGCAAAAGGCGCTATGCCTCAGACTCCCTTACCAGGACGGACGGCGGCCTCATGGGTCTCTTTATGTAGGTGCACACCAGCAGAGCCCCCAGGAGCCCCAAGAGCAAAAAGGTGACGAAGGAGGAGCTGACGGCACTCAGGACAAGCTCTTCGCTCCCTGCAAGAGAGGACACGGCAGAGTCTTCAGTGCACATAGCACGAGGGCCAGGAGGCTGAGGAGGATCCGTATCCCGTGCACGGGGACCTCCCTTCCCTGGCTCCCCAGCACTCACTGTCCCTGTGGCCGATGGTGACGCACTGCTCGTCGGTGCGCGCGGTGCCGCTGTGCCGGCTGGCCACGCTGGGCTCCACGCTGATGCAGTACTCTGTGTCCCAGAAGAGGTTGCTGATGTTGAACTCCGGGGAGGTCTCCATCACTTCATACTGTAACGACCAGAGTGTGGGCTGGTACCTGAGAGCCCCCAGATCCTGCAGGAGTGCTGGCTTTGTGTGTTCCTCCCTCCTCCCCTCTTCCCTTGGGGTGCTACCAGCTAGACCCAAACTCCCAGTGAGAAGTGGGGAGCCCACTGCAATAAGTCGTGCAGAGAAATCTTTGCAATGCTGTGGCAAAGCTCTATATTAAGTTTTACAGAAGCCTATACTTCAAAACGTGATTTCAACTTGAGCAGCACTGCATGTGGCAGATGGGGACAGCACAGGACCAGCAGTTCGTCTCACCGTCCGATTGTCCCGTGCCCTCCTGATGTACACCCGGTATCGCCTCGCGTGCTTCTGGATGTCATCGTACTTCACAGTGAGGTTCCCCGTCCGGAGCAGGAGCTGCAGCTGCACGTGGATGGTGTTGCCCATCACAGAGAGGCTCTGGCCTGACAGGCGCAGACTGGCTGGAAATGGGTCAGTTGGAAAAGCACATCAGGGCTTTGTGCTGTTTGCAGCTCTAAAAGCTCTTTGCAGTGGTGGATTGAGCCGTGACTGTTTCCTACAGCCAGTGCTGGATGTCCGTGCTTTGTCTCATCCCATCCCACAGCCCGGCTACCCTCCAGGTAGGTTTGAAAAGAGAGAAAACCCTGCTCCCGAAGTTCTTGCCAAGCCTGGGAAGACCTCTGCCATCCTTGCAGCCCCTGGCCATACAGTGGAGGCAGACACTCAACCTACCTTCTTGCGGGGAGAAAGAGTTGGTCCTTTGCCATGGGGATGTGTGGTTTCCAGACACAGCCCTGACCCGTGCGTAGTAGCGGTGAGCAGAGTTCAGGGTGTAGTACGTGAGGTCACAGGAGTGCTCTGGGATCCTCATGCAGTTCGGGATGGCCGTCCAGGATTGATTCGTGCCATAGCTGCAGGGAGAAGCGCCTGGGTGAGAGCAGTGCGGGCAGGACTCTGCTGTCACCGCTGCCAGTATCAGACCCCAGGCAGGGGCTGAGTCCCCTTGCACCCCATCCCTGTACTCACACTTTGTGCTCCACTTCATAGAGGACGCTGCTGGGGGGGTTGTGGCCCGGCTCCCACCGCAGCAGATGATGGGCTATCTCCGCAGCAAAGCGCACCCTTGTTGGCCTCGCCAGCCTCTCACCTGCAGGACAGGAGGGCATTAAGTCATGCTGCACGGTTCCTATCCCACTGGTGCCCTCAGGAGCTGGGCAGAGCTCCTTGGGGTTGCCTGGAGCTTGACCCCTGTGTTCAGCAGTGACCAGCCACCTACACCAGAAGCACAAGGGTTTCCTGTCCCACTTCCAAGTTTCAGTGTGTGCTCAGCCCCCTCTTTCCCTTCCTCGCTTCTGGGGAGAGCCCAGCCAAGAGGATCTGGGTGCTTTTCTGGTCTAAGAGCAGAGCCTGCTCTATTTGCATCCCTGACCACCCCTGCCATCTGCTAGCAGCTTGCTCTGGATTCAGCTTTCTTGTTTTGCTTCTCTGCTGTCTGACAGAAATAGACTTTTTCACACCTCCTGGCTCAGTTTTGGTATTGTCACCTTGCAGCAGAGCATTGCTCGATAACATCTGCCCCTCTCTCTATGCTTGTTTCCTCAGCAGCCGCTGTCTGCTCCTGAGCCCCAAGCCTGCCTGGGGAGGATGGCTGTCAGCAGAGCACCGTGCCAGCCACCTGCGTTCACTGCAATACAAGGTGCTGCGGTCACACCGGTGGGGATAAGCACGGCTGATGCCTCAGAACTTCACCCGCAGTCGTTCTAACTGCCCAAACAGCGACGGCAAGTGGTGAGCGGGGAGCCCTGCCGCTGGGCACCACCAGCCTGTGCTGCCCAGCCAGCAACGGTGTCCGAGCCGCCCCGCTCACCGCCTGCCTGCGAGCCTTCCCCCGTGCCAGTCCCCATCCCGTGCTGGGACGTCGGGAGCGGGGCAGCCTGCCGGGACCGCGGGGCTCAAACACAGCGCGCCGGGAGCTGTGGGCAAGAGACTCACCGAGTGTCGGCTGGGCGAGGAGCAGCGCTGCGCACAGCGCCAGGGCTGTGCCGAGGGGGTCCATGCCGGCTCAGCATCCTCTGTGCACCCTGCGCCGGGGGAGCGGGTGCTGAGCGCTGCCCCGCGGGCTGCGTGCGCTTGTTTTTCCCCTGGAGGCTGGCCCGGTGACGTCTCGGAGGCGTTAGCGCAGCGGGAGGAAAGGAGCTGCGCAGCGGCTGCCACTTCTCTTCGCTGTCCTCCCACTCACCGCAGCTAATCTGGGCCCAGGCTGGGCATTTCCTACAAGCAGCCTGAAAGGAGAAGTTGGGGGGGGCTTTTCTCTCACTGCTGAGAGACACTGCTGTGTCTGCCTCTGCCGGCTTCATTGTCTAGTGAGGAGGTAAAAGCACAGCACAGAGGTGAGCTTAGCACTTAGGGTGATCGACGACAGGGCGCTGAGCACAGCAGTGTCACCTTGTGCCAATGTCCTGTGCCTAAAGCCAGCCAGGTCATAGCCAGCCCTGGAGCCCCAGGACCCTGGAATCCCCTTTCCTGCTTTCCCTTCCTTTGGGCTCAGGCCATATTCTCCTGCTTCAGTCCTCAAAGGGGGGCTGTAAACTGTCCTCAGGTCAGCCAGACCGACCTGGGTCCTGGGACAGCAGTGGTGCACATTACTGCAGGGATCCAGCCCCACGATGATGTCCTGCCCTCTGATGCCCCCCTCAGGTTCTAGGACCTGAATTGCCGTCGACCAGACTGGGAGTCCTCTGATTTGTCTTCTGTCAGTCTGAATTACAACACAGGGCTTGAGGGCTTTCCTAGGGGCTGTGCAAACGCAGGGGCCCTCATGTGGTAAAGAGCAATTTGTCTCAAAAAAAGGAATTTCCCACTGGGGAATTAGGGGGAAGGACACAGATAAGAAGAGCAAGAGAAACTGAGAGTGCGCCTGACAGCCTCAAAAAGCTGAAGAGCAGTGCCTGTCTTGGCAGGCATAGAGGCACGGGACCTTGGGTCCTTTTGTGCAGCAGAGGGGATTCAAGGAGCCCTCTGAAATGCCTCAAGGGGGAGATTTCTGGTTTGGTTTTCTCCTGGCCCCTGACTCATCCTCCCCGCGGAAGCCCAGGGGCTTCCATGAACTCGCAGCCTTGTCAGAGCCCCAGCAAACGGGTCAGGATGGGTCCAGCGGTGCCACTGGGCAGCAGGGTGTCAGGCACGGCACGGTGGCACAGCTGGCTCTTGCGCACCCAGGGACAAGCAGGCTTCAGCTCTGCTCTGCTGGGGCTATGGGGAATGAGGGCATGTGGTGGTTGTGGTGCTGGATGCTTGGCACAAGAAGAGGCTCTCCCTTGGCAATTCCTCTGCTGAGCACCAGCCATGGGGATGGGCAGGGAGGACTGCTCCAGCAGCAGATCCCTCCCTGGTTTCACCCTAGCTTGGCTTTATTCCTCCCTCTTTGCGAGCGATCTGATGTGCTGTCACTCTTCTATCAGCTCGTGAGTCAGCGCTGGCAACCGCTGACTTCGGAGTTCTGAGGTGAAGCACAGCCCATCCCACACAAAACCACAGCTCATCTTTTGTGTGAGGACACCAAAATCAAAAGCAACGGGACCAAAAATGAGGAAGGAGGGAGCCTTGTGGAAAGACACCGTGGGGCTGATGCTGCGGGTGAGCGGTGCAGAGGCTGAGGAGGAACGGTTGGCAATTTCGAGGAAAATGAAACAAGCAGAGGAGAAATGACAGTTCTGCTGAACACTTGGATCGTGAGCAGCAGAGCCACCCGTGATGCTTGTACTGCAGGGTGCCACGGGAGGAGCTGGTGCTGGACACAGCAGTGCCTGCCTGCTCCATAGCTCGAGAAGTAGCTGCTTCCCAGCATCCCTATCTTGTCACTGCTTTGCCCTCATTCTCCATGAAATACACTTGAGGCTGCAGGATGGTGCAACCTTTGCTGCCACCAGCTCCGCTAAGAGGGACTACAGGGAAAACAGGGCAGACCCATCTTCCCAACCAGAGGCAGGTAAGCACCGCATCCCCTGCCCGGCATGCAGCTGTGTCCTGTGCAGTCCCTGCAGCCTCAGCACAAGGACCTGGTGATACACACAGACATCAGGCGTTGCTAACCACCTAAAACACCTCAAAGCATCACAAAGAAGAGCAGCCCTGCATGTCGGCAGGAGAGGTTTTTTGCTCATGGATCAACAGCCCGAGAGAAAGCCGCCAAGTTTCCTTTTCATCTTAAAAATAACTGACTCATCTGTGCATAGGAATACCCATGGGTTTAGTAACCTGGAAATCACCTCAGTCCAACAGCACAGCAGGTCTTTCACCAGGGCCTCTGCAGCTCCTCTCTGGCACAGCAAGGGCTGGGGTCTGCAGCAGCCCCACTAGGCCTGGGCACCCGCTTAGCCAAGGGGCTGCCCAGGTCCATGGGGCAGTGTATGGAGCCGGAGGGATGCTTCTGCATGGGCACAGCCCTGCCGCAGGACAAAGCGCTTTGCCTGGGAGAGCAGAGTTATCCTTTCACCATTCCCTCATGCCTGGAGGTCAGAGCAGAGTGTGGAAGAGCTGCTGGGCTTTCCCAGGCTCTGTGTGCTATTAGCGCCTCGTTTGGCTAGCTGGGAGGGCAGGAGTGTGCAGCAGGGCTCCTGGAGCAGTTACCAGCAAGCAGGATTTCATGCGGGAGGTGTTGTGCGCACTGTGACATTTAACATCAGGTTGCTGGGGTCAAGCCCAGACGCAGGGCTCTCTGTAACTCACTCTCCGTAGGTGGCTTTGCAGAAACACCAACAAGCAAATCATTCCTGGAGCTGCCTCTTGGACCTGCTCTCTGAGAACCCCGTTTCAGAAGAGGATGTGCCAGCTAGCACAGGCACGCAGGCAAGGCCAGCTCAGGGCAACCCCAGCCAAAACCCTCTTGTGAGCCCCTGCATCCCAGTGGGACAGAGTCCTCTATATGCTGTTAGGCCTGTGTGTGAAAACTAGAGGTGAAGGGCATGAACTGACCCCTCTGGGAAGGGATGGGACGGAGAATCCTGGGGCAGTGGGACCCATCCTGGGCTTTTTAGCCTTGAAATCAAGGGGGCTTTGAAGCAAGTTTCCTTCAAGTTCGAATGGCCCTGCTGCCTCCTGCCCTTCGGATGAGCAGGTGTGGGTGGGGAGCAGATGAATAAGGGACTTATGCTATGATTAATGCCAACAGAAATGTGCCTGGAAAACAGTGTCAGGATGGGGCTCACAGGAGGCATCATGCTACCAAACAGAGCCTCCTGGAACCAGGCCATTGGAGAGGTTTCCTTCCTCCCTGCCGAGCCACACGAGGACGTTCTGGACTTCTCAGCCCCCTGGGGTTCACAGGATGGTTTAGCCGGGTTGGACACGGCTACGCATCCCTTCCTCTCCCTCGGATGGAGCAGGAGATGTGCTGAGTGGGCACACAGAGAAGAAGGAGAGCCTTGAGAGCAGTGAAGGGACCCCAGTGCCCAGGATGCTGCTCATCCCCAGGGCCAGCCCTCCTCTGCTCCCATAGCCGAGGCTCCTGCTCCATGGCCTGGCTGGGGGAGCCGGCAGCAGAGGCAGGTGTTTTGCAGGCTGTGCCTGGAGCAGTTGGGAAACGGGCTGGTCGAACTGGTTTCCCTCCGCACCCGGCGCTGGCACTGACGTACGCGCCCGCTCGCCAAACACATTCTGCCCGTCCCCACGGACCTGACTTCGCTCCGCACGGCGAAGGATGGCTGTGCCGGAGCTGTGAGCACAGCGCAGCCCTGCACCGGCCCATGGACCTGAAACCCTCTCTGGTAAGGCACAGGCAGCTCCGACCCGGCTCTGTATCCGTATGGACCCGCTTTCCTTAGGGGTTGGTGAAGGGCCCAGTGTCTCCTCCTGCTCTCTGGGGCGTTCCCTTCGTAGCCTATTGCTGCCGGAGGGGAGAAGGACCTGGATTGAGCTGCCTATGGGGCTGCTGCCTCCTGCACCCCTCGGCACATGGAGGGAGGATGAATGCCGCCAGCATTCCCAGTGTCAGCAGAGGAGGCACAGCTGCTCTTCCACACTGGAGTGAGTTTTGAACCAGGGGGACGGGCTGGTGGGAGCCAGTGCCGCTTGGCACCCATGGGAGCTGCACCGCTGGCATTCCCACAGCAGGTCAGTAGCAGTGGCAGCACACTGGTGCTCTCCTTTCCCACTCTCCTGGCAGTTTTCCCTGTGCTCTTTTGGGGCTGGGTTGCCCGGGGCCTGCTCGGTCTCAGCTGAGCATCCTGTCATGGGGAAAACATCCATCCCCAGCCGGGCACTGGGCTCAGCCCGCCCGGGCGAGGCGGTGGGTAATTACTGCACCATCCGGAACGTGCAGAGCCGGCAGTGACGGGGTGGATGGGGCTCAATGGGCTGGCCTGCCCCCAGCACTGCTGAGCAGTGCGATCCCAGCCCTGGGTACCACCAAAAGCAGGCAGCAGCATTGTGGCTTGGTGAGATGGGGGCAGGAACTGGCATGCCCACGTACGGAGGCAATTACCTGATACTGGATACCCACACTGGGCCACCCTGGGTTTGTCACCTGGTTTAAATGGTCCATTAGGAGTCTCAGGTGCCACCCTCATCTCCTCATCTTTCTGTGCCTTGGTTGGCCTGTCTGTGCATTACTCACCCCCTAGAACATTTTCTGATCTCTCTGCCTGAAGAGCTGCTCGCACAGGCATAGACCAAGCTGTCCCTGGCTGTTGGGGATGACTCAGCCAATGGCACTTGTCACCTGCGCTTGCAAATATCCCTTATGTGCTTTGGGATTTCACTTCCCTGTGTGTCGCCCCTATACGGCATCTAACAGGAGCATCTTCCTGCAGCTCCTGCCTGATTTGTCCCTGAGGATAGGGATCTGCCCCTCGAAGGGAGGCTCCATAGGATGGGTATCACCAAGAGGGAACAGGAGCTTTCCCAGGCTAGGGAGGGTTTTGTGTCAGGTGAGTGCGAGGACAATGTCACTACTGTGTGCTTGCTGAGCACGGTCTGCTCTCTACAACCATGTTAACAGATGATTCTCTACCTGAACAATAGCAGCTGCTGGCACAGGAGATGGAGGGAAGTTATCAGGTGCCCTGCACAGCCCTAATAATACCGGGTGCTACAGAGTGGCTGCAGCTGCCGCGATGGATCCCTGCCGATAGGAAAGGGGCCAGCTATTTAAACTCACCTGCCTCTTTCTCCTCTTGATGCTCCAAGTCTTGGGTGACTGCTGAGCCCAGAGCTGGGTGCCGGCTCTGGTTGCAACACCTCAGGTCTTGCCTGGGTTCCATGCTCCCTCCCACTCTGAAACTGGCTGCTGGCTGGTTTCCCTGCCTTTCCTCCCATCAGGCATAGATGCTGAGCCTCCAGCCAGCACCGTCCTGCCCCTGGTGATTGCCTTCTGCTGTGGATTTGGTGGCCAGTGAGTCCAGATGCATGGAGGGTGGGCAGTGCAAGTGGTAGTTCAAGGTGCAAAGGGGGTGGGCTTACTGTGGTGCTGCTGTCTGTGGCATAGGTGCTCTGCCCAGCTCTGCTCAAAGCCTTATAGCAGAGCAAGTGTGATGGTTTTTGGCTCATGACAGGTACAGCAAGGGGCTCAGCCAAAAGACAGGCACTGTCTGCTCATCCCCCAGGCCCAGGAGCGAGACAGAGTCCCCCTGCATCCCCAGCATCCCTGTTCCCGGCTGTTGGAAGGTCAGCCCTGCCATGGGAAGGAGCTGGTGGTGCCTCCCTCCCCAGTGCCTGGCTTTCAGACACCAGCCACAGCAGCACATAACGCTCTGGTGGCTGGTGGAGCGTTTGCAGGGAGGATGCTCAGAACAAGGCTCAAACCACAGCCACGCGTGCAAGATAAGGCATGGCTCCGGGTCTGACTTTTACTCAAAAGCCAGCAAAGGATGAGTAAAGGGTTTGTGGGCAGAAGTCGCTGCTCACTCACCAGGGCAATGCACGTTCCTTAACAGAAGTATCTGTGTGAAGCCACTGCAGTTTGTTCTGTGCTCCAGTAGCTATGCAACAGCAACCAGTTCTACTGGTTACTAGTGGCCTGTGGTAAAAGTTTTGTGAGCTTCTGTGATAGATCTGAAATAAAAACCACTTGGACTTTAGCCTTTGGAGGAAATAAGTAGCTAATAGGTCACCTGTGTTTCCTGCTAAGGAGTGTTGAGAGCAATGTAACCTATACCATAGTTAGGTGTTGATTTCAAACCTATGCACACTGGAGATGGCAGTGCTCTAGCATCCACTGCCACTGGCTTACTGATGGAGCTGGAAAGATTTGCCCTCTATAGCACTAATTCTGCTCATCTGTTAGCTGAAGGGTTACACTTGCTGCAGGATGTGGCATGGGAAACACCAGATGTGGACATAGGGTACAAATGGCAGTGTGAATGGTACTGTGTGGGTATTGACAAAAACCTCACTGATTCTTAGAAGGGAGATGTTCTTTTCCTAGGAAGGCTTCCGGGCATCCATACATTGCTTTGTTTCTACAGAGGAGCAGCACCTGCTGCAGCTCTGGCTCTTTTGCTGATTGCATCCCTTTTGCTGATTGCATCCCCTTTCTAACAAGGCACTAAGGTTACCCAGGGAGGTTTCATGGCATGAAGAACTTGAATCCCACTGGTACGACTGTTTAGGCTTATTAGGGGAGGACACTGCAGGCATTCTGCAGCCCTGCCGTGCCAGCCCAACCTCAGAGCACCAAGGAGCTCCCCAGCACCTTTGGGAGAGCCATGAGAAGCCAAGCCTGCAGCAGGGATGTCCTGAGCTGGCCCATGTGGAACTCAGGTGTAGAGAAACTGATCTTTGGCTCCAGGCTGAGCAAATTCAGGCTTGTTACTGCTGCTGATAGGAAGGGATGAGAAAGAGTGAGCGATGCTGTGAAACAAACATGCTCTCATTGCATGCAGGAGACCAGAGAGATGCTGGGATCCCCTGATGGGATGGGGAGGTGGCTCTTGGCGCCTGGGAGACATTAGTGGTGGCCATGCCCAGGGCCCGCAGGCAGCAGAAGGAGCTGAAGCCCGTGGTGCTGTGCCTGCGGCTCCACGGCTGATGATCCCGGCTGCAAGCAGCTCCTGAGGCACAGCAGAGGCGCTGGATGTGTCCTGTGTCCTGTGATGCTCAGCGCGGGCCGAGGCGGGCTCTGTGCAGGGAGCTCGTGGCCACGCCGGGTGCGTGACTCAGGGGATAATGCCCAGGAAGTTACACCACTGCATTGCGAGAGAGGGCACAGCCCGATTCACAAGGCACGAGCCTGAGCAGGCTCCCTACTCCCAGCAGGAAGCACAGGAGTAGAGGAAACCCAGCTGGTACGGGGTGACTTGGCGGCAGTCCTCCCGCTCTGCCCAGCATCCCCATCCTCTCTGCCCATCCCAGGGGCAGGCACCATCCCGCGTGCTGCTCGCCGGCTTGGCAGGGAAAGGGATGCCTCTGGTCACCTGGAAATGTCACCTCTAGCAACTGCAGGGCCAAAACCCAGGCACAGGCTTCCAGAGGGACGTGTCTGAGCCAACCGCTGGCTGGTAAGAGCTCCCTGGGAGGTGGGGCTGGGAGTGGGTACCAAGCTGCACTCTGCTGCCAAAGGATGCAGGGACTTCTTTAGGGTTGGATGTAGCCCGAATCAGACTGGCTTCCCTTGAGCAGGCTGGTGTAAAGGTGGTTTGTTGTGGCTGTGTGGTGCTGGGAGACAGGCTGAGGAGCGAGGCAGTTGGGTGACCTGCTGAGGATGAAGCCCAGGAGGGGCTGTCAGTGCTGTGTGCTGGCTGGTGATGCCCTTGCCATCCTTCTAAGGCACGCAGCCATTTCTTATTGCTAGAGATGTATCTGAGATGTTACAAGGGGCAGAGGAAACAGCATTTGGCTTGGGCTTTGTACGCAGTTCGTTTCTGAAGGAAAATGAGAGGCTCTTGCTTCAGCAGCTGATGGAGCACTTGGAAGAGTGTATCTTAAGGAAAGGAAACAAATATGTGTTCTTTTAGAAATTCGTGGATCAGGAGTGACACAACTGCAGAGCAGCATTCCAGGATGCAGGATGTTTCAGGGCTTGGAAAACACTGATTATTAAGTCTTACTAAATAACAACTGGAAATTGCCACGTATTTTTCAGATGGCTAATTAAGGACAGATACATAAATTGGGGCACTAGCCTCATGGAACTGGGCCACAGTGTGACTGACCTGATGCCAAGTGCTCAGCTGATCACTCTCATCAAAGTGATCAGTTTGGGAGATTTGGGCAGCAGCTTTGTGACAAAGAGGTTTTCAGCTGTCCCACATGGGGTACAGCTCCGGCTTCCTGTACAGAAAGAGGCAGTAACAGCAGTAACCATCCATGTGGCTCGTGGTGCTGTGGAGGAATAGGCACCACATTGGATGGCCATGCTGGGGAGCTTGGTCCATGTCCTGGGCAGCAGGGTGGCAGCTCTGGTGCGCATCAGTCATTGCTAGCAAGTGTGTCCTGTGCCTGCAGACCACTGCATCGCCCGGCAGTGTGCCTCCCAGCCTCCATGCCTCTGCACCCCGCAACATCTTCGGTTCCCGACCCCTGAGGCCTAAAGAAAACGTGCTCTGCACCAGCTTCAAGCCCTACAGCCCAGAGTCCAGCCCAGCCCCGGCCCCCTGCACGGCCTGTGAGAGCACACGTAAGAGCATGGTGCCGAGGGGGGGCTCTGGCCTCCCTGGCCCTAGGGTGGGCAGGGATGGAGGGAGGCGGGAGTGGGTGTCTGTGCCCACTGCTGGCACAAGCCTCAGCCACAGGACGGTGTTTCGAGGGGTGTGAAACGTGCTGGGGGAAAGAGGACAGGGACCATGGCAGGATGGGGGAATGCTATGGGGCAGTGTGGGGTGTGCGTGGCCCTGCTCTCCCATGTCTTATGGGTCCTCTGAGCAGTGTGCATGGGGAACCGGGGAGCTCCTGGCATGGATGGGTGGGCAGCAGGGTCTGGGCACCCTGGGGACACAGAGGCTCCCCCTGACCCTGCCTCTGCCCTCCTGCCAGGATCCTCCATGTTCAGAGCTCCCTGCATGAGCCAGCGACGGCTTGCACTCATCTTCTGCGTCTCCATCCTCATCGTGCTGCTCATCGCCCTCATCCTCCTGTGTGAGTGGGGTCCCAGCCTGGGGTGGTGCAGGGCTCCCTGGGGGTCAGCAGAAGGTGGGACATCTACGCTGGGAAGTGCCATAGGGAAACCCCGGGGCCGGGAGGCAGCAGGCAGAGAAGCGCCCTTCCCATTCCCTGAGCGTTCCTGACATCTGGTGGACACGCAGGAGCAGGATTGCCAGGGAAAGAGGATCCGCCTCTTGGGCTTGCTCCAGTTGGCACCCCCAGCAGCATCCCCATTCGCCCTCCCTGAGACAGAGGGTTAGCAGGCAGGACCTGTCAGACAAAGTGCAGTCCATAGCTAGAACGGGAACACGCACTGGGGAATTCAATCCTTGTAACATCTTGCTGCTGCTGGGCTTGATGCATCTTTCTGCAGGATCAAGCTAGGACTGGGTTAAGGGAGGGGTTAAGTGAGAGGTTATGTGGGGTTAATGATGCTGGGCTGGCACAGGGATGCTCAGAGTGGTCCACTCCTCCTGCAGCATTTCAGCCTGGCCTCAAAGCCAGTGCTGCACCCAGCTCACACCTTGTGTATGGGGGTGCCCCGTGCACCGAGACCTCCTCCAGACTCCCATCCAGGTGGCTCACAGCACCCTTGCCCGCAGCAAGCTCCTGCTCACCCCAGCGTTCATTGCTTTCAGTTATGTTCTGGCGGTCACAGACGGGCATCGTGTACAAGGAACCTGCCGAGAGCTGCAAGGACAACCCCGTGCGCTGCGACGGCGTCGTCGACTGCTCCCAAAGGAGCGATGAGCTGGGCTGTGGTGAGGCACCGGGAGCTGGGTGGTGGGAACGAGGGGAGCCCCTGTGCTCGGGGTACCACTGACCCGCCTGCTCCATCCCACAGTGCGCTTTGCATCCGAAGAGTCCTTGCTCCAAGTGTACTCCAGCTCGGAGAGCCAGTGGCTGCCGGTGTGCAGCAGTGCCTGGGACGATTCCTTCTCCAGAAAGACCTGCCAGCAGCTGGGATTTCAGAAGTAATTCCCTGAGGATGGGTTGTTATCCTGGGCAGTGGAGCCCTGCCAACCCCATGGGCATTGGCTGGGCAGGGGCATGGTCCGCTGTGCTCTCTCCCCAGCACTGCACTTTTCTGCTGGAAGGTTGTGTCTGGTGCTGCTCTGGGTGTTTCACTCTGTCCCCCTTTGAGTGTGTAGGGACTGGGTGGTCAATGCCTGGCCAGGGCAGGCTCACTGCTCTCTCCTCTCACCTCCCAGTGCCTCGCAGACTGAATACATTCCCCTGCACATCTCTGGCAAGAGCCTCACGGTGACCAACGAGCATGAGACCATCCAGCAGAGCCTCAACAGGTACCCGGCAGCGCTGCTCCTGCCCCTGCCCTGCTGTCGTGGGGCTGTGTCTGAGGCTGTGTTCCCCCTTCTCTCCTGCAGCTCACAGTGTCTCACGGGAAAGTTCGTCTCCCTGCGATGCACAAGTAAGGGGCTGGCTGGCAGGGCAATGGCCAAGGGTAGGAGCTGCTTTCCTCCCTTCTTTGCACAGGGCTGGGCAAATAGGGAATGTTTCCCAGCAAATCTTCTGGGTAATAGAAAGCTATGATTGCATTCCCGGGGTGTCCACCGGCCCCTATGGCCGTACCGAGCACTGCCGGTGCCTGCGGGTGGCGGGGATGCTGTGCACGCCCCCCTCCAGGCTTTGCCTTCTCTCTGGGCCCTTCTCTCAGCCTTGCTCTTCCCTCCAGCCTGTGGACAGAGGATTTCTGGCCGCATCATTGGAGGAAAGGAGACCTCTGTGAGCAAATGGCCCTGGCAAGTCAGCGTGCAGTACGGGCCCGTCCACATCTGCGGTGGCACCATCATCGACGCACAGTGGGTCCTCACTGCAGCCCACTGCTTCTTCATGTGAGTGCTGCTGCAGTGCTGCTGTTTAACCACTGCTGAGTGCCCTCGCTCAGGCACTCAGCCCGGCCCCATGTCTCACTCCTTGCTGCCTCCACCTCTCCCTGCAGGAACAGCATGAAGATCCTCGATGACTGGAAGGTGTACGGTGGGGTCTCAGACCTCAAGCAGCAAGCAGAGGCCATCCCCGTCTCCCAAGTCATCATCAACTCCAACTACAGTGATGATCACGATGACTACGACATCGCTCTCATGAAGCTCTCCAGGCCGCTGACACTCTCAGGTGAGGCCCCTCAGCTTGTTTTGCTGTGGGGCTGGTGCTCAGGGGGGAATGGAGAGATTCTGGCAGTGGGCAGGAGCAAGAGGCAGCTCTGTCCCCTCACGAGGAACCATTCCCTGGGCTGCTGCCAGCTGGAGCATCCTGCTCTGCTGTGCCCATGCTACTTTCCCATGGCTGGGCACCATCCCATCCTGCCCTGGCAGGTCCTGGCGCTCACACTGCCATGGGCTGGGGGTCCAGCAGAGACCCTGCCCGGGTGGGCACTGGGGGGGAATGCTCCCTGCACACCACACTCCTCCCTGGCCACAGGGCTGGTGACCACAGCAGGAGCTCTGCTCCCTTGGTGACTCATTCCTTCCTTCTCACCCGGTTTTCATCCTGTCTCGCTCCAGCTCAGGTTCGCCCAGCCTGCCTCCCCATGTACGGCCAGCGATTCCAGACCGGCAGGTCCTGCTTCATCACTGGCTTCGGGAAGACCAGGGAGAACGAAGGTGAGGGAGGATGCAGGCTCTCCTGCATGCTGCAGCGTGCAGGAGGAGCCAGCCTGGCTCTGCTGTGGTATTCAAGGGCTGTTCCCACAGTGCAAGAAACCAGCTTCTTCCCTCGCTGCTGCAGAAACGCTGGTGCTGGGAGGGTCTCGGGTGTGTTGCGGGCACAAGGCCCACCCTGCCCCACAGCTCCTCCTGCCTTGCAGATAACACATCCCCGAAGCTGCGGGAGGCCGAGGTGAAGCTGATCGACTACAAGATCTGCAACAGCGACAAGGTGTACGAGGGGTACCTGACCCCACGGATGATGTGTGCCGGGTACCTGCAGGGAGGGAAGGATGCGTGCCAGGTGAGCTGTGGGGGTCCCACAGAGCGAGGTGGGACGATGGTGTCCTTTGGCTGAGTACCAGCAGAGGAGCATCTCCCGTATCTGCTGTGACAGGGTGACAGTGGAGGACCCCTGGTCTGCGAGGACAACGGCCGCTGGTATGTGGCTGGGGTGACGAGCTGGGGAACAGGATGTGGCCAGAAGAACAAGCCCGGCGTCTACACACGTGTGACAAAGCTCCTCAACTGGATACACAGCAAAATGGAGGTGAGGTGATGTGTCAGGGCTGGGGGGCTCGTCAGGTGCATCGGGGTGCATTGAGAGGGGCTGTTTCCCCCCAGCCCAGCCCCTCACCCTTGCTATTCCCTCTCCATTGCAGAGCGAGAATGACTAACGCCGGGATGGACGCTTGCCTGGGCTGTGCTCTCGGGCCAGCACAAGCCCCTGCCCTTGGCTGCTCCTAGGGCACGATGCTACCAGCAGATCCCCCCACCTCTCTCTGGACTGTGCCTGCAGCCAGGGCCCTGCTGCTGTGCCCAGTCTCTGCACATACAGCACCTGCAAAGTGACTCTGCCCTCGAGCCGTGCAAGGGGGCTGGTGGCAAAGCACGCACCCAACCCTGGTCCCGCAACGGCTTTCTGGTGCTTCTCATGTAAATAGATGTGTCCGGACTGGGGTGTCCTGAGTGCTTCCTGGCAGGATCAGCGGGTGAGGGGCTGCTGGCATTGCCTGCCGATCCCATGGAGGTGGTGGATGGAAGTGAGGAGCAGGAATGCCATGGGATGCCTGTGGCTGGTCACAGTTGTGCTGCTCTGGGGTGCAGCATGGTGCTGCCCACACCACAGGCCATGCTCCCTGTTTTCTCCATGGGAGGCAAGCAAAAGGGAGCCCCGAGGAGCAGTAGCTGCTCACGTTGGCAGGTAGGTTTAGGAAGTGCCTGTAAGAGAAAACCCTGTCTGTGCATTTCCCGTGCTGTGGATAGGGTCTGAGCTCTCGCTCCAGGACTGCGTGCGGCTGGGCTCTGTTTCTGCCTGCTCGAGGAGGATGCCAGCAGCAGCACGGGGCAGGTCTGCTCTCTGGGCTGTCACAGAGGCCAGCAGCAGCCAGAGGCTGAGGTGGAGTGTGATGCAGATCAGCAACCTCCGGGGCAGAGCCAACCCTGGACCTCGCTCTTAGCGCATTGACCACTCTGGATGTCTTTCGTTACCTCCCTGGCCACGCCAGAGCGGGGACACATTAACCCCAAGGAAACAAGTGCCAGCATCTCCCTGTGGAAGCTATGGGAGACCTCCAGGTTGGCTGTGCGAGTGCCTGTTGGGTGAGAAGACGCTACTGCCCTGGCTGAGGCTCCTGTCCCAGATGTGTGGTCAGCAGCAGAGGGGTCCTGGGGTGCTTGGCCACTGCACTCAATAAACGTTTTGGTAGTGCCGCGTGTGGAGATGGCTCTTTTGGAGCGCCCAGATGCTGTGGGAGCTGCAGGAAGGGCTCTGTGGATGCTGTGGAGCAGGATGAAACACTTCCCTGAGGAGGCTGCACAACCTCTGCAATTGGCCTGTGTCAGAGGACTGGCAGTAATGAGCATTTAGCATTGAATCCTCCTTGGGAGGAGGAAAGGTTGCTTGTGCTGGTTCTTTGTAACCCATCTTCTTGCAGATGGAAACTTTAAAGGAGGGACTGGTGCTCTGGGGAGCTCACTTTGAAGTAGTTGAAAGCTGCTTCACAAGCCTGTCTGCACCAGCTCCAGCTGCAGCGGTCCCTTCCCTCCCCTGCGTGGGAGTGTGACGTCCACCTCTGTTTCCCGGCTTCTGACCTGCATTCCTTAGTCTGGCCATTGGAACTATATGATGTTAAGGTCCTTTCCAACCTGAATCATTCCGTGATTCACTGGGCTCTTTGTGGCCTGGGAGGGCTCATTTCTCATAAGCATGCTGGAGATGTAAAGATGGGAAATCTTGGGGTGCATGGGCTGCTGTAGGCGCATTCCCATCTCACCTCCTGGGAGCATCCCCTGGGTTCCTAGAACCGGCTGCCTGCCGTGGAAAAGGTTAGCTGCAGGCAGGGGGCTGTGGTTTGCATTTCAGCATTGGGATAGCAGGTCCAGCCCGGATCTGTGTGTGCAGAAAGCACCCAGCCCTCCCTGGGACTTGGAGCAGGCCCCAGTGTGCAGGGAGGTGCTTGGTGGCTGCCCTAGACCTGGCCCCAAACAATGAGAGCTGCTGCCTTTTGGGAAGCACTGAGTCAGCCTGACCTCAAAGCTGCTTGTCAGAGCAGCAGCACAGAAACCTCCCACGGCATGTGTGAGCCTCCAGCACAGGACAAGGGGCTGTTCTCACTTTATAATGCCCCTGCTGCTCAGTCAGCTGGGGGGGAAGAACCTGCTACTGGCAACAAGCTGCCCATAGCTCAGGCCGGAGAGGGATGCTCCTGGTAATGGTGCTGTTTCAGCACATGGAGGGACCTGCTCCTCTGCTGTGAATCTCACAGGTTATTGCTCTTCTGCTCTCTGAAATAGTCTCTCAAAGCAGAAAAATTATTTCAGCCCTTATAATTTAATTCTTCTAAACACCAATGGTGTTTCCTGCTGTGTTTTCCCGAGGGATGAAGGTTTCTAGACAGTGATCAGTTTCTCATAAAGCTGCTCTGGGGCATCTTCTGAGATGAGGGGCCCTGAGCGTGGCCCCACATCTGCCTGTTTCCAGCCCTGTGTGCTTTGGAAATCACAGGCCAGTGTTCCCAAGGACTGTGAATGCCAAAAACGCAGTCTGGCGGGCACCATGTGAATTACCGCCCATTAGCAGCCCTTCTTCCCAATCTCTCCTTTTATAGCGCTTTGTTCTGTTGTGTCAAACTGCTCTGTTTATAGGGTTTCAGAGATGATGTTTCTCTACAAAAATGTTTTTTTCCATAGTTTCGGCTTGGTTCCCTTCCACAGGCAGTAACATCATCACTTGGCACGGAGTCGCTGGACTTCCAGCTTGTGCAACACCCACCCTGGCTGTGCTGGCCTAGGGAACACAGCCCTCAGCAGCTCCAGCACGGTCTGGTGCTTTGCTGGTGGTTGTTCCGAGTACAGGGAATAACTTAGGCTGATGCAAAACGATGTTATTGGGTTAAACGCAGCCATATGGCTACACACAACTTTTGGCAGTGCTCAGTTCTCCTGACCAGGCTTCAGGGCTGCATTGCCACAGTTTTGCAAGCTTGGTGTTAGAAGGGAAGAACCTTAATACTTGAGGGGAAAGCTCTGGAGAGCAAGAGGCTCTTTTCCCTATTCCCTGCCAGGCATCACTGCACTGCAGGGGGGAGATGCCTGCTCCATGGCTCCTATTGACACAAATAGTATGAGAAGCTCAGCCCAGCATCATCTGCCTGGCCTCGGGGCTCTTAGCCCACATTACACCAGAAAAGATATGGCCCGATTTTGCCGGTAAATGAACGATGGCTTGGTACAGTTCTCTCTCTGCAGATGAGATGTTTGCCATTAGCAACTGCTGGAGCTGCTGTCCCTCCATGGGAGCAGCACAGAGGACCCATCACTTCCTACCTTCACCCTGGGGTCTCTATTTCAACAACAGCTGAGGAGCAGGTAAGGTCAGAGAAGCCCGAAACTTGATTATAACTGCCTGATCCCTGCCTCGCTCCCTGCAGGATAATGAACAGCCTTATGTTATCCTTACGTATTAAAGGAGACTTGACGTTGTCCAGCTCCTCTCTGTTGCTCTGTATCTCTTCACCCTTCTGAATAATTGCCTTGAAATGCCAGTGCTGGTTTATTTTCCTTTTATATTTTACTGGAAACAGGGAAATAAATGTACAATGGACTCCGTGTCATTATTGCCTGATTCCTATCTAAGATGCATTTGAGTTATTAAGGAATGAACCAGCTCAGTGATGAGAGCATCGCTAAGGTGTTTTTACAAGAAGAAATGGCTCTCCAGGGCAGCAGCAGGAGCCAAGCAGACAGGGTGTGCCAGCCTGGCTCAACAGGAGCAGTGTCCCTCATAGCACTCTGCCATGCCCATCAGCGCCCTCAGTTGCCCCTCTGACACGGTGCCCAAGCCCTTGTTTTGGTGCTGTGGTCAGCAGCAGGGCAGGGCTCAGCAAACTGTGCTCCTGCTGCAGATGCCCATAGCCACATCTGGCCCTGGCCAAAGCCTGTGAGTGCCTCGGTGGCTCCAAGCAGGGCCAGGACCAGGGCTCCCCGGCTCCCCTCCCTGCTGCGTCTGGCCAGGCACATGCATTCCCTCTGGGGACTGTGCAGGGCTATATTAAACACATCTCCCTCCCGGATCTTGCTCCTCCCAACGTACCCAGCTGTCCCATGGGAATAAACTGGCGGGTTTCCACTGAGCTCCGTGACAGCTGCACCGGGTCCAGCCCTTGCTCTCTCTTGGTGTTTTGTCTTCACTGAAGTATCTGCTGCTTCCTGACCTGCTCTGGCTGAGCCCCAAAGGGTCTGGTTTTCTGCAGCTGGATCTGGTGGAGCCAATGCAGGTCCTAAGCTCACCTGAAGCCAAACCAGGTTCTAGCACCACCGAGCCAGGCCCAGCTGCCCGCTGCACAGCAGGTCTGGCAAGGGTGACCCTAAAATGTGACTGAGCAACATGACTTAAGCCCTGTGAACCGGCCACATGGTTTGGAAGCGTGGAGCCCTTTCCCAGCAACACCCTTCTGCTCCTGAAGCAAGAAAGAGAAGTTCCTGCACCATGTTTACCAGTTGATCTACACAAGCTTTCTATCAACCTCACTGAAGCTCTGGCAGCCTGTTGCTCAGCTGCCTCCATACCAGATGCTCAACGCGGGCTGAGTCCAGCTCTCGGGTGCGGACACGGATGTTCCCCACCCTGATGAGCGTTTCCCCTCCCGCCTGCGCCCCGCACGCCCTTCCTGCGGGCCCCACGGCCCCACGCACCCCGACTGCAGCGAGGCACGTCCCGCCCGCCCCGACCCCCGTCTCTGGCGGCGTCCGGCCCGTGCAGGGGCGCTCCGGGGCTGCCCCCGTTCTGCTATGGGGGCACCGCGGCCCCATCCCCGCTCTCCCGGGGGGGCCGTGCCGGGCTGACCGCGCCCCCCCGCCGGCGGCAGGCACCGCCTCGTCCCGCCCCGCTCCCCTTTGTGCAGCAGCCCCGCTCTGCGCACACGCTGCCCGCTCCGCTTCGTTCCCACCCGGCACCGCCCGGAGCACCGGGCCGTGATAGCCCAGCCCGGTCCTGCCCGGCCCGACGCTGCCGCCCGGTCCAGCCCGGAGAGCTCAGGTGGGTCCGGCCGCTGCCGTTGCTCCCGGGAGAGGACGGCTCCTCGGTAGCGGGCGGCACGGGGTGGGTCGGGAGCCCTGCAGCGGTGAACCCGGCCCGGGGGCGGGCGGCTCGGGGGGCCGCGGCTGTTGGGGGCACGGCCCGGTGCCCCCGGGGCATCGCCCTGCGCCCGGGGCCGCCCGCAGCCCCCGCCCAGGCGGCTGCCATGGCAACACCGGGTACCATGGTTTTCCTCATCCCGCCGTTGCCTGGTTACCGGCCCCCCCGTGCTGGGTGGATGCCCCGGCCGACCAGCGGTCCCCACCGGAGACCACGGTGGGTGGGAGAGCCCGGGTGTGCTCTGCCCTGGTGCTCCCGGGCTGGCCGGGCTCTGTGGCGCGCAGGGATGTCACGGAGCAGGGAGGTAACCCTCCTCCCCAGGCTTTTGGCAGCGTTCTGGCTTGTGTTGTTAAATATTTTAGTAGCACCGTAGCAATACATAAACAGTCGAGTGCTTTATCCCAGGAAGGCTTACGAGAGGGAAGGAAGAGCGTGTCTCTCAGGGTGTGTAATTAATGCTGCCTGAAGAAACAGATAGCAGAGTCCATGTGGTGGAATCTCTGATCTTACAGGAATATTTCTGTGGGAGGGAAAGTGACAGGTGGTTTGTGTGGATGTGAACAAGCTTTGCAGCACGAAAGAGCAGCGTCCCTGGAAAAGCCATGTATGGATTAGGACTTGAAGCAGTCCGCTGCACCCATTTCAGGGAGCTGCTGTTGGGTCCTGTTGGGATTTTCAGTCCCTTTGGGTATTTTCACTTCCCATTTCAAATGAAGACAAGTCCAGAGAGTCCCTGCTTGCATGCAGCCCGAGCACGGTTCCGAGGCAGAGAGATGGAATTGCTGCCAGTGAAGTGCAGGCGCTGCAGAGCCCAGCAACCACTTGTTAGAGCATGGAAAATGCCCCTGCATGTGGGGCTGGCTTCACTACCCTCTGTGTGCCACACTCACCTTGGAGTTTTAGCTACCTCCTTGAAACTTACCCATTCAGGTAAACTGGCATGGAGAGTCACGGGTTTGCCAGGAGTTTAGACCTTGGTGCTGAGCAGAGCTCTCCAGCACAGCGAGCTGGCATCTCCGGGTCAGGCTGCTCCCCTGTGTTTGCTTTTCACACTGGTTGTGTGTTTCCAAAGCGCAAAGAAGCTGCTGAGCTCCACAGCTGTTGTGTCACCCGAGCACAGGGAAGGCACCACTCCCACTGGGCAGCACGGAGCCATCCTGCTGATGGGCTCTGCCACCGCAGTGGTGCTGGCACAGACAGCGGCCGTGCCTGGCAGGGAGCTGAGTTTCCTCCTGCTCAGCAGTGGTCATGACTGATGGCAACAGCAGAGAATGGAGAACATGTCTGCTCCTTGAGGCTCTGCTGAGCGTGGCGGTTCTGTGGTACCCCAGGACACACAGGAGCTTGAAGCAGCTTCTCTTCCACTGCTAGTTCAGTGTTCTCTGGTGATCTGGATTTCTCTCACTGCCAGGTAACCTCTGCGTGTGCCTGACCTATTTGATTCCTGTTGTGCTGATACTGGGCAGGTTTACAGCATCCAGTTATCATTCAGCAAACAAGGAGAGAGCAGGAGAAGCAGAGCCCTGACAGGAGATGGTGTTTTCTGCTTCCCTGGAGCCAAGGGCTGGGTTCCCAGCCTGCTCTCCTGATGCAGCCATCAGCTCCGCTATCATGGTTTGTCTCTAATGAAGTTCTGTGCCTGTTGTGTCTCACTTGGGGTGAACTGGGGACCGTGTGTGAGCCAGATGCAGACGGGCAGCTTTGGCTATGGCTTCTTCATGTTCTAGGGCCAGTTGCCCGGTGCTGGAAGAAGCCCTGCAAGAGGCAAGTGTAATGCTGGGGCACAGGTGAGGGATGCAGCGCTTAGAGCCTCCTGTAGCTGTGTTCAGTGATTCCCTGTGATCTCGTGTTCTTGTAAGCATTGACCCTGTCAGGGCTGGTCCACGGGGATCCACATTCAGTGAGTCTCATTCAGCAGAAGCAGGGCTAAAGTCTGAGTTCTTAGGGCTCCTGGACAGGGTTTCTGTTGAGTAGCCTCTGCTTTGGGAGGTTACCTCAACCTGCAAGAGACAATAAAGGCAGTTTTGTGTCTTCCATCTGGTCAGCCTTCAAATCAGCACCAAATCTGGGGAGTGCCATCCATATCGGAATGGCGAGGGCTGGAAATCTCTTTTCTCTCTCATGTAGGACCACGGAGCTCAACAACAGGCACATTAATAGTCAGATTGATGCTGACGTGAAATGGCAGAAGAGCACATCTCTGCATAGCTGGAAATGTCCATTCACACATGCACACCCTCAAATGCTCCAGGCAACCGAGCGCTGCTGTCACGGTCTTGGGGGCTTTGCACTGAAACCAGAGATTGTAACTAGGTCTGATCTTTGGGAGATGCCCTGAGGACTCCTGACGGAGGGAGGAGGCTGCCTGGCTTTCTGCTGTGATGGTTGAGACTTGACAGGGCAGATCTATGCAGTGCAATGAAAGGAAAAGGGGATGTCGAGACTCAGCGCTGTTACAGATTTACCTGCCTTGCTCTGGTATGATTTGCCATGCTATGGAGAGCTGATTGGTGGGCAGGAGAGACTGGGTCTGTCTGCTTGGATTTCCCCTGCTCCTCTGTCTCGCACGCACAGTCTCCATGCACGCGCACACGCTAACCCAGTGGCATGCGGAATGGCAGGGATGGATTAGCCAGAAGGAAGAGGCTGAGGGAGAGCTGTGACTGTGCCTTGCATGGAGCGAAGCATGTTGTCCGTCAGCCTGGCACGGGGCAGCAGAGCAGTGAATCATCTGGCTCCAGTGCATGGGGATCCGTGGCTCCCAGCTCCGGCTGCCTGAAGCCCAAGCTCCATGCAGGCAGGGAGTGGTGAGGATGGCCCTGGTGCTGCCCTTCAGCCCTGGTCTCATCCACATCCTACGAGAGAGGCAGGATGTGACAGCACAGGCCAGCCCCCAGACAGCAAACTCCACGTACTCCCTTGGTCTGTGTTATTGCTTCCTTCCCTGGGGCCCTCTCCCAAGTGCCTGATACCTTCTACCTGGCACTCGCTCTCACTCAGCCATGCAGATAGGGATGGGGGGTAAATACTTGGTTTTCCCTCGTAAAACTTGAGGTTGGGTGGAGGCGAGAGGGAAGCAGAGCTCTGGGAGAGCCCCGCTTCCTGTGCAGCTCTGCCTCTCTCTGTGTTTAGGCAGGTCTTGCAGTTTCAACAGGAAAAAAGCATGTTTTGATTCAAGTCACATGCGATGTGCAGTGCACTGCCTGCTCCCTGCGGTCTGTATGGGCGTGTGGCTCCTCAGCTGGGTAACGGACTGCAAACTTTGGGTGGCTCACGGGGAGAAAACGGTTTTGTGCTGAGCAGAGCGGTGTGGGGAGGAGTGGGCTCATGGGGCTGGTTTTGCACTGCCTTTGTGCAGGGGCACAGCTGGATTCGGGGTGAGAGGAGCCCTGAGCTCTGCGGTCTGCAGGCACAAGCGGGGAGCACCACAACCCCTTCGCAGTGTTTGCTCCTCTCACCCGATTTCAGCTTCATGAAAAGTGGGTGGGCCAGCTTGAAACAACCCAAAAGCCTGTGGTGCTTCACAAGACATGTGCTGCTGAGAGGAGAGGCGGGCTGGTTTGCGCTCCAGAATGCTGTGTTTGTTTTGCGAGCAAGGACGCTGCCAGCCCTGATGGTTAACTCGTGCAGAGAGGAGTTTCAGCGAGCGGAAGTGTGTGGATTTTAGGAACTGAGTTAGAAAAACAAAGAACATGTGTGTGCTATGTGCTGTGTGCTGTGAGCTCTGTGCTATGTGCTGTGCGCACTGCGTTGGGCTTGGCATAAAAGTGAGCTCTGCTGCACCAAGTGCAAGAAGCCAAAAGCTTCCGGAGGCCTGGAAGCAGCATCTGTGGCTGAGCAGGGCCCCAGCACTGGCCCCTTCCTTGGGTGCTGCGGAGAGCAGTGGTGAAGCCATGGGCTGGTTGTGGAGCTGGGAGATGTTAGAGCTGGCAAAACACACCCAGGCAGTTGGCAGCACGGCTCCTGTGCTGGGAAGCATCTTTCAGGTGTCAGCGGGAGCATCCCGAAACAAGAGGTGTTTGTTTGGGTGGATGGCTCTGTGTGATGAGTGGCTTGGGATGCAGGGTGATGGGTGAGAACTGCTGCCTCCAGGAGAGCCAGGGCTGCCCTGCACTTGCACCTTGCAGGCAGGAGGGCTCATCCCATGGGAGAGGGAATGTGGTGGGGTTCAGGGCAGGGCGTTGCGCATAATGCAAACCCCCCCCCCCCGAGTGTGTTCTCCAGGGGGTGTCACCGAGCTGCCGCTACAATAGCAGTCAAATAACAGCCAAATAAACTGTAAAGCTCTGATGAATGGCTTGTTCAAAACATAAAGGCATCGTTAATATGCTACAAGAGCCAATTAATACCGTTCATCTGGCAGCGGCACGTGCTGCATTGCATCTCGTTGTGCGCGTACAACACCCCGCTATCGGGTAATGACACTGATTTTGCACTGGCAGCCTCGGCAGTAAATAGATAAAGGACGTGAGATAAAGGACGCAGGGAAATGTGCAGCTAGAAGTTACAGTACCAGCAGCTGCTGGGTGCTTTGTACGTGTTTCTAAGGCCTGGTAATTACCCAGAATTAGGTGCCTCGGCTAACGAGGGGGCTTGTCTGGGCGCGGGAGCCAGCGGCACGCTCCAGCGCGGCCCCGCGCCGCACAATGGCAGCGGCAGCTGCAGGCAAGGGAAATTAAACCCTCCAGCGTGCAGATAAAACACCCTGACTTCCAAATGACAGGACATGGGAGGGGAGGGAGGGACGGGGATTATCGTGGGACGCAACTTGTTATGATGAATAAATCAGGTTCTGGAAGCGTGGGGCTGGAGGCTGCTTCCTCCGCAGGCACAATGGGAGCTGGCTCCTGAAGGTAGCGCTGGAGAACAGCCATGGAGCAAAGCGCTGCTGGGGCCGCTGGGGCAGGGTGGTGGGTGCTCCTCCGTGCGTGTGGTTCCTGGGCACCTTCACAGCATGAACTGGGGCAAGGAGCCGTGTCAGGATGGACCCGGTGCCCTGAGGAGCCGGCTGCTGGGGGGAGCTGGGATGGAGGCTGCATCCAAATCAGGTCAGGCTCCGGAGGGGCTGAGTAGCAGCACGCCAGGGATCTGCATCCGTCAGCGAGCTGAATTCCTGCTCTGCTGAGGGCCCCCTCCTTATCGGCACGGATCCAGCGCGGCAGCTGCAGCCGCTCCCTAGCACTCGGTGCTATCAGGGCTGTGCAGGGCGCCCGATAACCCCCCTCCATCTCCTGTGCCAGCAGCGAGACCTCTTGGTGCTCCCGCACCATGTATGGCCGCGAGCCATGCTGTCGGGTGCTGGGTGGCTGCCTGGGAGCAGCGCAGGGACACGCTGCAGGAGGCAGAGCTCAACCAGATCCATGCTTCAGAGCCCCCTGCTTGCTCCCTTAAAGGAGATGCTCCTGCCAAACCCTGTCCTCCCAGCAAGGTGTGTGCTGCACGCAGCCAGCACCAGCACCAGAGCAGCCAGCCCTGCCTGTCCCCTCAGCAGGAGGAGAGAGGGCCAGTTAACAGGTACGGTGTGTGCTGGCAGGGCCCTTCCATTGCAGAGCAGCGGTGCCCAGTGGTGACCAGTCCCGGTAGAGAGGGTGCCCATCCCAAATGGGTCAGCGGTTTGGGGTGTGGAGACGTGAATCACAGCCTGGTCACAGTGCTGTTGTACCAGGCTGGCATCCCCTGGGCAAAGGTCCATGCCCTCTGGTGCCCCTGTGCAAGAGCAGTGTGTTGGTGCTGGTGAAGGGACAAGCTCAGCTCTGCTCCAGGTGAGTGTGAGGAGCCGAGGGGGCAAGTGTGGCTGTGAGCTCATGTCCCATCAGGGCCACTGGCCTCATTGTAGGAATGTGCTGTAATTGCTATGCTAATTGGGACAAATTAAAGTGTGCTCTGGGCACAGTATTGACCTTGATTGAGAGATCACAGCCCTGGTGTTGGCCCCATTGCCTGCACTGCAACCTTGAGACTGCACCAAGGAGCAGAGCCAGCGGTGCAGAGGTGCTTGAAAACACGCCACAGAACCCCACAGGACATGTCTGCCTGCTCCTACCCTTCCCCTCCTTTGTGCCTGTGAGCCACCAAGGCTGGGCACAGGGATGGCATCAACTATCCTGGCCGGGCTCCTGGTGTTTCCAGGGCCAGCCTGGCTCCTTATCCCATGGCGTGGGCTGCAAGGGTTTGCCTGCAGTCCCCCGCCATGCACCCAGCCCCATCGTGGTACCCTCCAACAGCCGTCCCTGTGCTGAATCCTGCTTCCCTCTCTCACAGCAGCCATGGAGGCAGTGCTCATCTTCCTGTGCTCCCTGCTGGTGCCGGCGGCCATGGCAGATGGTAGGTGCCAAGTGCTTCCCGCATGCTGGAGGTGGCAGGGGCATGGGAAAAAGCTGCAGGCATCTGGAGGACAACCGCCCCTCTGACCCAAGGGGTTGGAGCTGGGCACTGGGCAGCAGCCCTGTGGGGAGCAGGGTGCCTGCACTGGCTGGGGGGCTTTTGGGGCTGCAGGGGTTCAGCCAGGACAAGCATTCACCTCCCACCCCTTGTCTGCTTCTTTCAGTGGCCACCCAAGAGAAGGAGGAGGACCCGTTTAACTATGGTGAGCATCACTGTGCATGAGGATGGGTGTGCTGGCCAGTGTGATGGGGAGCAAAAGACTGTCCTATCCCTGAACCCAGCAGGAGCAAGCCCCTGTGTCTTCTCCCCCAGATTACCAGAGCCTGAGGATCGGGGGGCTGGTGTTTGCCGTGGTCCTGTTCACTGTGGGCATTCTCCTTATACTCAGTAAGTTGGGGACCAGGGGATGCTGGGCTTGCAGGCTGGGACAGTGGGAGCCCTTATAGGGAGTGGCCATGGGGAAAGGCTTTGTTCTGTTCCCATTTTGGCCGTGCTCATGGTGTTTCTCTCTCCTTGCAGGCAGGAGATGCAGGTGCAGTTTCAACCAGAAGCCCAGGTGAGTGAGGGCAGCCTGGAAAGGCACATATTCCTTGGTGAACCTCTCTGCCCAGTGCTCAGCTCCTCCTGGCTCCCTCCCAGAGCTGGCAGGGTGGCTCTGTCCTCTGAGCATCCCTTTCGGGTGCCTGGTACCCAAACCTCTGCTGCAATGCTGCTGGGTGGCAGATCAATTCTGCACATTCCAGGGCTCCTTCCTCGTCATGCCCTACACTGTTGGGCATCCCACCCCTAGGAAAGGGGGGCAGGTCCCAGCCTCTCACTGCGCTCCTCTTCTTGCAGAGCTCCAGGGGACGAAGAGGCTCAGGCTGAGAACCTGATCACCTCAAACGGTAAGGCCGCCCGTCCTGTGCATGCTCTGCTGCAGCTGCACTGCACCCATGCCCTCAGAGCACCCCAAACCACTCTGCTCTTCCCTTTGCAGCAACGGGAGCACCGAAGGCGGACAACTGAGCAGAGCCATGCGGTGAGTCCCGGCCCTGGGCAGCCTGTGTGCGGTGGCACTGGGGCTGTCACTGCCTCGGTGCGGGGAAGGAAGGGAGGAGCAGCCGGGGCTCAGCACACCCCAGGCAAAGCCCCAGGCAGCCCAGCAGGAAAGGGAAGCATCTGCCCAGGTTTTCCTTTGCATTGCACTTCCTTCCCCTGTGCTCCTCCACCCAAAGCGGGTTTATTTTTAGGGCCTCTGGAGAGAGCTGAGTGCGAGTCCCTGGGGCATCTCGCTCCTCGCCTGCATCAAGGTTCCCCCAAGCCTGCAGCAGGGCAGCCTGGAGCCGGCACTGGTGGAAGCATGGTTTGTGCTGCTGGTGCTGCTCCCAGCCTGACTCACTGCTCTCCTTCCCACGCAGACCCAGAGACCCGAGCACAGATGCTTGGACTGCAGATGCCAGTGGCCTGCGAGGAAACTGAAACCACAGCAGCAGGTCCCTCTAAGGAGATGCGAAGCTGCTGTGTCTGTGTTACCCTCTGTACTTCAGCACCGGTTCTCTGTTTACTAACCCTACTAAACTCACCGTCCTCTCTGCCTCCAGTGGTGTGTAATGTTGATGTGAGATGATCATGACCTCTAGGGCTAGTCGTTGCTGATGTTGTAATAGTGACTTTCTCTTCACCTTTCTCGTGCTGTGCGTGTGGCTCGGGCCGTGTAGGACTGGCAGGCGCTGCCCAAGGGGAGCCCTGTGTCCCCCTGCCCATAGCTGGGGGTGCTCGGTGCAGCCCGCACGGTGCTGTCTGTGCCAGGCAGCACTCGGGGTTCACCCCGCTGGCTTTGGGCAGGGCTTGGGGACCAGTCCCGCAGTGGGTCAGGGTCCTGCCCAGCGAGGCTCTGGACCACGTGCTGCTGTTTCAGCAATAACCCTCCGGCCCCAAGGCAGCCGCAGTGGAGTCAGGCAGGGACATCCCACAGCTCCCCTGGGCTCTCCCTGAAGGGAGCTCCCCTGTCTCTGCTTGGCACTCCTCGTTTCTGTCCCCAGCTGAAGCCAAGCCGTCAGTGTGGGACACTGCTCTAAGTGTGAGGAAGCGCTGTGGTGGCAGAGAAGCCCATGGCGTCCCCCCGCCAGCACGGTGACACTGTGAAAGAGGGCGGCTGCTCAGCGGTGACCCTGCTACCAGCACAACCCAGCTCCTTGCCAGCGCTCTGCCTGTCCACCCGACGGAGCTGGGCAGGTTAAACAGTCTCTGAGGGCTAAAGAGAAACACAGACTGAAATCAGGAGCCTGCTCTTGTCTGTCTCCGGCAGGGAAGGGGCAGCGGTGCTTCCTCCAGGTGCTCCCTGCCCTTCCTGATGCCTTGTCACTCTGTGTGCCATGGCCCAGGACATGGCCACCCGTGTCAGTGCTGCGTGTCGTCCTGTGGCAGTTATGTGTTGTCAGCACTCTGATGCCGACAGCCCCTTCTCCCCACGGAGCAAGCATCAGTGGGCGATGCTCAGGGGCTTTGCATGCCTGAGGTTGCACAGTGGGGATGGAGGGGCTGAGCCATTGTCACCTTGTGTCTGCTTGAGGGTCCCAGCAGGCGAATCTGTGTCAGGCCCCTTCCCCAAGCCCATGGGCATGGAAATCACAGCCTCAGCTGTGGCTGGGCACTGCTGGCTTGGCTGTGGGTGCTTGCCAAGCAGGGGCGGCCTGGGTATCAGTGCTTTCCATGCGCCAGGAAGGGATTCTTGGCTGCCAGGATGGTTTTGAGAGGGGTTTCTGCTGTGCCCACCCCACTGCGGTGGCCCTGCCTGCAGGGTGGGCTGTCCCTTCCCTTGCTCCTGGCCATTGCAGAGTCCTGCCTCTGTGCAGCCTCGGGCAGGGGAGAGCAGAGCCCGCGCAGCCCAGCCCTGTCAGCAGTGCCCGTGCTGTCTGTGGTGTGCCGTCGGTGTTAACACGGAACAAAGCAATCCCTGTGGTGTGTAGAAATGGCAAAATCCTGACTGTGTACAATAAATCGAGCTATTGTGTTTCCTTTTAAATAGGCGAGTGTGCTGCTGGGGTGAAGGGCTGGGGTGCTCAGTGCTGTGACCCAGGGGTGGGGAAGGGAATAAATACCCTTTCTATCGGTGCCTGGCTGCGGCGTCTCAAGGGCTCTGCTGTTCTCCAGGGGAGCAGGGCAGGGGCTGAGGGTCCGGCCCTGTGGAGAGCGGGTGGGCAGCTTCCCTTTGTGCTGGGCAGAGGGAGCAGTGGGAGCGGAGAGGGCTTTGTGCTAGCAGCGGCAGGCTGGCTGCTCCTTCCTGCAGCCAGGGACCGTGTGATGGGAGCGCATGAGCCCCACAGAGCTGCCTCATCCCTCGGCCTTTGGGAGCTTCTGGCTGCCGGAGTGCAGATCCAGGGGGATGCTGAGCACTGCTTGGGCTCTGGAACACGAGGGCTGCTCGCACGGCCCCACACATCACCCTCCTAGGGGTTGGCTTCACCCCATGGTGCCGGAGCTGAGGTGTTGTCTGGGCGCGTGATTCCTGCTCACTGATGGTGAGATTAGAGCGAACCGGATTGAACAGCCCGCCTGGCAGTTGGCCTCGCTGCCAGGGCTGGCACAGCCCCGAGGGGCACAGCATCCTGGTACCCACTGCTGCGCAGGGATGCAGCACACTGTGCTGGGGTGCTAAGGGCACCCGGGGTGGCTCGGTGCTGTGCTGGGTGGCACTGACCTGGCTGTCACAGGGACCTTCGGTGCCAGGCTGCAGGGACAGGGTGTGCTGCCCACTTCTCCCTAGCAAAAGGCAGGCACAGCCCGTACCTGTGCCCATCCCTCTGCTCTCCGCAGCCGGAGGTGAAGCGGGCTCCTGATGTTCCGAAGGCAATGGAAGGTGTGTTTCGATGGGGACACCCATGGCTCCGGGGTGCCCGGTCCTCCCACTGCTGGCCCTCCCCTCCCGGGCCTCCTTCCCAAAGGCGGGCAGGAGCCCTGTGCCTCCCCTCGTGACTGTGATAAACATTACACCGAGGCCATTAATGTTTAATGAGGTTTGCCTCCCAATTAATGTGCTTTCCCGTGGGCGCCCACTCGCAGAGCGAGGCACCCGCTGGACGCACGACACGATGGGTGACGGTAAGAGAGCTGCAGGGAGCACCCACCCAAAGGGCTGCCATGGGAGGGGAGATGCCTTCGCTGGGGCATCTCTGCACAGGGAGCAGGGCTGGTGCCTCCTGCCATGCAGAAGCCTGCGCAGGGGAAGCCGTTGTGGGGGATTCAGGGGAGACACAGGGATGAATCCCTGGAGCTCGGAAGCCCACTGGCACATCAGTGCTGGCTGGTGTTCGGATTCTCAGGGGGATTTCTCCTTCCACTGGCTCCTGGCAGAGGGATGCGCACTCAGGTAAGGTGGCTCCAGCGGTGGCACGCAGCCATCGGATGGCTGGCACAGTGTGAGGGCTTCTTGTGAATGCATCCTGTGGATGGGCTTTAAACTCCCTGGGGTGAAACCCAGGAATTTGGGACTCCTTCCCTGGCCCAGCTGGACCTTGAGGAAGTTGGAGAGCTCTTGCTTGCACTCCTCACCTTTCCCATGTCACCTCCCCATCACGAGCCCAGCGCCCAGCCCTGGCTCTCACTGGGCTTTCTCCTCTTTTCCAGAGCAAGCCCCCGAGCAGGGCCTGGACAGGTTCAGCTACGGTGAGTGCACGGCCCGTGCAGGGCAGCCCATTCCCACCCTGCCCATGGGCTCAACCCCAGCTGACGCCTGCTCCCCTCCTCCCCAGACTATGAGAGCATCCGCAACGGGGGGCTCATCTTTGCCATCGTGGCTTTTGTCGTGGGGCTCCTCATCATCCTCAGTAAGTGCCTCGGGTGGGCTGGGCTCCCCTTGGCTCTGACCCCATCTCCCTCCTCACCCTGTGCCAGGTGCAGGATGGGCAGGGGGCCATGGGTCCTGCCCCACCGTGGAGGGGAGGGCATTGCCTGCAGCCTGGGGAATTCCAGCCAGGCAAACTCCCAGCAGAACACGAGTTGGGAAGGAGAGCCCATAAAGATTGAGCGTTTCCCTGCCAGCGCCGGGGCTTCGCAGGGAAGGTCACCCATTAAAAATAGCAGGGCAAGTTCTGACATTTCCACAGCGAGACGCCAGCGTTCCCAGAGCCCTCAGACCTTGGCAGCTCCCAGAGAGACCTGATGCCGAGCGCAGCCCCACGCACAGGCAGTGCCTGCCTCACCCGGTGGGGCAGGGGCAGCAGCACCATCGCAGCCGCAGCACTGACGTGGCTCAGTGGTTTGGGGGAGAAAGATTAGGAAACCACCAGCGTTTGCTATCGTGGCTGGCAGCGTGGGGAGAAAGAGATCCGAGAGAGCTTTGTGGCTGGGGCTTTGCAGTGCAGGGCAGCACAGGGGGTCCACGTCTCCGTGCCAGCCCCGAAGGGAGTTGGGTGGGCTCAGGGCATCCTGCGGAGCCAAACCCAGTGGTCCCCAGCAAGGGGACAAGCCCTGAGCAGGACTTGCTTCACTGGAGCGCAGCACAATGGGTGAGATGGGATGGGGGGGAAGGCTCCAGGCACAAGAGGTCTCAGTTGTGTCTCTTGCCCCCAGGCCAGCGGCTTCACTGCGGAGGGAAGAAGAAGAGGAGGTGGGTATTGCATGGCTTCAAGGCAGCATCATCTCTCCTCCCTGTCCTAGTCTTACCAGCTGAAAGGGCTGGGGTCTCTGCTGCTCCTCCCTCCCACCTCGGCCGTGTTGCCCAGTGTAACACATCTCTCCTTGCTATTTGCTCCACAGGCAAAGGAACGAGGAAGAGCTGTAGCTGCAGGTAGGTTGCAGGAGGATGCACCCCGCTGACAGCTGAGCTCCCTGGGTCTGCTTGTGCTGGGCAGTGATGGTTGGAGGCCTCTGTGCTGCGTAACCTGCCTGCTCTGTCTGGTTTCAGAGCTGCAGTGCCACCGTGGACGCAGAGCTTCATCCAAAGCAGGAAAGTCCTTGCCAAGGGCCACTCCTTACCCCGCTCCAGTGGATCCATTACCCTGCTCACCCCGGACGGGGCTGGAACGCAAATTGCCCTCGTGCTTTCCCCTCTGTTAGATGCAGCGCGTTTCTTGGCTAATAAAGTGCAAGCTGAGCGAGGTTAAACTTTGTGCCTGGGGCATTTCAATGGGCTCTCTCCTGGCCCCGCACCAGTGACTTTTCTGCCCTGCAGACATCTTCCAACACAGTCCCAGGAGCCGTTCCTGCCGGCTTCTGCGCACACATGGAGCAGCAGAATGGGTGACTCCATTCTGGGTTTGCAGAGTGGGGGACATTCCTGCTTCCAGCCGTCCTTGCTGCTTGGAAGGATCTCCCCTCTTGCTAGCATGAGCGCTGGCTGTGGGTACCCAAATTATGCGGCACGTGCTTCCCTTGGGATGCACAGTGAGGGCTGTGCAGGCTGTGGACCACGTTGGATGTAGAAGCAGGCACGTGTGGGGCTGCTTGTGTGCTTGTTTTCTTGGAGTGCTCGATCTTGGCATCCTTTGTGGGCAAGAATAGGGCTGAGATGGTGCATCCAGCCCGGGTTCCTGCTGCAGGAGGAGGTGGTGTCACAGTCTTCTGCAAGCCCGGTCACCCTGGCGCTGCTGGTGGACTTGAAGCCAGCTCGCCTGGTCCATTTGGGCTTTGATTGAGGTCAGACATTGACAGTAAAACAGGATTAACTGGGGAGAGGTTATTAGACCAAATCTGTGCAATTTGTCTAATCTGAGGTGCTTATTTAACACCCTAAGGAGATTATCTCGAAATATGATTTTGACTTGACACTGACCCACTCATGAAGACTTGTTGCAGCTTTGCACAGACCTTTGGTGGTGGGGGGAAAGTGCCTGTCTAACAGCACACACCAGTGAGGTGTGCTGTCTGTGGCTGTGTCCTCTAAAGAAGGAGCCAGGGAAGCAGGCGCCATGGGGAATGAGCCCATCCTCAGCAGGGTCTCACCATCCTGCAGCCCAGGGCTCCCCGTCTTCCCCAGGGCACAGGGATGCCCTTCAGGCTGTGCACCCTTGCACCAGCCCCCCAAGAACCCCGCAGGCAGAGCCCCGTGTCCAAGGGAGGAGATTAAGGGGTGGACGAGCCGTGTCTGGCTCCCTGCACAAGAGATCTCTGTCTCGGCACCAGATGGCATTAATAGCATTATTCTGCAAGGCTTGTGGACACCCACATGTGCACACACGCACAGCCCCTCGCACCCCTGGCTGGGGCTGGGGCACTGTGCCATGGGCTGGGGACATGGGCAGCGTGTGCAGTGGCACAGCAGGACAGCACCAGCACCTCAACGCTTGCTCTGGGGGTTGCATTTGGAGGCCAGGCTGTCACTTGAGCTAATTTTAGAGTAGCCTTTGCTGTGTGCCTCTCCAGGATGGAGCCAGGGAACCGCAGCAGGGGAAAGGCATAAGCAAATTCTATGGTGCATGGGAAATGTGGCCTCCCTGTGCCAGGGGCAGGGGTGCTGCCAGCAGCACAGGGGTGTGAGCCAGCGCAGGGCTCCCTGCCCCTCTCCCTGTTTCCTGTGCTTTGGACATTGAGCCCAGGAGTGGGAAGCAGGGAAGATCCAGGGAAAGGCCACCCTGTGTCTGCTTGGCTGCAAGGACCTGGGCAAGGAGGGTCATGGGCCCTATCTGAGGGTGCCCCATGGGACAAGCCCCTGTGCCCGCAGCCCCATGGGTCAGCTGGGAGCCATGGCTTCATGGAGGTGTTCATCTTCTCCCCCAAACCAGGCAATCTTGGAGGATTTCTCTCACAGACCCTTGAGCCTTTAATCTTCTCAAAGTAAATCTTTTCTGTGACACAAAGGGGATTGGGTCAATAATATGGTGCAGAACTGGAGTGTCCTTTTCCTCTGGGAAGAATTCCAGTTCTGAACAGCTTCCCTTTGGCACTGGCTATTCCCCGTTTGCTTTGCCAGTCTCTGGACAGACAGGTGCAAGGGAGAGGGGCTCTGGCTGGCTGTGCCTTGGCCTTTCTTGTGCTTAATCCATGACTGAACAGGAGGAGATGAGGAACAGGAGGAGCAGGGAGGCCGCTGGAGCCCGCCAGCGCTGCTCCGCCATCTCCACGATGCCAGGGATGCGTTTGGCCCCAGAGGAAACGTGAATGCAAAATGTCTCCTCATTAGTTAAAACAGGAGAGCAGCAAATGGTGACTAATGGAGCCAAAGAGGAACACTTGACGACGTGGAGAGATGGGGCCGGGCTGGCGGGGAGCCAGCCACACGCCTCCTTCTCCCTTTGTTCTGCTCCCGAAAAGGCAGCGCATCCATCAGCAGCCACGTCTGCCAAAACAGCAGCGCTCCGCGCTCCTCAATTACCCTCGCAGCCCGAGTAAATAACGCTTGAGCCCTCATTTCCATGTCGCACACGCCCCAGAGCGGCGGCTGTCAGGCACTGAGCGTTCACACTGAGGTAGATGGACGGCCGCAGTGATGCCGTGTGAGCGCATCCCTCGGTGGCCGCGGGATGAAGGCTCCGGGAGCAGCCGAGTCGCGGCCCGCTCCGCACTACCGCGCTGCACCACTGGAGGGAAGCACAGATCCAGCTTCTCGCCTGGGAGCAGCGCTTTTCCCGGGAAGCGGAGCGCGGCGGGTCCCGCAGCATCCCGGCTGCCGGTCCTGCTGCTGCCGGCTCGGGAGGCCCCGGTCCTGCTGCTGCCGGCTCGGGAGGCCCCGGCCCTGGGGGGTCCCTTATGGGAACCCTTGAAGCTGCTCGAACCCAGGGGATTTAAGTGGGATCGTGTTTTGGGGCACATCAACCTGTTGGCATCTGCCTGGCCGGGGGCTGCCCGCCCCCTTCACCTGGGTACCAGCCCCCTGCCACCTCCAGGACATTTATCCTCCCGCTGCTCCATGTGGCAACCGGTTCCTTCTGCTACTGGGGAAACTGAGGCACAGATGCGGGAAGGCTGCGACATGTCCACAGGCGAGCTAGGGCACCTTACTCCTGTCACCGCTCGGGCAGCACCCATACAGGGCCAGATTTGGGGTGCTGCCCCTTGGCTGGGCTGAGAAGGGTGCAGGAATGGGATGGAACTGGTCTGTGTTGATGTTGCTGGGGGTGACTGTGTCCAGGGAGACGGGCACCGAAGGGAACAGCCCTTTCACAGCCAGGTGTGCCTGGTGGTGTGATAATTGCTGAGCCCAGCTGCAGCCCAGCCTGCAATTACCACCTTCTTCTTCCCCCACTTTCTAGTGCTGGGCTGCAGAAGTGGCTCTGTGGAGTTGGGGATTGTTATGGACGATAACTCTGGTGCTGTGCCCTCTGTGGAGCAGGGGGCTTGATCAGGGGTCATGGGAGGATGGATCTGCTTCCTGCAAGGTCCTGTGGGGTGAAGCTTTCGATGTGTGGGAAGCGCTTCGAGGCAATCGGCTCCGCAGGGTAAGTAGCCCTCTTGTTTTAATGACTGCTTCCTCCGGGGGATTTGTCTGGGAGGGTGGCTGAGGACATGGGGTTAGGACCGGTGGGAGGCCAGGCATGCACTGGCTGGAGGGATGCTGGGGTGAGAGCTGTTCCCCACAGCGCTGTGTGCCCCTCTGCAGTGCCTCTGTGCTGGCACATAGCAAAGCCTTGGCCTGCAAGTGATCATAGTAGCTGAGGGGTGCCTCTCAGGCCCCTCCTTTGGCTGCTCTCCCCAGGGACCTGCTGTGTGCTTGTATGGAAAGTGGTTTTTGCACATTGGTGAAAGAGCTATCCTTAGGGAAAGCATCTGGCTGGTAAACAGGGTATTGTGAGCATGGGGCACCCCTGCAACCCCAGAACTCTGGGGAGTCCTGGGTCCGAGGGTAAATGGTGCCTGGAGCCAAACCGAATGCAGGGAGGGGGAGGTGAAAGGAGGCTGGCTGGGTCAGGGGGGTTGTGGCAGCGCTCGACCTCTCCCCCTTTGTCCTTGGGCACGGCTTTTGCGGGAAAGACCCTGCTGTGCATGCTGAAGGGCAGGGAGGCCCTTCTCCCCAGGGGGGAAGCCTGTTGGGGCACAGGGCTGCACACAGGTTTGTGTAGCTGGAGTTTCCCCTGTGTATGTTGTAGTGTTTGGGCCAGGGCAGGAATTCCTTACTAGGAGCTTCCCCTCTGCAGCTGGGCTTGCTGCTGCTCCGGCCGGTTGCTCGCTCGCTGTTAGCGGGTCAGTGAGACGCGCCATCTCCCAGCGTTAGGGCTGCCCTTGCTTTCTGGGAGCCACAAGTGCAAGTCATTGCTGCCCAAATAATTAACGTGATGGCTTTCAGCCCTTCCCAATCAGAGCCGCACGAAGCCGGGGCGCCCCCCAGCCTGTGCACGGGGTCGCTCACGAAAAGGCGATGGACAAACGCTTCCTGTGCCTATTCAAATACCGGCAGGCTGATGGCCCTAAATGGTCCCCAGGAAGCGCCTGGCTGCCTGCCCTCTGCTGCCGGACCCGCTTGTGCTTCCGGGCTGAACAGTCAATGGAGGGGCAAACGGGGCTGTGATGGAGGGCACAAGCAGCTCGGGCGTGCCGTGGCTCTCTGAGCGGACCTGGGGCTGGTGGTTCAGCCTGACGGCGTTTGGTTGCCTCTCTTGGTGCTGCTTCTCCTCTCGCCAGCTGATGCTGCCCTGTCCTGATGAAGGCGCTTTTGGCAGGGGGAGGTTAGTGCTCTCGGTAGAGGCTGATGCTCTGAGCTAGGGCTGATGAGGAAGCTCACAGGAGATGCTGAGCAGCCAAGGGAGCTAAAAATGAACTGGTGAGTAGCGTTTACTCCCCTGCACATGTGCCTCCAACAGATCTGTGAGGCTCTGCGGGCGCTGTGCCAGTGAGTGCCCCGCCAGCCCCCGCACCCCGCTTTCATTCACTCCCGAGTGTAGGAGGGTAGAACTGCACCTGAGCCCAACACACAGCGTGCTGGGGAGTGAAATGCTGTAGCAGTTTTGGTGGCAGGAAGATCCCTGCTAGCAGCCTGGCCTGTGCTGCCATCCTGCAGCAGCTGCTGGGGAGGAAAGGGGGCAGATGCCTGGCATGTGCCTGGGGCTCCCCAGAGCCCAGGATCTGCTTGTTGCCTTGGGTATGCGCCTGAATACCTATTTCCTTGCTATGTTTCGGCTAACATCTGTATATGGATGTAGGTGGCGATTGAAATGCACCTCAGTTCCTAGAGGGATGTTATGTGTGGGCACCGGGTGTGCATCAGCTGCTGCTTCATCACCTCTTGGGATGCTGATGGCCCGGCCGGGGGTACGAGTGAGCAGCAGTGACAGTGTGGGGCTGGGGAGGAGCACGTGTGGCAGGGCTGTGTGCCAGGACACCCACATGCTGAGTGGTGACAGTGCTGGGGTGGCCTGGGAATGGGCTGAACAGGAGGTGGTGATGGAGCGATGGAGCCTGGCAGCATGGAGGAAGGGGAAGCATCTCTTTGGAGAAGAGGAGGAGGAAGAGATGCGGTACATCAGGCCCTCATAGCATGGGCAGTGTTTGCTCCCACCTTTGCTGTTGGCTTTTGGGTACTGATGTCTGGGCAGGTGCATGTATATGGGTTAGGTGATTGCTGCTTATGAAAATGAGGGTATCTGGTGTGGGTGGCCTGGAATAGGGAGGGGATGGGGACATGGGGTGGGTGTGCAGGATCTTTGCGTAGTCCTGCCAGATTCTGTGTCCTTTGATTGTGTCCCTCCTCTGCAAAACAGGAGCTGCTCCCCCACACTGTGAAAGTACCACCTCGGTGGTGGGGGTGAGCTCTCTGGTTCTTCCGGGGAACTCCCAAGAGTGAGGAATTGCAATGAACCAATGTGGGTTGAAAATGGCCAAGGAGCCGTGTTCCTAATTCTTTAACTGGGTGGTGATGGTTTTCCAATGAAGCAAAACAGTGCTGTTTTGTTAAAAAAAAAAAAAGAAAAATCGGTACATAATGTTTCTCTACTTATTGTTTTGCTTGAAATCAGACTGCTTCAATCTTTGCTTATTTTCCAACAAATTGGGATTGGAAAGGCTGTTTTGGAAAGCAGAGAGAATCTCTTATAATCACTTCAAGAGAGCACATTGAGCTGCTCTAATGGTCCAGACAAACTGGCTCTGGTGTGACTGTCTTGGGGAGTAAGATCCTAGGCTTGAGCTAAGCCTCACATAAATCGCCCCCGAAGTAAAGCATTAACTAGTGTTTATTTGTTGTTTGCTGACTCGAGGGACGAATGTGTAATCAAGTCCCTAGGCCCTATCCTGCTTGTGTCCGTGCCGTGGAAGCAGCTTTGGATCGTGGTGGGAAAGCCCCGTTCCTGTCCTCTGGAAAGCGCCCGGGAGACTCGGGGAGGAGGAGAGCTGCCCTGTGTCCTGGCTGAGCCCCGACGCGCATCCAGGCTGCTGCGCCGGCAGCACACGCTCCCCGCGGGGATGAGCCGCCCTCCCGTAGGCGGTCTGCAGGGGACGGCTGCTGCCTCCGCTGCGTGTGCTCCAGCCCCGGGGGCTCGGCTTGGCCGAGCGTGACCGGCTCCCGTTAAGCCCCGGGGTGGGGGGTGGGGGACGACGAGCCCTGCCGGGAGCGGCGGTGCCCACGGCGGGGCTGGCTGCCGGGGAGCGGCAGCAGCAGGAAGGGGGGTCCGGTGCGGTCGCGCCCCGTCCGCGGGGTCCCGCTCAGTGGGCGCTGCCGCCCGTCAGCCCTGCGGGGAGCGGGGCGGGGAGTGCGCGGGAGCCCGGCCCACCCGCCCGCCGCCACTCGCCGGGAGAGGGGAGGAGGAGCGGCTGCGAGCTCGGCTCTGGGCACCTCACCCTGCCCGGCAGCGCGGCGGCACCGAGCGCGGTACGCCGGGGCACCGCACCGCCCGCACTTGCGCCGCAGCCCGGGGCCATAGGTGCTCTTTATGGCATGTGGCTGGTAACTTTTTTCCTGCTGTACTCTTTGCGGAAAGGTACGTGCACCCCCGCGGACGGGGCTGCGGAAGGGGGGGCGCCGGGCACCGGCCGGGTCGCGGCGGGCGCTCCGGGAGCGGGGCTCGGGACGCCGGGCTCGGTGCGCCCCGCCGGGGCGGCCGGCAGAGGGGCTCCGCGGCTGTCGGAGCGCTGGCCCCGGACGGAGCGGCGGGGCTCGGAGCGGGCAGCGCGGAGCGGGGCGGTCCCGGAGCCGCGGCTCGGCGCATCCCCGGGGAGCCGGTGATGGCACGGACTCGGGATGCCGCACAGGTTCCGGCCCCGGCGGAACGGAAGAGCCGTGCCCTGTGTGCCCGCTCCCGGCGCGACCTGGAGCAATAGCCCGATCCCGCAAGGCAGGCGAGACCCAGCGGTGCTTCAAAGCCTGCATCCTTCCCTCTAGGAACGCCGTGTTAAGGGTAACCCAGCGCCTCGGCATAAATCAGATTTATATCAGGAACGGGGGGGATCGTGAAACAAGTGTGTCAAGGAGACAGGCACACGTTTAAAGATGAGAGATTAAATTAAAGTTGGGGATTAAGCGAATGCTCTCCAAACGCGTAGAGGTAATACTCTAAACCGAGCCTCTGCTGTAGATGCAATTAAAAACGCAAGCTGCACGGAACGTGGGTTGTTAAAGCACAGTGCGATTGTTGCCACGATCGATGGAGGTTACATAAAGGAATTGCCCATTTCCGAATCTGCGGGAATTTTTAATTGTGTTCCTGTAATAAATGGCCTCCTTGCGCCCGGCCCGACCTGCAGATGCAGCCATGGAAGTGCCCACCTTTGGGGAAATGATCTGCTCGGCGGGTGGGAAATGGCATTTGCCCTAATTATCCCTTCTGACATTGGAGAGCAGCAAGGGGGAAATTTTGGGAAATGAGGAAAGTGCAAGGAAGGGACGGAGCTGCCTCCTGAGATGAGCTCTCTCGTGCTGCCTATTGCGTTACCCATGTATCTGCATGTGAATCCAATGACAAATATATGTCGAGGCTTATTAGGGCGTCCTGTCCGGTGTGTTGTGGTGATCAATTCTTCCATCAATTACCAATTATGGAATAGCTGCTTTAGCTGAGCTGGAGCAAGGCTGCGTTTGGGAGCTTTACCCAAAATCGCTATTGTGTTTAGGATCTGCTGCGCTGAATGTGCCAGCATCTGCTTTGCTTACATTTGCATTTTTTGACTGTGCTACAAGGAGGAAACATCACCGAAAGCAGATAACCGTCGAGGATGCTCCCATTTCTTCCCCCCTATAGTCCAAATAATAAAGAGCTGCATTGGGTTTATTGCTCTTGCATGTTTTCAGCCCCAGCTTCTTGGAAAAGGGATCTCTTCCCACAGAGCAATCTCTTCTGAGAAGAGCAAATTAAATGCCTCCATTAGCACAACTCCTCCTGGCCTCATTTTCTCTTTTTTTAAAAGAAATAGAATGTGTCTTCAGTGTTGAATGGTCCTGGTGATGCAAAGTGTTAAAGTGAAACGGGTCCAAAGAGAGGACAGCAATACAATGGAAGTTTCATTATAATAATAGGATACAAAAAAATGAATTGCTTAATGCATGATAAACCTTTCAGATACTTAATATTTTTGGGCACTGAAGCACATCCTTTTAACACGTTCCTGCTGTAGAATAAGAGCACAAGTAGAAGCTGAAAGCAAATAAATGCTCGATCCAGGGGACCACTGAAGTTGAGAATTCCCTTGATGGGTTGTAGCTGCTCATTTCTTCCCCCACTTGTAAACCAAACAGAAATAGGTGGCTGGCAAGCACGCAAGCAGGAGTTGAGCAGGAAGATGGTGTGGTGAAATGAACAAGAGTAGCCAGGCAGAGGAGGAGGGAAGGCAAGGGGCGAGCGGTGCGATGAAGAGCATACTGGTCAAAATTGAGAGGCTTGGAGCCGGAACAGCATCTCCCTGCGTGTTCGTGTTGGATCTCCGCTGCCTGCTTTCTATTGGCATTACGTTTACATCATGTTCCTGTACTGGGTGCAGTGAATGATGCAGCTTGCGTGTTTTAATCTCGGCCCCCCGGTGTGGCACAGTGCTCGTTTGTCTCTGAAATGAAACATGGAACCCTCATTAAATGCACTGAGGAGAAGCCTGCAGTGCTCAACTCCTCGCCGTGCCCGGTGTGTGTTTATCCTGCGGATAGCCAGCATTTCCCAGCACAAGCAGCCACGGTGGCACTTTGCCCAGTGCCCTCACCTGCACCTTGCATGGACCTAGGGCTGCTCCGGCTTTTGGATGAGAAAATCCATAAGGCAGCCCTAATATTTCTCGGTGTGTTTGCTCTCTGGAGGGATAGGCTGTGCCTGGTGCGGGTGGCGAGTGCCAGGGCTGTGCTATGGAGCAGCCCTTCCCGGAGCTGGGAGCTGCAGGCTTAGCGTTGGGCAGCCATGGCACCGGGCGCCTTTCTCCTATGGTGCTTGGGTCTCTGCCCGCGTAGTCATGGGGTGCAGGGACCAGGAGTGCTCTGTCCTCTGAAGCAGCTGATGAGCCGAGTGCGAGAACGAAACTGGAAGCCTCTCTTTGTGGCAGGAATTCTGACATGGCAGCACCGAGTTCCGAGCTGTGCCTTGGATAACGTGAAGTCATCTCACCCAGATCAGCGGACTGCTAATAGGGGTGACTTCCGAGGAGGGCACGAAGGAGGAAGGTGTGCGGCGTTGCAGTCGTGATGTGTGCTTTACTTACATGGTGGCAGGTTTGCGTGCAGAGTGTTTCTTGTCTTTGCAATCTAGATTATAGCCAGCTACAGCTTTTTTACATAATCATGGTTTTGTGAGTTCCCCTCTCCCTGCTTGTGGATCTGTAAGAAGCAAACCCCGCCACATGCAATCTGCCTCTCGCCGCCATCATTTGCCAGCAGAGCTGTACCAAATATTTAGGAAATCCATTTCCCGACTCTTGCTAACGCTTGCTGCCTGCCCCAGCTGCTGCCTCTTGGAAAGGGCTGTGGCTGCGCGTCTCCGTGAGACAAGGGAGCGAGCGCAACTTGGAGGGGGAAAGGAGAAGGTGGGTGAGGTTTCAGAGGCTGCTCTATTGATCCGTGCCCCCCATGTCTCATACCCATTGGCCACATGGTGGAAATCCTCACGTCTGTGTTGTAAAGCGAATGGGAGGGCTGTGGTGTGCCAGGTGCAATGGACCATTGGCTCTGTAGGAAGCCTGGTGTGCACGGCTTCTGGTGCATCCCTTTGCCTGCCCCTGGTACATAGCAAATCAGTGGGGAGAGCTTTTTTGTTCCAGGCAAGGGTTACAGGCTCAGGCTGGGTGCTGTCGTAATAGCTGGAGGTGGTTCAGGCCTTAATTTCCATGCAGATGCATTAAGGAGCGGGCAGCTTGCACTCCAAGCCTGTGTGAGCAGTGCCCTTACCCACAGAGGGACCAGAGGCAGCGTTCTCCTTTGCTCCCTCTTTGGTTGGTGGCTGTGAGGACAATGGTGCTCAGGCCAGAGGGGCTTTGCCCAAAGGTTGTGACTCCTGTGGAGGTGGGATGTAGCCATGGCTTTAACCCTTTGGGCTGGAAAGCCACCGTGGTGGGGTGGCATCCGTGGGGCTGTGGCATGCTCCTGGCAGGGTGTGTGCTCCTCTTGAGCTCTGCTTGAAAGGGCGCTAGCAGTGTGCTTCTCACCTTGCTAGCTGCTTCTCTCCCTCTTCCCTTTGTGATGGAGATGCCACTTCTGGCTCCATCAGCTCTAAGGTCACTCCCTTCATTAGGAGAAAGGCTGTTAAGTGTCCTGAAGATGAGAGCTTGAAGGAAGCTTGTTCCAGGAAAGGCCAAAGACTGCTCCAGCATTACAAATGTGGGGGCAGGATGTGATGGAATTACTGTTGTATCTTAAGGCAGCAGAGAGGAAGGATTGGTACTTGCCAGCTACCTGTAACCCCCACCCTGCAATGTGTGCCAAGCTTTGGCTGGCTTTCTCCTTGAAGAGGGCAGGTGTCAACCACCCTTAATGAGGATAATAAGTGATTGGTGAGGTGGCAATTAGCCTGCTCTTCCCAGCATCCCTGCAGCTGGACAAGTCCTGGTGACTCCTTCAGCCCCTTCGCTGGGCTTTTTGCTGCTATGGTTGTGCAGAAAGGAGGGTTTGCAACGCTGGGCACTCACCTGCGAGGTGATGGCAGGCTGAGGTTTCAGCCTGTGCTGCTCCTTGTGTGGGAATCACAGCTACACCTCAGCTGCCTCTTCAGAAATAGGTGGTTTGGTGACAGATCCTGGGGTCAGTTTATGGCTGTTCTACCACAGCCCCCTCCTAGAGCAAACAAGTGCTTTCTGCACAGCACTTTGCAGTGCTGCTGAAGGTGATGGAGTTTGGAAAGTCCTAGTAAATATTCTAACGGTGTGATAGCAAAATGACTTGCTTCTCCCAGCTCAGATAGAGATATTAATATTTCAATACTTCTAGGTTGTAATTTACTACAATTTAAGAAGATTGCGCTCTGATAACTTCAAATACCTGCCTTTCAGAGCAAGCTAGGCAGTGTGTGGCTGGGTGCTGGGCTTGGGGTGGCTCCCAGTGCTGGCTGCAGGGTCAGTGCCGTGCGCCTGCGGCGCTGTGTTTCCCCAGCAGAAGCTGTGGCTCCTCCAGCCTCCCCTTTTCAGGTTCATGGGCATTAATGCCCTCGATATCTAGGTTAGGGTCAGCAGAGCTGACCAGATGTGAGCAGTGATTTCTGGGTTAAAAATATTGCAGTGCTATTTCTAAAATGTTAATCTCTCCCAGTGATTTGGAGACAGTTTTATGAAACATGGAATTAGGATGGTGCTCAATGCTAAATGGTAAAGGAGATTATATGGATTTAACTCCATGCGTCTGTCACATAACTATTGGCAATCCCATAACTTCCATTTTCTATGAAAAATCTGGTTCTCCCTTTGACCTGAAAAAGCTTTATGGGTAATCTGAATTCCCCTGTTTATGAGGTATTTTTCCACTCTCCAGCCCCTCACCCATCCATCTCTCGACCTTCCTGGGCACTGCTTGGGAAGGAGATGTTTCCCTGTCAGGCTGGGGATGCTCTCTGATCCCTATTACAGCAGGAGCCATGGGCTGGGATCAGGGATGGTGGTGCTGGATGGAGGCTGGGGCAGAGCTGGATGGATGCTGAGCACAGTGGGATGTTCCCAGTCTGAAACGAGTGGATGGGCACCGTCTGCCCTGGCTCCAGGACCTTCTGCTTTGCTGGGGTGACAGGCTCTACCACACATTGCACCCTGCTGCTTTGTTTCCCTTCCTCTGCCTGCAAACGTGCGCCTTCCTCTTTCATGTATTTGGGAGAAGCACGGCGCTGCTCTGGTGAAGGGAAATGCTGATTCATGGCGACAAACCAGCCTGGAGATGTCACCAAATGACATCTGCGGGGCCGTGCCATGGCCCCGGAGCTCTGTAAAGCCTGGCTCAGCGGGAGCCCTTTGCTCCTCTGGTCCATCCTTCCCCTGGTGCTGTCGGGGAGGGAGTTAAAAACGAATGGCTTTGTCTGCTTGTACTGGTGCCCGGGTGCAGGGAACTGGTGTGTGTGGAGATATGGAGAGGCTTTCTTGACCTATAAATCTGTTGTCTGTTGTGGTGGCAGCGCCGGACCTCGCTAATCCGTCACACAGATGGCTCTGGCTGTGCAGTGCCCCTGACCTGGGCAAAGGAGCAAACTCTGTCATTTTAGGTGATGATTCAGTGCAGAGTACACAGAGTGCAAGAACCAAATGCTCTCACCTCTGGTTTCGTGGGTGCTGGAAGAGGCACAAGGTTGGTTGTCCTGCTGGGAGAAGGATGGGGAAGACTTTGCTCTGGGAAGGGGTGAGGTGTTTGGTGGTTTCCCATCTTGACCTGGTTGAGGATGGTGCGGAGCTGGCTGGTGTGGCAATGCGAGTGGCCATGGGTAGCGACACTCAAGCAGCTGCTCCTCGGGCGAGGAGCTGCAGCAAGGCTATCTGTATGGATGAGGCTTTCCTTCTCCCTCCTGCTCCCATCCCCTCCTCCCCAAGTTAAGGAATCGAGGTCACGGAGGGTCCCCCGTGACTCGGTTTGAACCGGCGGCACCGTAGTGATCAGCTTATTGGCTCTGCGGCACCACGAGCAGCGTTCTCAGCCAGAGCTATTAATACCCATGCCGAGGGCCGCTTTGCTATCCCTGTCCTTCCGCCCACTTGGAAAGAGTGCGGCTATAAAAAGAAACCGGATCCGAGTGACTGGGGGCCTCCTCAGCCTTATTTAGAGCCAGTCTTGCTTTGGTGGTGAAGGGGGAGCTCATGGTCCTGCAGAGTGGGAAAGAGAAACAGGAGGAGTTGGGTGAAGAGGTCCCTTCCCTCACACTGAGCAAGGGAAGTGCTTGCCTGCAGTGGTCACAGATGCTCCCGGGCATCTGGGTGGCTGCAGGCTCAGCCCTGGAGTGTGCCCTTGAGCCTAAGCTTGGACTTAGGGGAACTGGGACTTTGCATCCCTCCTCTGGGCAAAGGGAAGCAGCACTGATCCCAGTTTTCCTGCCCCTCTCCTGAGAGCTGATGCAGCTTTTGGAAGCAATGACGGGGTAGCAGGAAAGATCTGTGCCCTGCTCAGGGAAGGCTTGCACTGGATGTGTTTGCATTGCTGACGGGCACCTGGGGCTGTGCTGGGGAGCTGCTGGGGCACAGGGGTATTGATGTTCTGCTGCCCCGGGTTGGGGAACATTGGGGTTTGCAGGAGGAACATCAGTGGTTTGTTGTGCTTGGGTTGTTGTTGTTGTTGCACATGGGTGTCCTGAGGCCTCTGGGTGCTGAGGCACGGTTGGACCACATGCTAAGAGCCACCTGAAGAAGCCTTGGGGGGATACCTTGGGTACCCTTCCTTGCTTGCACAGATCCCTGACCCGTGCTGCCAGCAGGAGCGCTGGCCCATGAAGGTGGCCTTTATGCTTCCAGCCCATGCACTGATGCTTCTCTGCTCTGCTGTACGTGGGGGCCAGGGGCTGGGCTCGGGGCAGGTGTGCTGGGGGTAATCTCTGTGCCGGTGGGATTGGCCATTTCTGCACTAACCCCGTGCCTTTGTGGCCTCTGCTTCCTCCACAGCACACGCTGAAGATGTTGGAACCAGCCTCTACTTTGTGAACGACTCTATCCAGCAGGTCACCTTCTCCAGCACAGTGGGGGTGGTGATCCCCTGCCCGGCAGCAGGGTCACCCAGCGCCGTCCTTCGGTGGTACCTGGCCACAGGCGACGACATCTACGATGTGCCCCACATCCGGCATGTCCATGCCAATGGGACTTTGCAGCTCTACCCCTTCTCGCCATCAGCCTTCAATAGCTTTATCCACGACAACGACTACTTCTGCACCGCGGAGAACTCGGCTGGCAAAATCAGGAGCCCAAACATCCGTGTTAAAGCAGGTAGGAGCTCGCTGCGGGCGCTGGGGTTTGGATGAGGTGCTGCCTTTTCTCTGGTCTTCTCCATGGCCTGTCGGTTGGCCCATTGAGAGGCACCCACTCGCCTCTGTCTCCCTGGCATGGGCCAGTAACAGGGTTCTGCAAAGGGATCAATGGATGCTGCATAGGCAGGGAGCAGGGAGAAGGGCAGGGTGCTTGATAAGGTGTTCATCCTGCCCCAGCTAAGAGCCAGCTCTGTACCAGGGCAGGGATGGCCACCAGAGAAGGAGCATGGGCTTGGGGGTCTCCAGCATGTGTCTTGAGGCTGTAGTGTGGCTGCAGAGGTCCTCTCCCTTTGAACTCATATTGTTATACCCATCCATGCATGGGAGCTTCTCACAGGAGGAGCTGGACCACATCTGTCCACGGTGGGGAGACCCCACTGTGTCCCACAGCCCTCCTCAGGGCTGTTCCCACTGTCACATCCAGCCCCAGCTTGCCAAGGCTTATTAAACAGAGAAAAAAGAGGAGGAATATGGCAAAGAGCTGATTCCAAAAGCCATTATAGTAAATTATTGACCAGGCTGAGGAGGGCTAATAGCCCAGGAATGGCTTCATTATGTAACCTATTAAAAGTGGGGCTAGCAGAGGGAGCATGACAGAAGTGACTACAGGGTTTTTTATTTTAATACCTTGTACTGCAGAGTAAATGGGCATTAACCCCCTTCTGCAGAGTGAATTATTTACCCACCCTTGGAGGTTACCTATAAACCACGGCTCGGGGCAGGAGGCACAGAGCACTGTAAGCGGGCACTGCAGGCTGCAGAGTGGCTCCTTGGTGACATGGCTGCATCCCCTGTGCCATGCTTGTGCTGCTCAGTGCATGGTTGTGGCTCCTCTGGTGTTGGTGACTCTGGGCCTGAGACCCTGGGGTTCTCATGGGGAGCCAGGGTGCTGGGGCTGTGGATGGCCAGGGCTGGAGCAGCAGGGATGGGTGTCTCAGAGTCAGTGCTCTGGATGTGCTGCGGGACAGAATGCTTGTCTTCTGCCCCTTGTCTTCCTGCGGGGCAGGAGGAGGAGCTGCTGCGGACTTCCTTGGGATCACAGCAAGCCGGGAGCAGAGCAGAGCCCTGGCTTTCTTTCCCCTCTCTCAATGCACAGTGGGATTTCGGCTGGGAGCCCAGCCTTCCATGTCCCTTTAGCAGGTGCAGTTAGCAGGGGGTGTGAGCACACAGTGGGGATGCCATGCAGGGCTCAGGGGGCCACCGCGGCTCCAGCTGTGGCAGCTCCAAGTGCTTTGGCTTTATGGCTTCTGGAAGCAGTTGTGAAACATTCCCCTGCTCCTGTTCCCTCCCGGCCGTGTCGTGTCCCAGTCACTCTCCAGTGCTTTGTAATGGCCACGCACCGACTAAAGCCAATTAAAGCTGCGTAAAGAAAGCAAAGAAACAAACTGCAGCTGCAAATATGGGGAGCTGGAAAAACCTCTGGAAGCTTTGGGAAAGCTGCTGGTGAGCACACGGAACAAGTCCCTATCCAATGGGGAGCTGTGGCCTTGTAGGAATTATTCCCAGGGGCTGAAAAAGGCCAGAGCTGTGGCTGCAAAGGTTGGTGCGGGTCAGAGCTAGGGGACCCCTGCATGAGGTGTGCTCCAGGCTGGGGCAGCCGTGGGGAGCATGTACGATGCTTCTCCTGGTCCCCGCTGGCCTTTAAAGCCCATGAATAAACCTCCTGCTCCATGTGATTAAGGAAGGTTTTTCCAGCTAATCTGCTTTGGCTCTGGAGTCCCTTTCCATGGTGCAGCCTTTGTCCTCCTGGCTGGGGCATTGGTAAATAACTGGAGCAAGCTGGAGGCCACTCCAGACCCTCTTCCTGGCTTTCCTTTGGGGCTCTGTGAGTGGCAGGCAGGCGGTGCAGGAGAGGCAAAGGTCTCTGCAGCTTGCACTTCATGTCTCAGTGCTGCTGCTGGTCTCCTTTGTCAGAGGGAGAGTGGCAACTGTCCCCATGCACCCCAGGCTGGAGCCTGGGATGTGCCCCTGCTTTTATCCCAAGCTCTTACTGCAGCGCAGGGTGCTGTGGAAGCCAGGGGAATGGAGGTGGGAACAGCCAGCCCCTCGCTGCTCGCTTGTGTGTGCGAGGTATGTGATGCGTCGCCAGCGGGTGCTTTCCACTCGGGAAAACACCTTCCTTCTGGGCTGCGAAGGAGTTCTATCTTGGGAGATTCACTGAGCTGCTTTTGTTCTGGCCGAGGGGTGTTGTTCAATGCCGGAGTGAATGCGTGTCTCTGGTGATAGTGATGCCCAGGTGCTTGTGTCCTACAGGGCACAATTACTATCGTGGTAAAGAGGTGCCTGCACTCACTGTGTTTCATACTTCAACTTGAAGAGTTTATGGTGTCTGCATGTGTTACTGGGCATGGTGACACCTTTTTGTTGTGCTGAAGAGGCTGGGGTCAATCCACCTCACCCCAGTGAGTGCTGCTGGAGGGTTGTGGCACTGGGAAGCTCCTTGTCACTGGTCCAGGGGCTGTCAGAGGGATGTGCATCTCCCTGAGGAGTAGGGCTCATGGTGGGGACAGCTCATGGCTCCCACTGTGACGTGGCCTGGGAAAGCGTCATCTGCTTCCATAAGTATGCCTCTGGTGTGTTTAGGAGCATGCCAGGCTCTGTGTCACGGGCTGTATCTCCCGGTGCCTCATGGCTGCGTTCTCAGCATGCACCCAGCAGTGAAGTGATTACCTCAAGGTGCAGGTTGAACATTACAGCTACGGAATACCCTTGATCCCTGTGCTGAAATCCGGGTGCTTCAAACCTCTGCTTAGCCACTTTGGTGACTATAAAACCAGCAGCTTGCCTTAGCGCCAAGGCCAGGTGACACTGGGGACCGTTTCAGGGTCCCAGCAGCAGGAGCATCCCTCTGTGTGCCAAGCACAGGTCTGTGCTCTCCAGAGGAGAGCCTCTTCCTTCCCCAGGAAGGTGGGCTCTGTGCTTGGGATGGAAGCAGTTTACTGCTGGGTGGGTTGGTTTGTTTGGGAATCATGGGATTAAAGCAAAAGGAAGTGTGTGTTCCCCCAGCACTGTCACACCTCCTGCTTTTCTGTGCAGTTTTCAGGGAACCGTACACCGTTCGGGTGGAGGACCAAAGGTCGATGCGTGGAAACGTGGCTGTTTTCAAGTGCCTCATCCCCTCTTCAGTGCAGGAATACGTTAGTGTTGTGTCCTGGGAGAAAGACACCGTTTCTATCATCCCAGGTAAGAATGGAGCTTCTATTTTCTTTGGAAATCTGCTTTGCAACGTGCGAAACTCATTGTCATGGAGGTGTTTTTCTTGGCTTATTGGCTGTGCCTATGCTGCCGAAGCAAAGGCTTCTGTTGATGACCATCTCCCACCTTCATACTGGAAAATGGCTGATGGTGCAGGCAGATGTGCTGTGTTCGGGGTCTCCTTGGTGCTGTGGTCGGTATTTGTTGTATCTCTCAGGGCTCATGGATGTTTGATGCAAGTGTGCCCTGTTCTGGCCTCTCCCGTGTCCCTGCAAGCCTGGTCGCTTTGGGTACCTGGCATGAGGGGTGTGGGCAACAGGAGAGGAGCCGTCCCGTGCTGTCTGTGTCCTGACTCCAGCATCTGAGCTGGTTTTCTTGCTGTCAGGAAGTAAATTCCCAGCTTCAGTTGTGAGTTTTCACAGCTGATTGAGCCACAGGGGAAGGAACTCGGTACAAATGGCATCGTCCACCGCTTCCCCTGGCATCCCTTTCCCTGGTGCCTGCCTTGTGGACTGGGATGTGTCCTGCTCTGCGCTGATTTTGGTCTGTGGGGAAGGGGCCTGCGGGAGGGACAGGGGTCCCATTGGAGCAGAGAGCTTTTGAACCGGGCTCTTCCCGCAGCTGGGAATGGGCTGGAGCACTGATGGGACATGGCCTCCGTGCAGCTCAGAGGGCACAGAGCAGGGTAAGCTGCTGGTGCTGCAAGCGCTGATCCCATGCTCCTGCCTGGCTGCTCACAGGCTTTGGAGCAGCACAAGGGCTGTGGGCAGGTGCTGGCACAGCATGGGGCCAGCCCCGTGTACCGGGGTGACCTTTTGGCTCCCTCCTCAGAGCCGGTATTGATGGCAGCGCTGGCTGCCCGCACAGCATGTGTAAGCTGGTAGTAGAGCAATCAATACTGCTTCCCCCAGGGGCATGCAGAGAATTAAAGGATTTTGCCCAAAGTCAGTGCTCTGAGCTTGATATTTGCCCACAGGTCAGCAAGTCCGGATGCTCCTCCAGGGCTCTGTTGCTGCAGTGGTAGTGCTGAGAGGGGCAGATGCCACAGGGAGCAGGGCATGAGCCTGGTGGCCGCTGACCAAGCACGAGAGGTGATTTGCTGTAATCCTGCTTGCAGGGCTGTTTCTTAAGGAGCTTAAGGAGCAAAGTGCTTCACCTGGAGCGGGTGACAGGTTCTCCTGAGGGCACTAGTGGCTCTTGCTGGTGGCCTGTGCCTCCTGAGTGCTGCTGATGTGCTGACTCAGCACAGCCCATGTGCCGGGAGGCAGGCAAAGGGAAGTGGTGCTCAGGGAGTGCTGATAGTGACTGATGGCCCCCAGGCTGTGATGCATTGGCAGGGTCTGTGTGCAGGGGACTGGGCTGCACTGACTGCGGCTGTGTCCTTGCTGGCAGGGGGCCCATCACAGTTTGTAGCTCTGGGGCCGGGAGCCAACTGCCCTGACCCGGGTCTGCAGAACCTGTGCTCCCCAGCACTGACCCTGTTCTGACCACATGAAGCTCCTTGCCTCCGGAGCATGGTCTTCCCTGGGTGGGCATTCAGAGCGATGAGCTTGTGTTGATCAGCAGCCAGCTCGTGTCCAAGCAGCCTTTTGCCTCCTTGAGTGCAAGGCTCTGCACGGAGCTCCTGCAATGTGAGGGTGTTTTGGAACACTGTGGAAATGACCATTTCATTTTAGCAGTGAGAAACTGCTGGGTGGTCCAATGAAGCTGTGGAAAGCATTTGTGGAGGCTCCCTTGGAGGCCAGCTGGTGTTGGACAGGGTATGGTACCCTTTGCTGGGCAGTGCGATGCTTGCGTGGTGATGCTCCGCTCACCATAGGGTGTTTGAGCAGGGCATGCCAAGGTCCATCACCACCAGCACCTGTGGTGTTCGTTCCTCGGTGCCTGAAGGTGCCTGTGCTCCTGGCAGCGCTTCCAGGGAAGGTGTCTGTTGCTCCCGAGGTCCTGGTTTGCTCAGTGGCAAGTTGTGAACCGAGCACCCCTGCACTCATGCGATCTTATCCAGCCTTGTTCCCAACTTTGCTGTGGCGGTGGATTTTTTAATATGATGATTTAATTAGAGTGGAGCGATTTTAACATTCTAAAGCAATAATTACCCTAAAGACAGAACATATAAATTGTGTTACAGTGCAGAGTCAACACAAGCAAACATGTTTTGCTGTTGGGTTACAAATATAGTATCTGCCTGAAGCTGATTTTTTTTGTTGTTGCTTGTGTTAGAGCTAAAACTGGCTTTGCTGTTACCAAAAACACGGTCTTGTCTTGACCGCTGGTGAACCTCTGCTTCTGTCCTAATTCCGAGCAAGGGGAGGAGGAGGGTGTCCCTGCTGCTCAGAGCGAACAGAGCGAAGGCTGAGGAGAGCTGAAGTGTGGTGCTGAGGCCTAATAGCTCCCTTCAACGTGCTTTCTGCATGGTGAGACCGTTGGTGGTACAGACCCAGCGCCTCATGGCTCACTGGCAAACAGAGGTGTGTGGAAGTGCTGCAGCTCTTCCTCGGATGTAAATACATCCAAGCAGTGTTTACAGCTGCCTGTGTGTAACGTGGTGTTCTTTCCTAGCTTCACTGTGCCAAACTTGCTGCTGTTCCTGAAACTTTCCTCTAGTGCTGCCTGTGGAAGACTGCATCTTCCCTGCGAGCCTTGGTGCAGCAGGGGATGAGCAGTCCTGACACGCAGGAGCAGGGAAACCCTCCATCCAGACCTCTCTAAGTGACTGTATCTGCAGTAAATCTCTGGTTTCCTTTGCATCCCTGGTCGTCCTGTCTCCCCCCCCAACTAAAATACTGTGCAGCTCAGGAATCAGGGACCAAGCTTTTCCCCTGGGGCTGCTGTTCCGGCAAGCTCTGGTCTCCAGCACAGTACATGGCCCTCTTGTGAGCTTTCTTGGGTTCTTTTTACACTGTATTGGGATTATGGCGTTCCCAACCTCTGTGGCTGGGCCTTTGAGGCATGTCTTCAGGCAGGCCTGGCTGCTCTTTTGCTGGTGGTTTGCTGGTGGGATGCAGGTGCCAGCATCCCTGCGCAGGCACAGGGTGCATGGGGAGCAGGGGGCCCTTTTCTGGATGCCTGCTGCTTCCACCCCTTGCAGAAGGTGCCTGTGCCTGGCTTTTGCCTGTCGGATTCCCTGGTGATTGCATCCCTTCAGGAGCACCTGCACTGGAAGAGACCTGGAGCGATCGTTGGGAGCGCTCAGTGCCTGTGTGGCCCTGCTGCAGTGGGGGGGCCGAGGCGCTGAGCTGCATTATTTGGTTAACTTGGCGTCGCTGTAACTTACCCTGAAATCAAAGGCAAATTCTTTATGGAAGGCTATCCCGCACATAAATCATCATTAGTGCAGCTCGTTTTTGTTTAATGCCTACCTAACTGTGCTGTAGTCTAAAACTGTGTGTTTAGTGAAGTCAGGGGTTGCGCAGAAATTATAGGGTTTTCAAAAACCCATTTGCTTTGCTGGTGCTCACATCAGAATCAATCTCGCCGCTCGTTCTCAGCCTTGTCGCATGCACAGCACCGCTCGCAGGGCTCTGGCATGGAGCACAGGCTCACCGGGGGCACGGCAGCGGCACTTGCAGGGTCAGGGGCTGGGCGCAAGATTGCGCTTCACACCCAGGCTGTGATTTCAGACTCTTGCTATTGATGAAGCTCGATGTGTGTTGGCGGGGGGAGTAATGGGAGGAGGATGTCTTGCAGACCCTTTTCCATAGGGAATGAGGGAGAAACTCTTGCTAGAAGCCAGTTTAAGAGCTCAGCGTGGTAAAGAGCTTTTATTTTTAATTTTTATTTTTAAAGCACTATCACCAGGCTGGGTAACGTGAGGAGCCTCTTAGGCACATGCATGGCTTTGATTTGCCATGGAGGAGCTATGTTGCATATGCAACTGCAGCTGCTTTATTCGCTGTGGTGGCACCGGAATGGAAATGAATGGTGCTGACTTGTCCTCTCCTCAGGCATCGCATGGTGTAGCCTGATGTCAGCAGTCACAGGCCCTGTTCTAGCATGGGGCTCATGTATGTGGATGCTCTTGGAGCATGCATCCAAGCTGCTGTTGTTGTGGTGCGCTCCTGCATGCGCTGCTTGGATTTGGGAACCCTGTGAGCACATGGGCACCTGTACATTCACAGCCAAGCCATTCCGCAGCCAGCTCAGGGATGTGAATGTGCATCCAGGTTTGTTTTCTTGCCACAAACACGTCACCTGCTCAGGCTGTGCCCGCTGTGCCACCAGGAGCTCCAAGGATGGTTGTGTTATCGGGCTCTGGTCCTGTGGCCATCACTGCACATCTGCACTGATGTGTCTTGAGAGCATGGCAGGATTTGCCTGGGAGGCTGGGTGCTGGGACATGGGTGTCACTTGGGTGCACGGGCCTAACGCTGCTGGAGTGGCTTTCCGTGGTGTCCCGGAGACCAAAAGCAGTGTCCTCATGGTGCAATGGCATTGCTTCAGCTGCAAGGGAAGGCTGATGGCGTTTGTCATCTTGTCTTGCCTAGCCTGTTGGTAGCCTGTGGCTTGCCAGGGCAGCACAGAACAGTATTACTGGACTGGCAACCCCAGAGCTGAGCTGCTGTTTGATGCTTCGGTGTTGTGTACTTGATAGATTGTGTTGGAAAAAATCTAAGTGCAACACTTCTCAAGGTACAGGCATTCCTGAGGGCCCTGCTTTTCTCAGCAACCCTAATACGTATCCTCTGAGGGCTGCAGGTACTTGGATGCACTTACTTAGTAATTGGATAGCCACAAAATCCTGTCTCTGGAAAGCAAACTGTAAAGCTTGCCAGAAGGGAATTGGGAGCACAATAAGTTCTGTGAAGTTTTAGGTCTGGTTTTGTGCAGGTTCTTGACTGAGCAGCACACTTTCAGGAGTTTTGAAGATACCTGGAGTAATCTGGTTGCAGTGGTTCAGATATGAGCTTAATTTGACCTGAGCAGCCCTTCTGTCCCACCCCCTGCGGTGCCCAAGGCTGTTTCCAGGAGTCTTAAACTAATCTCAGCAC